CTTCCGAGTTATACTTCCTTAAGCAAAATCGCGGACCCTTCAATCAGTCCCCATATGAATAATCAGATTCGGTTAGTAAGCACTATTTGTTACAAAAATCCTAACTAGGGGACCTGACTGCTAATAAATTTACTCCTCGCAGTGCGACCCAACCTCTTCTTTTTAAAAATACCTTATCTTCAATAGTAATGCAATGTTCAGCAATACTGAGGTAGGAACACACTAAGATACTAAACAAGCACCAATGAGCTGGGTGACAAAGTTTCCGAAAAACTAGTTTTAGCTCACATACTCGTCGATACCAAACCGAACTGGTGGTTTTCTTGTTCGAATTGGCCTGCATACACTTTTCATCACAGGTTCAACCAACACCGTCTCACCCGGAGGACTACGCTCAGCTTCGTTCGGCAGATTTGCGGCCTCTTCTTCCCTTCTGGCTCCCATCTCCCTTTCGTCAAAGGTCTCCACCGCATCGCTCTGCCGTCGCAAGGCTCCGTCTAGCCCAGGAGGATTCACTAGTGGCTCCACCACTACTCGATTTCTTCGTGACATCAATTCCACGGGTTCTTGTTTTGGGCCTGGATCATGATTGAATCCCTCTCGATTGTTTGCCCAAATTGCCTCGTCTTCGATGTGCATTTCCGGATCCTCGAAGAAGTTCGCCGACCGATATGGTGTAGGTCGCTTCCTTGCAGCAGTTTCTTCTAGTTGCCGCGTGTCCTCCACATATCGCTGCAGCGTGTTGAAGTGTAGGAATTTCACTTTACTGGGAGTCGATCGCTTTGCCACCTTGTAGGTCACTTCGGACATCCGGGCCATTACAACGTATGGTCCCTCCCATGCATCCAATGCCTTCTTCGACTTAAGTTTTTCTTTAGACCACACCCAGACTTTGTCACCAGTTGCATAGGGTTCCCTGTGAATTTTCTTCCAGTACTGATCCTTTCGTCAACGTTGATCCATCCCTAAGACTTCTCTCACACTGCCATGAGCGTCTCGGAACTGCTCGTCTAGCCATTCCGCAAAATCATTCTTTATCAAAGGTTCATCGTGGGGTTTTGCGTAGAACAGGTCAACTGGATACAGGCACTCCTGTCCATGCACCATACTAAACAGCGTAGCTCCCGTTATCCGATTGATTGTCGTATTGTACCCAAAGTTCAAGTACGGCAAAGTCGTGTCCCACGGCCTTGGGTTCTCCACACAATACTTCAAAACCACTTCGGTTATCTTCTCATCAAGCCTCCCCGCACTCTCATTCACCTTCGGCTTATAGGGCGGAGTCTGAATTTTGTAAATACCCAAAAGTCGGTACATCTCCTGGATCAGTTTGCCTCCAAAACTCTTCCCTTTATCCGTTCGCAAAACGTTCGGAACTCCGAATGTCAGTACCCAATTTTCCATTATCTCTCGAGCCATGTCAGCTGAATCCGTCGTCACCAGGGGAACTGCGATCGCATACATCGTGAATAGATCCGTCAATACCAGCACATGCTTTGCTCCGGTGCTTGTCGCCATTGTCACTGGTCCCAAGATATCCACTGCCACCGTAGTGAATCTGATTCCCGGATCAAATGGGGCCTGGCCCGCCGCTAGCTTCTGCTTTCCTTCTGTACTCTGGTGTGCACGGCTTAGGCACCAGTTTGCCTTTCTCTCAACGTCAGTCCTCATCGTCGGCCACCAGAACCTCTTTCGTATTCTAGTTAGAATCTTCTCAGCCGCAAGCTGTCCTCCGCCAGTCTCCATCAAATCAAACTGGCTAAGGATTTCCTTCTGTCGAACCACTGGAACTATCGTCAGAAGGTTTGGCATCGAGCCATCTCGCTGAAACCATTTTTTGTACAGTATTCCATCTTTAATACTCAATTCATCCCATCTTGACCAGTAGGCCCGTACTTCGGGTCCGTACTGAATTGCCTGCTCCTTTGGGATGAGGTTCGTCCCAAGCGACGGCATGTCAATCGTCTCGTCGCTTGTTCCTGCCCAGTAGAATACGTGGGCGATCGCTTCGTCTTCTTTCTGCATCTTCGCGATTTCAGCGGGTGTTCGATTCCATCGAATCGTTTCGCTATCTTTGTCCGTGTTCGTCGATGTCTCGTTAACCCTCGCAACCGTTTCCGTTTTCCCCGTGGGTGTGAACCTTCGCAGTGCTTTCTCTAACGAGACTACTTCGGGGTAAACTTCACTGGTGTCGTCTTCGTCGTTCGTTGCCCAGTCAGTTTGTACCTCTTGAACCACCCTAACACATTGGTTCTCGTAAATACCCGGCAAGCTTTCGGGTACCTCGTCAGTCGAGCCACAACGCCTCAAGCTCTCCTGAATCGGCCTCTCATACCACTGTGAATCCGTGATACTGTTCAGCCCTGTCTGCCCTCCTGGATCTGGTGGCACCGTGGGCAGTTTTCTCGGAACCAGTTTGGGAGTCACATAACGCATCGGAAACTCGGACTCTTCCGTTGATCCGGTCCACAATTTGTCGCAGCCAAAATTCCAACAACATTTGTGTTCTTTCATTGATCGGAGTCTAAGGACCATCTGGTTTCTTTGCTCGGGAACCACTAGCGCTTCAATGTCGTCGTCAACCTCTCCTAACTTCAATTTTGTTGTGGTTCGTCCCTCGACATTCATTCCTCGACCGTCTGCTGTCAGTAACTGGCCCTCGTATGGCCGTATCTCTGGCTTGTCTTCAATACTCCGAGCCACCTCACTGCTCCAGTATCCAATTGTGTCTCTACACACGTCCCGACCACAAAAGCATCCGTAACTGCCCCGTAGGGTCCGTCGTCTACCACATGACTGACACCGACACACTCATTCTGTGTCTTCGTCTCCAGCTGCATATTCGTCGTCGACTTGCACTTGTCTACTGAGGCTGGGGGTAGGCGAGGAAATAGTGATATCACCTGCTCGTGTCCAATTATTGTCTCACTCTGTACCTCCTCCTCTGGAAGATGGCGGTGGCATCTCCTCTGGCTTCGTGTTGTCTTTTGGAAATGGCCGGGTCAAATCCTATTTCGAATTTTTCTAATGTCCCGGCCCTCGGTAGTTTAAATGATTCGACGTGTTTCGGGGGCACTCCTTCGCAAAGTGACCTGTCTGACCGCACTCGAAACAACTTGCCTGCGTCCCAATTGTCTTTGCGCCATAACGAGCGCTCCCGTAAGACTGTCTAGTTCCACGATTTTCAACCTGATTGTGGTCGAATAACTGCCCGTGTTGCTGGGCTTTTTCTTGTGGGTAGGGAGCGGGGATAACAGAGTTAACGAACCTACCCATCATGGCCGTCATACTATGTATCTGTTTCACTAGATCATTCTGCAAACTAACAAGCTCATTGTGCCGCGAATTCTGCAACAGTATCTGAGTCGCCAGTTCGTACAGTCTCTGATCAGTACTCCTCTGTGTTCTTCTAAGCTCTGCTCCAGCTCGTCTAGCGTTACCCATTTCTCGATCATCGTTGGTTAATCCAGACATGAATTCGGATGCGCCATGCATCTCTCGAATATAGTTTGGCCGTCTCCCGCTTCTCGCTCTGGCAGTCTTTTTCGCCAGTTCAAGAGACTGAGCTCGCGTTATCGCCTGACTGAAACTTTCAAACTCCTCTCGTAGAAGTAACTCCTGCACTTCTTCATCGTAGATGCCGTCTATGAACTGCTCACAGTTCAAGTCGTCTCACGCTTGCTCATCCATGTTTCTGTTTGCCACGTCATCTAGCGACCTGACTCGCCTCGAGAACTCTCGCAAGCCTTCCTTCTCTCCTTGCATCAGGCTCTTGAACTCAGCTCTGGCTGCTGCGTGACTCTGGAATGGCATCAGTCGTTGATCGAGCTCGGCGAGCATCCTAGCCAACGTTGGCTCTTCATAGCCCTCGATCTCTTCTCGAAAGTGGGCAGGCATACTTGTAAATTCGTCCAAAGCCCAGCTCGTCAAACAGGTTGGCAGGACCATCCTGGCCTGCTCGTCCTCCCACTGGTTGGCATCGGCGACCCAAGCGAAGTGCTTTCTCCAGTCTGCCCAGTTCTGATAGGTACTGGAAGGAAAACGATCCGGCCGTATTGTCCCGAATCCAAATACGCCTTGTTGCCTCTCCAGAGCGTTCGCTGCTGCAACTACCGCTTCAGCAATCAGCCGCCTGTCCTGCTCTTCCATGTCGTATCACACCCGAGTCGTCAATTGGCAACACACACTTTGCAACTGCAATCCAGAAAATAGAATTGAGCTTCGAATTAGTAAAAATGCGGCTAGGTCTAGAATTCGATCTCCGACCTACTGCATCAAAAGATTGTGAGCCTCAAGCACTTACCACTCGGCCACACAGGCTTAACCACTGACAAACACTATTCACGAACAAAGCAGCTACATATGCTTATAAATAATTTGGAATACAACAAATTGAAGGCATCCACACTAAATTTGCATGTAACAAATCGAGTTTTTGCTGAATTATGTTGTTTGAAACAAATAATTTTTTTTAAGTTCATTTGATGAATTATACATACATCAACTGTGTCAACTTATTTCTATTCGAATGTCAAAGTAAATGTTATCAAAAAGCTGTAACGGTGCCCCAAAAGTGGCCCCAATATTTGCGACTTAGATTAGAAAAAAACTTAGCTTAATATAAACTGACGCTTGTGTAATCAAAGGGCTAATCTTTTTGATAAGGAAGGTGCCGAATAACTGAGTGGTGAGATGTGCCCCTTCCTTTAAATCCGCCCCTGAATCAATGATTGAATTGTTAACTAAATTGCGTTTTACACTAGGGTAACTTAAGCTCCTTAAAAAAATTTCCTTGAATCGACCATTGCATCGAACTTCTGCGTTTTTGTCACTTCTGTGATTTGGGGTATATTATCATTTGAAACGTAATCAGAAATATGAACCAGAAAAAACACGACCTTCAAGATGACCTTTTTTCGGTAACACTTCAGCGGGCATTAAAACACAAGGTAGTTCTAAGCTCGTTGACATCCTAAGAGAATAAAAAACATATACAGCAACATATTAACTCAATTCAAAGTAAAATCAATTGACGAAATCAAAAACAACATAATCACTAATTATAGGATCAAAGAAGTTTCAATAGTTCAGTTAACTTAAAATTTAGAGCGGACAAAACATACATACGTTCCAGAGCTGAAGAAATGCTTTACAAATTAATCTTGAAATCTAGGGTTGTACTGAGAATTGAAATCAGATACAAGGTGCTTAACTCGTATAGGCTAAACTGTTGCAGAGGGCCGAAAAGAGCAAACAAATGATTTGAAATGATCTCCACTCGCAAAAACACTTTTCGCAATAGAGTCACAATATGTAGTGGTTAGTTTTTCTAAAAATGGACTCTAAAAAGATAAACATCGACCAATTTCTCATTTAGAAATGTTGATTTTGTCAGATTTATCAAATTTGTTTTGTCAGCTCTGTTATTTCGCGTAAGTTGAGTTATCTCAAACAGGCTTGATGGCTTCGATCAATTCAGAAACTGTCTTGCGCTGCAGACCACAAAGGTCCACTCTGAGTGTCTGGTTTATGGGATCCAGACTCGCTTTCCCACTCTGCACCAGAATGTCCAACACCTGAAAAGAAGAGAGACAGAAAATTCAAGCCGCTTTCGCACACTCACTGCTCTGGCGGTAAAAAAAAAAGCCTAGCAAAAAGTTCAGTCCTATTTTACTCGACACCAAGAGAAAAATTTGAAATTTCTTTTCGCAATCAGAACCATGACTGGAAGAGATTCAAAATAACACCACACTCAACACGGCCTGTGAGCGCCTTTTTCACGTAATTGATATCTTTCTATATAATATAATTTCGGACCCTTTTTTGAAATTTTACTTGTTGTGATTTTCTCGAAATTTGTTCGAAATGTTTTAGTGGTTTTCTTTTAATTTTCAGTCTGCTAGCTTGCAATGTTAGTTTCATGCGGTCTCGCAACAAGCAAAAACGGTAAGAAAAAAATCATGGTTCTTTCACACCGGTTGCTGCGCAATAAAACAGGAACGTTCCCAGCACACTGATTTCAGAAAAAATATAAGGTGTAGAAGTAGGGGATTTCTTCTCTAGGTTCAGTCTCTCTTTTAACGACACCGCAAAGTCGTCCCTTGGGCAGTGAAATCAGCAGGGCGACCGAGATTCACTACTTTCTACAATCCCGAAAGGGTTTTTTGGTGGCAACACTTCTGTATTGTATTATGTTGCTTGCCCCTCTGTGTATTGCTCTTCGGCTGTCTTGTCTCGTCTACTCGATACAATCACAAGGGTTTCCAATGATAAATTAATTTAGATTATTATATGTCCAATTACAGAAGGCTCTGAGTGGCTAGGATATAATCTAAATTCAAGTCAAAGGGAAGGGTCTGCGATTTATCGGCCAAATTGCCTAATTGCAATTAATTTCCAACTTACTCCGCCAACACTAACTATTCTCTCTCTCTCTAGAGAATCTCTGATGAGAACTAATTATTTACTGGTCTCTTACTCCGAGAACCAACTTTTCGATTCGCTCGCAATTATTCTTCTGACTCTTACAGGCTCTCCGGTACCCTCCAATTCCTTATCTTTCTTTACCCTTTGTTTGCTCTACTGCTTAACTTAATGACGAATCAATTTTACGCTCAGTTTACTATAGCATGTAATACAGTAGAATCACCAATTCTACATATAGCCAACAGACAGTTGGAGAAGAGTGAATGAATGCAAGTTAAGTTTGACTTCCTACGAGCTTTTTTTGAGATGGTTAAGCAAAATCAGCTGGGAAAATTACACCCTACACCATAGTACGTTCCTCCACTTCGTGTTCTGTTCGGAACAATTCGACATCGAGTGAAGGCGAGAATCTAAGCTTCTATCATACAATTTACCAGAAATAGTTCTGAACTACTTGCCTATGCCTAAATCCCACAAAAAATTGCAATAAAATCGGTCAGTAACAAAAAAAACCTTCGCATTATAGCACTTGGCTTTTACAAAAAGTAGAACCTTGCGTAGCTTTTCACAGTCCTCGGATTCATTCATGAGTTTGTGCAGCTGTTCTAGTTTGAGCAGGTAGTCCACGTTGTAGCTGTCTTGAGCACTCAAGTGGCTCTCACTCTCCTCGCCTGAAATTGACTAACGAATCAACCTTAAATAACATCAAGTAAATTGATTTTCCTGCCATGTAAAAACAGCGTTGATACTTTCGAATAAAAAGTTTTTATTTCACCGAGAGAACGTTTTTGAGTCAAAAAGCTCCAAAGAGAAAGCTATTTTTCGGGCACATATTGGACTTTGTATTGGGGGCGTTCTTTGGTTTTTGATAGCAAAGTCCTTTCAGCAGTAATTTGGTCGAGGTTCAACGTTTCCAAAACAATAGGAAAACTTGGGATCTTCCCCCTTTATTACAATGGGGGGGGGGGGGTAACTGATTATATGCGTAACTGATCAATTCTCTCTTTTTATAAGTGTGGTGGGGGGGGGGGGGAGATTTGTTACAAGGTACCATAAGGGGGAGATAGTTAACAAGATCCGAAAACTTGATCGAAATTTGTTGAGAAAAACAACACCAATATTCGCAACTCTTTTTCTTATTTTATTATACAATTTTTGGTTTTTAGGCGAAATTGGTGAATATTCACTTACCATATTGATTCAATACAAGCTAAGTTGCTATTTTTGTGTTCGTTAAAATGTCATTGATAGTTTTTTCCAAAAAGTCCTCTCCTTTACACACGAACAAAACTTTTTTTCATTATCATTAATGTAACATTAACTGTCGTCCAAACCTTCTGTGCCACTTGTACAGCAACTGCCTATTCTTATTATTTATTGGCGCAAAAAATACTTACAGCAAAAAAAACACCCTCACGTTAACAATAGCCACTAAAAAGCGAAACCTTTTTTGACTGGACTAATACACAAAGATTACTTCGGCACGCCTATAAAGTTGCTATTTTCGTATGCTCGCTGAAAAAAGGTTGGATTTCAGCATTCAATTAAGAACCAGTGAATGAAAATGAATATTAGCAATAGAGAAAATTCTCTCGGTATTTTTTAAATTGCCAAAAAGAAGGACATCCCAAATTTGAAGTCCTGTTTAAGGTTTCAAAAAAACTTTTAACCATGAAAAATTATTTTGCATGAGTTTCCTACACCGAAACTTGAATACTAGGAGAAATAAACTCACCTAAGGATAAACTATTGTCTTCTTTATCAAAGTCAACTTCTTGGTCATCAGCAGAATCTTCGCCATTCAAACCATCCTCCGAGTCCGAGTTTGCACTATCTGATGACCCGGGAGCACTTTCATTCTTTTTCACATTTTCCATTCGCTTTCCCGAAATTTGTGCACTCTTCGAGCATCCGGAAGAACTAGCATGTTTGGTCTGGACTTCGACCTCGACTTCTGAATTGTTGTCGGCAATATCAGAGTCACTCGCACTAGATTCGTTTTCCGACAGCCTCGGAATCGGATTGTCGGTCGGCATTTTCTTGCCTCCCGACTGTCCGCTGGAATTGCGCTTCTTTTTGTCTGCTTCAACATCAAGATTCCCTTCTTCTTTTACAGCAGTCACAGTCTCTTCATGTAGGCTTTTCCCTTTGATAGTCTTTCCTTTACTTTTCTGCGATGACGCAACTGACTTTCCCTTTTCAGTCTTGTCTGCAGATATTTTTTTCTCCGATCCTTTAAGTTTGCCGCTTTTAGGCATGGGAGTTGGCTCCATACTAGACGGAGTGTGTTTAGCTGTTGGTTTGTGGATTTTCATCACAGATGGCTGTTCTTCGGATTCCGATTTCAATTCTACTTTGGCTGCATCAGTTCGAGTTTCTTCAGCAACATCATCTTCATCTTCATTTGAATCCCCTCCTGAGCTGCTGGTTTCATCTTGAAACAATTAAAACAAAGAATTGTATCGAAACAATTAAAAGAAAGAATTGCATTGAAAATATATGACGACACTCATTGAAAAAATACTTCAAACGCTAAAAGTTTTGCAATAAAAACAAAAGCTTCAAAAGTTCCCCCTTTTTAAGCCGAAAATAATAATAATAATACTGCAACAGCTTACCTTCAAATCCAAAAAACAAATCGGCGATAAAATTTGGAGAAAAAATTTTATTTGGCAGAGATGTTTTTAGATTCAATTCGTTCATCTGAGAATGGAAAAGCCGAAGTAAAATATTTTCCGAGACATTCGTACAATTTCCATTTTTTCAATGCAATGCAAATTAAAAATGTGAACAAATGAAAATTCAACGGTTTTAAATAAATATTGAATGGTTTTCTAATTGCAGTGAAAAGATAATGACAAGGTTTGCACGCATTGGCCGAGTAATTAACTTTCTCATGGGCCAGGGAGACAAGTTATGACTCGCAACAAATTTCATCCGAACGATGGATATGTTTCGTCGGTCAAGCCAACGAAAGATATTGAACATCCGAGTTTCGAGCGGATTAACGTGGATAAAATGACACTTCTTCACGAAATAGTTTTATTCATCGGTGATTAAAAAAGCTTTTTCGGACGCTGTGTCCTGAAACAGGCGAATGTATTTACAGGTACGACAACAATGCCAACATCTTTAAGTATGTGAGACAAGATTGTTGTTTACCTTCAGAGGAACTATTTGAGGTGCTGCTTGAACTGCCACTGCTTTCACTCAGCGTCATTTTTCGCCATCTTTTCTTCTCGGAACTCACTTCTTTGTTCTCTTTTTTGCTCGCTTCCACCTTCTCTTTCTTCATATCCACCGTCGCTTCTACTCCCCCTAATTGGCTCTTTTTCTTTTTGCCCTTCTCCGATGTCGTCGTTGTTTTTCGTTTCTTCTTCGGCTCGAAGGCGCCCTCGATGTCACTCGAACTGCTCTCCTCGCCCTCTAACTCCTTCATGAAGTCCGACTTGAAGCCCCCTGATGAACTGCTAGTAGTTTTTGCTGCATTTGAACTTGGCTTCAATACATGACCCACCGATTCCGAGTCATCGTCAGCGGCTTTTTTCGCCACCAAATTGTCATGATTTGATGAGCTTTTCGACCTGTGAGAAGATGGCTCCATCTCCACAACACTTGCATCGTCAGCTGGTTCCGCTTTCATAGATCCACCGGAGTTGCATTCCCGATTTGATTCTACAGATGAAAAGAATGTTGGCCGATGTACTTTTGAAAAACTTCCTTCCATGCCAAGTCAGGCCAGTTAATCTATAGTTGCAAGAAATTATTAGCGATGCTATAAATTACAGGGTCAAATCACCTTCGGTATTACTGATGGTAAAAATTAGACTATTGGTCTTAAACTTGGATAAAGATATTATCCAAACAATTTCTTCTTTAAATTAAAAAAAAATTTTAGTTCGATTTTTTTCTTCGTTGCTACTGTTCGCAAAAACTTTAACGTACGGTGGTTTCATATCCGAGATATTTAAAAATAAATTTTGGCAAAAAAACTGATTTTGAAGTTTTAGTTCAATGTAATGGTTCTTAATCTAGATACTATTTTGAATCTGTTAACTCAACACTTGATTCGATTCGAAGACTATTCGATTCATTCGCTCCCAGAGTGATTACTCCCGCAAGGCCAATTTATCTACATTTTAAAAACTATTTTCTGTACCTCCCACTTGTAGTTGCATTTAGTTGTTAATGATTCTTTTCGTTCGAAGGAAGAGTAAAAATGAATTATCTCTCTGAAAGATCCTCAACAGTCTTTTCAATGATGTTTTTCATTTGAGTTTTTTCCGCAACTTCACAAAAAAGGTTTAAAAAGTGCAGACTGATTCAACACTGAGCAAAAAATGGCTGTTTTTTTTCTGAATGTACAAAAACCAGTAGTATTAATAGTTTAGTTCAAACAGAAGCACATTCCGGAATTTTTCTTCATTGCTTCAACCTCTCTTATCCAATCAGAACAGCCGAGACAACCATTTATGGCATTTTTCAGAGCTCAAGCAGATGGTCTTTATCACAATGAAACTTGAAAAAAATTAGCAACAGTTTTTGCTGCGAAAACAAATAATTCATCTGATTAACGTGGTTTAATTGTTTCCCATGTGAACTTCCCATATTGAAATTTGATAGCAGAACACATGTTTGCAAGTTATATATGTCATCAAGCGACAATTTCTAAGTGACCCTCAAAATTAAAACAAAATAATCTATATATCTGATCTTAAAACATAACAGTAGCAAAAAATAAATTGCATGCTGAAACAAACCAATGATAGACTAAATAGTATAACTAAAAAAAACAAATCTCAAAAATTTTTGCCCAAAAATTTCGAATGATCACGAGCCAAGGACTTTCTTCTTTGTGAAAACAACGAAGTGAAGCAGAATTGAGTGATTTGGTAGCAGAAGTCTGTTATGAAGCAACTTGCTCCGGGTAACCTGACACTCAACATCAACTGTAGGCGATTGAACAAAAAACACTTGAGCTGTTGCTATGTATCCCCCCGTGCGAAAATACTTCAATGATCAATTAGCCGATCAATAAATTGAACAACTGTAAGCTTACTTTTATCCTTTTTCTTTTTGACCTTTTCCCTCTCGAGAGTAGCTCCCTGGTGGGTGTCTGTGGGACCTAGGGATGATATGGTTGCTTTACTGCTGGTGGCATGTGTACCCAAAGTGAACCCTGAATCAGACTTCTCCTTCTTGTTAGAAGACACTGTCATGTTACTGCCTAAATACAAATGACAATTGGAATGCTAGTTAAGTCATACGCTTTCTGCAGACAAAAATAGAGACGTTTTATAACAAAACTCTTAACACTATCACTACAACCGGTCAGAGCTTTAAAACGGGTTGAATGAATTAGATGGAGGGGGTGTGAACCTGAATAGCTGACCAGGTGTAGTTACATTTGTAGCAATACACCACACAGCTAGAGCGACAGGATCTATGAACAGGAACACCACTGGAACACTCACCTGTTTTTCCTCCCGTGGACTGCGTATGTCCTCCTGATGATGACGAGGAGGACGAGGTTGCTGTCGTTGGTTGAGGCGGCGGCGGCTGGGGCGAAGGGGCAGCCGACGATGAAGATGCATTTGTGCTTGCAGTGGCTAGAGATGCGGTGACCTTAGAGTGACCTAAAATACACAAAACAATTAGCAAATATAAAATCATTCTAACATTGCTCCAAGACAAATTTGATCGCAGGATTTTTTATCAATTAGGAAAAAATGATAAAATATTGGATATCCAATATAAATTGGCAAAAACCACAAACTTTTCAAAATATCTCGGCATTTCAGCAGGAAATTTGACCAGGTGAGATACGATTTGACAAAACATGCATGCCTTGTACAAAATATAAAAACAATTTGACGATCAAACTGGACGTGAACAGCTTTTTACCTGCACTTGAAGGCGTGTTTTTGGTGACATAGATGGGCTGTGAAAAGAGTGAGGCCTCAATCTTCTTCTGCTGATTGTGCTGCTGATGGCCACTTCCGCCTGACTTCAACTAAATTTCAATTACAGATAATTCTTCCGACAAAATTGGCAGATTTATTTCATCGTTTTATTTCTGTTGATCTTATCCAAATAAGTGCGAAATTTAGTGCGAAATCTAAAATAAATATGCTGAAAAACTACAGAACTGACCAGATAAGCAAAAGAATTGAGCTTTGAACAAAAACTTTTGATACACCGTTTTGCATCAAGAAAGGAGAAAATGGTTTTTTTATGGTAGCGGAAGCAGGCAGGGATTTAATTTTTTTACAAGGCGTTCGAACTGTCAAAAAATTTGTGAAACTTCTTCAGTTCGACTAACTATCGTTTGTTAGGGCGTTCAAAAAGTGGTAACAACCGAAAAACATAGATTCAGATCAACAAATGGATTAATCAGCACTACCTTGTCTTTGTCTTTCTTGCTACTCTTCGATTTCTTCGAACCTTCCTCGTCTAAAAAAAAACAGAAATTCCAATTTCTAAATAGTATGTATCACTCATATGCAAACAGAAGTATAACTTACCTTTCGATCTGTCCTTATCTTTTGAAGAAGACTTGTTGCTCTTGATCTAAAATGAGTAAAAGTTGAACTATCACAACAGGAGCTGATGAAAAGAGAAAAACCTACAACATGGCACACTAGCAGTGGGAAAATTGAAGACAAAGAACTCAAGGAAACTGAAGACAGGATAGATTTTTAAAAAATTTCAACTTTTGGATTATGAAGAATAAAATCAGGGGCGGATCTAGGATTTTCTCGAGGGGGGGGCGGATTTTCAAAAAACTGTCAAAAATTTTGACGACCTTTTTTTTTAGCTGACCAACTTGATTTTCCGAGCTCCCCTAAAGCACTAAAAAGACTATGTTTTGGCTAAATATTCTGCGCCGCAGGCAAATATTTGAAAAAAAACAGGTCAAAAAAACCGTTTTTGGGCACTTTTTGAAAAATTTTGACAAAAAAATCGCGTTTTTTGGCGCGCACTCCCCTTCAAAAAATAGTATATATTGGCGCCAAAGGCGCATTTAGAAAAATTTTAGGGTCGGTCGGCCAAAAATGGATTTCTTAAAAAGTACCAAAGGGGGGGGACTCTTTGGGTCGGCAGGTGGTCGAATCCCTGAGGGGGGGGGGGGGGGGCGTCCGCCCCCCCCCCCCCAAATCCGCCCCTGAATAAAATACTTCACGTTAACGTTATTTTATAATCTAGAAGCTGTAAAACTAATCCGTTTAAAGAAAAATGGACCAAAAGATAATTTTTGTAATCCGCTGGAAAATCTAAAAATTAAAAACACTTTCAAAACTAAAATTCATTCACGTTTTTTTTCTCGCCATATGTTTTTGCGCAAATGAAGATTATAATCTGCCTTTTGTAGCGAGTAATTTCGCCGTTCGATTCAAAAATCGAACGGCGAAAAATTAAGAACGATCAATATCTAAAACATATGACTTACAACAAAAAGGTCTTTAAAAAGAATTGTGTTTAAATTGACCAATTAAGATAACTTCTGAAAGAATGAAATTAAGCCAACAGACAATTAGGAGTGGCTAAAAATTAAATTTTTGGAAAGTTTTTCATAAAGTCGAAACAAATTTAAATAGCAACAATTTTTGATGAAATTATACGGAACTGCTGGAGACTTAAATATAAATACACTTGGAAAGCAAAAAGAAAGAGCAGTTTTTAGGCCAAATGATTTTTAGTAATAAAAAACACCCTACAGCACAGTTCCTTCCCAGTTGTTCGGTAAATGGCCTGAAGAAAAAATTCAAAACTTCATCTTTTGCCCATCTTCACTCACACGCAATGTCAAATATAAAGATGATATTTCTCCCATCTAGCACCCTTTATTTGCACCAGTTAGCTGGCCTTGATTCAAATAGTAATGATTTCTAAGCCGAGTCAATTTGTCGTTTACGCTACGTGCTAATATGAGACGCACTAAACATTCCATATTACCAACTTTCAAATTCCCATTACTTTGCTAAAAAATGATCACAGGCAACTTTTTCACATTTTTTTTGAGCTCAGAGCATAAATATCTTCTAGATTAATTGAATAATTTGCCAAAAATTTCTAAATAAAAATCCGATATTCTGCTGAAGAAAAAATACCCAGAATAGACTTGGGCATTAAACAACGCTTCCTATTCAAAAAACTGAACGAAGAAAACAATTTAAAAAATTTCAGGTTCTTTTCTGATTATAAGGTTATATTTCCAAAACTACTCGATTTCAGGTATTAGTAATTTTAACTCAGAAATGCAACCCTAAAATACCATTGTTTGACTTCGTTAATTTTTTTTCCATTAGCCCATACGATATCTTTTGCTGCTATCAACTGTTTAACCATTTAAGCATAATTTCTTAGAAAAAAAAACACTATTTTTGAAACACTTTAAATGTTTATTGAAAATTTTCGAAGAAAAAAAACAGTCATAACTCAAAAACTAAAACAAAACTAAGCAGACTTTTTACAAGACCAGATGAATAACGCCTAAGCGTACCATCTCAGCACCACAAATTTTGAAACAAACGTCAAATTTTGATTTCAGAAGGGTTTGAGCAGTCATACTTCGAAGCCACATCTGCAACCGCTGGAATGGAAAAAATGTGTCATCAGTCGGCCGCAGGGTTGCGAAATTCTGACAAAAAAACTTCATATAATGAAAATTAAAATATTGAAAAAGCCTATTTAAATGTAGGCCACGTCTGCAACTGCAGAAACATCCTGACATCATTTCATATTTCATCAAACTTTCAGCAATTTTGAGAGTAATATTTCTAAGAAGTTCAAGTTGTTTGAAAATTTTTGATAAATCAAAAAACATCATCTCGCAAAAATAAGTTGAGCAGTCAAATTTTGAGGCCAGATTTGCAACCTCTGAGAGTACTCTGGCAGGACCCAACAGTAGGCTTGAGAACTTTTCATACTGCGAAGTTTTCAAAATCGAAAAATCAATTTTAAAAAAATCATATCTCGGAAACAAATAGAAACCCTGAGAGTACCTGACAGCACCTCACTATATGGTCGAGAGTTTCAAATGTTGTGAACACGCATTTTAACAAGCCAATTATGGAACGCTCGTTAAATAATGTATAGTTGGATGAATACCACCGTACACTACCCTAGACTGCGCTGCCTTCCTCCAACTGTCACATGTTGGCATGATAGCTACAGCCTTACCTTCGGGCCTTACAATTGTCGTGGAAATCATAAACCGGAAAATCGCAAAAAAATAAGCATTGAAAGATACAATATTGCATAAACGTGCGAAAATCTTTTCATTAAATATGGAAAAATATTACTTAGGAAAAACTTGGCAAGATATTGAAGCCAGCGTTTAGAACTATAATAGATAGATAGAAATATATTATTTGAATTGGAAAAAACCTGTGCTGAGGAACATATGCAAACAAAACTAAGCTGACACACAATTCACTCCCAATACAATTGTTTCAAGAAAAAGTTTCAAATTGAAGTTCAAACGAGCACTGAAATGTCTAAAATGGGCTGTAACCAATATTTTAATTTGAAATCTCAAGAATTTTAGCCTGTCCAGCACATTAAAATACTGTGCACGTATTGTTAACAACTATTCAGTATTTATCTTAAATTAGTTGTGTACCTGAAAATTATTATTTCGGTTTGATAAACACGTCTTTAGAAAAAGTACTTCGAATGACTACCGATTTTATATTTTCACGTGTGGAAGCATAGTTAGTTTTCCAGAAAAAATCGAGAATTCCGCCGCGAGAATTTTTTTTACCAAACGTCTTTTTTTGCTTTCTTCGTCTCGGAATCCCCGCTCAAAAATAGTATATTGGCGCGAAGGACACCCAAAGAAAAATAATGCCAGTTAAAAATGGATGCTTCCATTTTCCTTTAAACCGCTAAGGAATCCATCCAATTGGCAAGTAAAGCATCGACTAGTTTTTCAGTTTTTGTAGAATTTTAGGCGCTTGGCGAGGAAATGGTAAAATAAATTAAAAATGAATCATTCAGAAAGGCGTAGAGGGCTGATTTGAGGGTGCTTTGAACGTGTCTCCACCCGAAAGCGACTTGGGAAATTTTGTAGGTTCAGTCAGCCAAAAATAGAGCAGTCGCAAAATAGCAGCACAGTATGAACCCTTCGGATTGCGAGTGTATCGAAAACCGAACTTCTAAGAGTGGCCGAGTGCCCATTAAAAATGCGTTCATGGGCAGACGAGTCGTTCGGGCCTTGCGATCGAATCAAAATTGATTTCGTGGTTATAAAAGACCACGTATGAATATTTGACATGGAGATTCTATTTTGAGCATGGTTTGTTCTACATTGTCAAAATTCGCAATTAGCTCTAGCAAGTTTATAGCGCAACATCGACAGGCATTTTTATTAAGCCTATTGTGCCGCAATTTCTTTGTTGTGCATGCAACAGTTATAAATGCTGCAAAATGAAAATTTAGAAGGAATTCCATTTATATCAATTCTGCAAAAAATAGTCACACGTACAAAGGAGATAAACTGAAGTGAGCGTATCGTTATTTTATACTCCGTTAGTCCGAGCACAAAGAACGGTCAGTTGGACGAAGGTAAGCCCGGCCGAAAAAGTTTAAGATGGCAGTATTCTTGATACCACTATGATTTCTCAAATCACGCATTTTTCGTTTAAATTGTTGTTTTGAAGTTTTTTTTCCAAATGATGGTGTATGCAAAAAGACCTTATTTAGCATCTATTCCAGAAACCCCTTAAGAACTCGGGAACTGTGTGATTTACATTCGCCCCTAAATTCAAAAACATTACTATACGTAACACATGGGCGTCGGCTACTTTTGAAATGATGAGAAACAAGCGTCAGCTTCTACTTGATCATCATCTAAATCACAGACTGGCATCGTCTCGGTTTGCTCCGAGTGCCTTTCAAGTCAGTGGCCTGCAACTAACCCTCACGCATTAACGGTAGAAAAGAGAGAGCGTTGCAACAACTACAACTCAGACTCAAAACCTCTTAGAGATTCAATCGGCTTATAGCCAACACATGTACCATGTACCAAGCTCTTACCATTTTCTATAATCCAGCCGGAGAAATACTGCAGCAGTTTTTGGAAGACAACTCGAATAAATAGAACCATAAAATAGCATACCAAAACACCCTTCAGTTTCATGACAAACACTACCACTTTTTAATATTTAAAATGACACAAAATAACACTATTTCAATGCAGAACCGAAAACGACACACTCACAGCTGCAACGAGTTTAGTCACTGAGGTCATAACATACAAAGGTCACAAAATGATTTCAAACAGGCCTCATGCTTAATTCGGTGCGAACCTTAAGGACCCAAATTCTGATCAACTCTTTCTGTGGACCTAGATCGACTAGATTTTCTTCTAGATTTCTGTTTTCGAAGCCGGATCTCCCAATGAATTACCCCTCTTTGCAATATGGGGGGTGGGGTTGGTGTGGTTAACGTAACAATATTCATGGAGCCTAATCTACCCATTTCTACATCGGCCTAGTTCCCGTTGGGTGAACTAAGTATTAAACGTGCAACATAACACAAGAGCCAAGTAAGATATTCCCAAATAAATTCTACATTTTGCATTGGCATGGAAAACCAACGAACACAGACTGAGATAGAGAGAGAGAGAGAGGGGGAATTGGGAAAATATAAAATAGATACGAGGAGCGGAACCACACATACAAAATATATTCAGTCTGCCTCAAGCACTGCAAATAGAAACAGAGACAGAGCTAGAGCTCACTCTAATATTATAGCACATACATACATGCATAGCATAGCATAGGATAGTACAGAAGCATAAGAGAAGAGAGCTTATTTTTCCACTGCTTTTCCACAGTTGCATAGAAGGTACTATTCATTCAGTCTTGTCTTTCCTTTTCCTCATTCTCTTTTGAGTAGTTATTACTTATTCACGGCTACTTTTTCACTGATTTGGGTAAGACCAAACGCCATTTGCATGCAGATAATAACAACCAACATACACTAACAGCTGGCATACCATAGAACCCCTTTCATAGACCTGCCCTACGCTATCTTGACTCTTGGTCCAACCCGTCCTCCCGATCCCCCACCCCAACCAACCCCAACCCCAACCCAAACTTGGTAACTTAAACGCAGGTAAGCTCTTTAATCGGTAGTAAACATGCGACTAGACTGATATGATATAAGTTAAGTAATAAAATAGCTACAAACTCTTTCTTAACAAATGCAGTCCAAAAGACTCCGCATTTATTGTTTAGTCACAACTGTTATTCTTTTGTATGTAATCTCCGATTCCGCATTATCATTTATTGTTCCCACTTTCGTAACGGAATATTTGTGCTCGTTTGATTGTATGTACACTACACTACGTATAGTAAGTGTTCATAGAGTTTCTATCATTTGTACGCAGTCTTCGAAATAAAGAAAGGAATCTGAGAAGACGTTTTGTAGACCCAAGGAAGCCACGCACAACCAACGGGACAACAAACAGCACACGCGCAGTCCAAGTGCATTTCAATCTCCTCTTCTCTTCTCTCCTCTTCTCTGCTCGCCGATATCCAAACTGCTTCCACTACAATCACTCAACTGAGCGGAACGGAATAGCTAGCTAGCACACAGCACTCAGGTTAGACCACTTTCCTTACAGTACAAAATTCACATGTTGACAACTTTTAAAATAGTAAACACATTTTACATGCAACCTTCACAACACAAAATATAATCTAGCCTCATTACACATTATTGTTCTCACTTTTTATATTAGTTTTATTGTGCAACAAATAACAAACATACTTTCAATCACTTTTTTTGCTGTTTATCGCAAAAATTGTTCGCTCATACCACGCATATAACACAAATACAAACACAAAAAAAAACATTCAATTTCTGATTGCATTTTTTTTCGGAAGAAAATACAAAAAGCGCAAATCCGGACAGATTATTTTACATTCATTAAATTTTTCATTAAATTGAACAACTATTCGAACGTGATCTGAAGTAAGTGTGCGCGACCTTGACCTTGAGCCTCTAGCTGTTCAGAATGAGTTGGGACTCCTACATCGACACCATCATTGGCCACGCCCCCAACGACTGCGACAAGGCGGCGATTATAGGCAAGGACGGCTCAGTGTGGACCACGCCCGCGGGGGGCAAGGGCATCGCCATCTCGGCCGCAGAAGCCGCCGCACTCGGCAAAGCGGCTCAGACGGGCGAAGTTAGCGCACTCCAGGCTTCCGGCATCTACCTCGAAGGTTAGAACAGAACAGAACAGACCCCACATCCAGAAAAACATTCGCTACTACTATGATAGACTGGTCCCCAAAAATAAGCAAAAAAAGCCAAAAAACGTCTAGAGTTAACAAATAAAAAATAATTATTAATCGGCAAATTTGAACTCCGAGCATCAATGAATTGACCCAATCGCTGATTTTCAAATAATTTGCCGCATATACGCAGTTTTGTAATTACCATTTCACATCGAAATTTTTTCGTGAGACCTTAACACGTTTGCTGTTCGACGTTTGAGTTTGTCTCCCTTTTAACAAAGAAAACGGACTGAAAATGTACAACTCTAATGGACTGATTAGAGCATTTTAAGGCCTTTTCCTTGGAACACAACGAACAAAAAATCATCAAGACATGTTGTCAATCAAACAGGAATTTAAAAAACTAATAACTGACCTTCTTTTCGTTAAACAAATTATCTATGGCGAGGTGAAGCTGCATTTAGCAAATATAAGTTCACAAACGGAAAGAGGGAACAGAGACGGAACGGAGCTCTGAATCACTTTCGTATAAATATGTACGTGCGGTACAAAAATGAATGTTGAAGCATGTCAAACTAAAAAAATAGTTTCTGAAAAACGGATTAATTCACAACTGTTCGAAAATTTCATTTAGACAGAGGCAAAGCGGAGCTTCGCACCATTTGTAATATTAAAGAATAAAGCGAATAAAAGTGGATGAAAAGCAACAAAAAATTAACTCAGGCAAAATTTTTAAAAGATAGGAAAACGTTTAATCTTCGAAAACGTTTGAAATCAGACAAATCAATCTTTTAATTAATTTTTGATTAAAAATTCTGCGAGCCAATTTTTTATACAAAGAAAAAAGAAAAATTAAATTCAATAAAAATTTAGCTGAACAAAAGTGTCGGCTAGAAATTTACAAAATAATTGAAAAGTTTTCTTCGATTTATCGAAATATAAATGACCAAAACGAAATTTATTTGGAAATATTTCAAATCATTGAAAATGATCATGAATCAGTGAATCAAATTTCGTTCAAAAATTGTAGTCCATAACCTAGCCAACTGTTAGTTCGAAACGAGAAACGAACGCAAAAACAAATAAAAAACTGACATGTTTTTTGAAAAAATATCAGCCCTCAAATTTTGAGGAAAAAAAAGAAGGCCTTAAACCTCTTTGAATTTCTAGACCAATTTATGATTGAAAATTTTTTCATGAAATTACTCCAATTTGAGAAAACTGGATCAATACGGTGAGATTTTATTTCGCTAGTTCGAAATTAGTTTTTTGTGAAGTTTGCACTTTTGCTGTTCAATAGTGGAGTTTGCCTACCTTTTAACAATGGAAATGATTTGAAAAGAAATCGAAAGTCAAACCACGAAAAATCAAAATTAAAAACTAAGCGTGAACCATTTTTGAGACGTTTTTTCTAGAAAAAAATCACCAAGATCTATTTAAGTGTCTTCACTACGTCCGTTACACTTGAAAATCCAAAAAAAAATAACTCCGTAAAACTCTTTCAAACCAAATCAACCGCAAATCCATCAAAAACCTTTGACTAACCTACATTCATAACTTCCATACATCCACATTCATACATCCATATTACGTAGAAAAAAAAATGAAAAGCCCAATTGAAAAAATATAGTTCACAAAATTCGACTCAATTTGTTTTCATACAACTCATAGGAATTCACAGAAAACTCATTAAAATTATAAAATTAATCCAACTACATCATTCCTTAAGTAAAAATAGCTAGAGAATAATGAAATCTTAAAATGAAAAAATACACAGGCGAAGCAGAGCGTGGCACCATTTGCGATGGGAAAATGAATGAACATCACAATTAACACATGAATAGACAAATGTGAACATAGCCAACTGGCAGTTGGAAAAAAGTAATGAACGCCAATTTGAGGAAACTGGATCAATAGGTAAAATTTTTATTTCGCTGGGAAATCTGATAATTAATTTCTATTTTCGCAACCAAAACTCGATCACGTCTTTTGCTGTAGCTTTACACTTTTCTGTTCGGTAGTGGACTTTGCCTTCCTTTTAACAATGCAAAAGAACTTGAAAAGAAATCACAAGTCAAACCGCGAAAAATTAAAATTGAGCGAAAACAAAAAGTAAAAAAAAAATCACCAGCAACTATATATGAGTACTCACTACTTTCATTACTCTTAAAAACAAAAAAATTTCGAAAAAATTATTTCAAAATACAAAGATAGCAAAAAACCCAAATCTTGAAACCGAAGTAACTCAACCTTAAGAAAACTTACAAACAAAGTTGAGGCAAAGCTTCGAATTTCATGCGATAATACAAATGCATATCATGAGAACGTAACCGACTGAAAGAGATAAAACGGTACAAAAGTAAAAAAAATATATATAAAAAAAATTGATCTATCAAAAAATTTCCACCAGTTTATCAATTTTCTCCAGAAAGAAAATTCTTTTCAGGAAAATATGCCAAGAAGTAAGACAGTTAAAAGTCAATTAAGCATCAAAACAAAACTAACTAAGCAGTAAGAATGCCGACAATTCTTGAGCATACATACGTTGAGCCCAAAAAATTAAGATGAAGCCTTATTGCTTTCAAACAACGCCAAAAGAGGCCTCTTAGCCGATATATAAATAGCCAAAACCATTTAAACCGAACATAAAACGAAAAAAAAATGGACAAAATTTTTTATTTCGCAGGGAAATCTGATTATTAATTTCCATTTTCGAAATAAGAAGTCGCTCACGTTTTTCGTGACCAGTACACTTAAGCTGTTCAATGGCGGTGTTTGCCTTCCTTTTAAAAATGGAAATGAACTGAATTTAAAAGAAATCACTAGTCAAACCGCAAAAAAATCAAAATTGAGCATCAACAATTTTTCAATTTCTTATACTGAGCCATGAAGTTTAATTTTTACGACCCATCCTAGCTGAAACACATAGAAGCATACAAAAATAAATTGCATGAATTGAATGCTGCACAAATGATTCAGTGAATTTGTTAACAAGAAAAAAAAGTTTATGTTCCAGTTTGATAACGCTTGCTAATCGCAAGCGTAATCAATGTCCGAATTTTTAAACCAGAAAGAACCATCCTTTTGGATCCCATGCAGAAATCGCTAATTGCCTTCATGCGCAAAAAACCTCCCAGGTCAAAGATGAAAAAGAATAAGCTTTTCATAGATACTTTTCGATGATTTGAACAACTTTAGCCATATTTCAATTAATCTAATTATGAAACTGATCAAATCTAACAAAAATTAAGATGCTTGTACCACCTAAATCTAAAACACTAAATCTAAATCTAAATCCAAGCAGCCGAAAAACTCATCTATTTCAAAATTTGTTTCATTATTAACATAAAATTTTGAGCATAAAAACAAAAAGCCTATGGAATTTCATTTACCGTGTTCAAAATTGAACTCAAAAGCTCACCCAGAGTAGAGTAGGGTGTATGAGACCAATGAAACTAAGCTGGAAGAATAAGACAAATAAAACAATTGTTGAATCAGACTGGGATGAATGAGTAACGAAAAGTAAATAAATTCGACTAGCAAAAATTTGCCGCGACCAAAAAACCTTTGTAAAATATGATTGTTTCGGAAACAGTATAACAGTTGAAAAGGTTGTCATTTGATTTGCCTGCAATTCCACTCTAGCCAGTATACTTTTTCCGAGTTCAAGAAAATGTCGGAACAAGAAAAAGAAGAAAAACGAGATAAGATATTTAGTTTAAGAATATAAAACTTTGAAGGAAGGGCGAACATATGAGCTTTTCAGCTGTTAATAGAGAAGAGAACCTCTGTTTAGCCCCTGATTAAAATCTACAAGCATTTTTCTGTTTGTTTTTCGGTCTGCTTGCAAGACCCTCAAGCAAACAGCGAGCACTGATCATAGTGGTCTTCGATCAATCGACCTTTCGACTGATAAAATGAGAAAAGTCTATTTCAGAGAAAGCAAAAATTTAATGGATATTTTTTACTGATCATTTGACCTCTAAAATGGGCACTTCATTTAACTACTTGCAAGGGTTTCGAAGTTGCTCGTTGCAAGTCAGTAGGCTTATGAGCGTGCTTGCTGTTTGATTTTGTACATGCGAGTTGTTTTCAGCAAGGGGCACCGATGCTATGATCGAAACAAGGTTGGCACGTTTTAAAACACTGTTTTAAATCAGTTTTAAATGAAGGCAACTTTTGCTGTGTGTTTTAAACCTTTTTTAATACCTTAAACCTTTTTTTAATAAATCCTAGATAAATCCTAGCCATTCAAGTGTGTGTTTATGCGTGCATGTTTTTGTTTTGTTGCAGGCGAGAAGTATCAATTCCTTAGAGGCGATGCCACCCTCATGCTCGGCAAGAAGAAGGACAAGGGCGCCATCTCCTGCCAGAGCTCCAAGACAGCCGTGGTCATAGGTCACACCAAGGAGGGCGGCTCCCAGGGCAACGTGAACAAGGGCGTGGCAGTGATTGCCGAGTACCTGGACTCACTCGGCATGTAAGCAAGCGGCAACACAAATGACAACACAAATGACGTCACATTTTTGAACAAACAAACAGAAGAATAGTGCAACTAAACTGATGCCTCTTTTGGTTCTCAAAGAGAGCTCATTGGGCGTAAATAACTGGAACGGTGGCAAATAGCACACAGGTTTAAAAAAATAAAGCGCCATTTAAAAAAAACAACGATATACAAAACTGATTAAGAAGAGCTGATTGCAAGAATGAAATAACCTATTTTCAGTTCTTTGTCAAATAGATCTGAAGATAAAATTAGTAGTTGTTCTGTGGCTGAGTGCTATTTGACTTGATATGCCCTCGAGGTGTTACTGACTGTGAATGCATCTACGTGCTCAATTGCTTCTCATTAACTACTACAACTCTCTTTGAGATACTTTGATGGTGCGGCTGATTTATGATTGATTGGTAAATTTGAGTCTTTCCAAATAAATCATTGCTTGAAACTGCCTCTGACACGCAGCATTCCACGAAAGAGAAATGCGGCCATATCATAAGGCTCGCAGCAAAACGAAAAAAATAGGTTAAGACTATTTATATACGAGGAAAGGACTAGCACACAAGCTGTTCAAATCTCTGCGGAGAACCGCTGCTGTGTTGTGTCCCTGCATTGAAATTACATGCGATTACACCAGCCCATTAGTTCAAATCTGCTCCTTTTTTTAAAAAAAAATGCTTAATTTTTGTGCCACAAATCGCTCCACAGACTAACTAATGCAACCAAATAGAAAGGCAGTTGAAAAACAAGTTACTTTTGATCAGTTCCCAACTTGAATATTTTTTGATCTATTGCCACTAAACCAGCTGAAAATTCTTTGAATTTCAAGAATCCTTTATGATTGACTCTGTGTTGATACAAACTAACCCATCGTGAGAAAACTGGGAAATAATAGTCAATTTTTGCCCCATAAGGACAATGTGCAATCTCAAAACAACTGCTGTAATTTGAGATTTTTCAATCGCCGATGAGAGGAATTTCGGATTAGAGTGATTTTTCCGCGCCCATTTGAACGTCCAAGGGGCGGGAGTGGTATATTTTACACAGAAGCGAAGCTGCGCTTCGCAAACATTAGCGAGGAAAATGCAAAAAAGAGCTCTAAACAGGCAAAACAAAAAGAAATAAGAAAAAAAATACACCAGGAGATAAAGTTATGAATATCAAATTTGAGATTAGGAGTATCATGTTCTCACATCTGCTCCAAGACCGCTTGTAATTTTAACACAAGCCACCAATAAACCAGCTAAAATTCGAGAAAAAAAATATTTCAATGCTCCAGATTTGAATCTCCGACCTGGTGATTAGGAGTGTCACTCAGGTCCTCGCATCTGTGCTGCGGTCACTTGGAAGTACACTAGTGTCCCAGCTAATGCTGCATTGGATGTACCTATTTTAATAATTTTAAACATGTGTTGTACTGACACGGAAATGTGTAATTTCCATAATTCCAAAAAATGGACTTTGAACAAAACCCTAGCAAATTCTCTGCTTAAGTAGATTATCTATTTATTTTAAGGAGAAAACTAATACTTGCCTTTTCAGTTGAAATGCTTTTTTTAATCTCAGATTTGGCTGGATAGTTTTCGAAAAAAGTAAAAAAGATTCCAAAAAACTATCAAAATTCAAAAATTTGACTATTTTTTAGTCCATAAACCTTCTCTACTAAAGCATGGGAATAGCCTCTTAAATAGGGAAAAATTCCACACTCTGATTTTTACATTCCCCTTAATATCCGATTTAGCAAGTATTATAAAAAAACGGTAAAAATTTCAAAAAAAGGGTTTTTTCGAAGTCCTTATTGGCTTTTTTACGACAAAAATACGGTAAACAGATTACGCAGCGAATATCTTAGCACCATGATAATTTGAACGAACTATCAACCTCAGATTCAGCTTTTGAAGAAAAAAGTTTCTCCAAAAAACGGGCAAATGCCACAAATTGGACTTTTTCTAATGCCACAAATTGGAATTTTTCGAATGCCATATATACAATTTTTCAAAACGCAGGGCATCGTCGCTTGCACAGGGAAGATGAACTGGTTTTTTGCTTTCGGTTTAACCCTTTATCTCCATTTCGGCAGGGTAGTTTTTGAGTTTTAAAAATTGAGTAAATTGTCAAAAATGGGCTTGTCTGAGGCCGTAACTTTTTTCTACCAAAATTAGGGAATAACCACTTGAGAAGGGGAGATTTTCAGTATTTGCCAGATCTATGCATTTACTATTTGAGAAAAAAAATCAAAAATAGGTCATAAATCCCCCTACTGAAACTTTCAAAGGCCGTAGGCAGTAAAATGAAAAGAGACTAGCAAAATTTGCAGGCATATAGAAGAGCAGCCGGTTAGTCCATCGGTACCCCTTTTTTGAAAAACTGAACAGTAGTTTTTGAGAAACATTTCAACTTCATCGAAAAATCCACAAAATTTTTCCAAAGCGTCGCAAAAACAACAAAAAATCCCATAGATTTTCAAACAGAACCAACACTAGCCAAAAAAAGCAACAACACGGCTTAAATATGATTAAATTGAAACATACCAAAAGTGCCACCAAATGAGCACTTTTATTTGCGACTTAGATGAGAAAAAATTCTTTCCAAATAATACACTACGTTTTGCTTGTGAGGAAAGCACGGTGCAAAGAGACATTCCAAAAAGTTTTCTTCAATTTCGACTCAAAACTTCAATTGTTTGTATGAAGCTATTTCTCTAGCCTTCAAGAAGCTAAATTTAAGGTCTTACTGCCACACACTGACCCAAAAAAAACATCCACTAGACACTTAAAGCGCTGACACTCTTTGCTTTGAGTTGTAACAAATATGCAAGGTCACTTGACCAAATCGAGCCTTATTGTTCTCAAAACTCAGAAACAAACCAACTGTTCCTTCCACTTGGTTGGAAAGCAATTTATATTCAAGTTGGTTTTCACGGAAAATCAGGCTCTACAAAGACACATTGTAAGAAATCGAGCAATATATGATATCAAAGCCATTTCAGTTGTAATTCTGCCTGCCTGAAAAATTTGAAAGTAATTTGCGTGGTGTCATAAACAATGGTCTGCACCTTTTTGATGCTCAAACTGATTTCATTTATTTGAAATTTTTTTTAGACAAGTAAGAATACTTTTTTATACCCCAAGGACTCTTTTAAAATTTAACTGTAGACGCATAATCTCAGTCCCCTATCCTTCTCCTCCTCTTCCCCCAGTCACCTCTTCCAAGTTGAAAAGATAAAATCGGTACATTGCTGTCGTAACTTCATACGATTTGCACATTAACTCGCTATAGTCTTAATTTTGTTCCCAGCAATTTACAAAGTGAAGGGAAGGAACTATGCCGCAAAGTTTTTTTTCTAGTCAATTTAAACCACCTCAAAAAAGGTGGTCATCATATTAAAGCCCTTTCAGTCATTACCCGGATTCTCAAAAAACAGTGTTGAGAAAAACCTGGCTAAAAATTTTCTGGTTTTCGGACTTATTGAATCAAATTGATCAAAGGCTGGCCTCTAGACTTATTCTGCTACAATTCTAACGTCTAACGTTATTGTTCCGACTTTCGAAGACAATGATAATTTTATGCATTATGTCCGTTTTTTTAGTAAATTGTTCTCTGTTGACGGATCTTTTTATATCTTTATCCGGAGCTCAAATTAAAAAAAATCACCCGTGATCATTTTGTTCTAATAACCTGAGCAGAAACCCTTACGCCGGAAATTTTTTTTTGGAAAAACTTAAAATCTATTAAACATAGCCAACATACAGTTAGAAAAAGTAAGAAAACAAGAAACTCAAAAAATTGTTGATTGAAAACTTTTGAACATAGCCAACTAAAAGTTGGAAAAGAGTAATGAACGGAAGGAAACTGAAAAAAAACTTGTTTTTTCAAAAATTTTCAACTTTTGAATTTCAAAAAAATTAGATGGCCTTAAGACTCTTTGAACTTGTAGAAAAACTTATGATGGACACTTTTTGTTTAAATTAACCCAATTTGAGAAAACTGGATCAATACGTAAAACTTTTATTTCGCTGGGAAATCTGATAATTAGTTTTTTGTGAACTTAGTTTTTTTTTGCTGTTTAATAGTGAAGTTTGCCTGCCTTTTAACACTGGAAATGCTTTGAACTTTAAAAAATCACAATTCAAACCGCGAAAAATCAAAACAGCGTGAACAAATTCTAAGACTTTTTCCTGAACAAAAAAGATAACTAACCAGCAAAACCTATATAAGAGTACCCACTACGTTCATTACTCTTAAACAATTTTCAACACAGAGGCGAAGTTGCACTTCGCATATACAATCAAAAATATGACCGACAACGCTACTGGGAGAAACTGAAGAGTAAAAATTTGAGTCTAAAGTTTTTTTAAGTGACGCATGCCAATTATGAGTCTACATAAATGCTAAGTGATGCAAGCCAATTATGACGCATTAGCAGTACTAGTCAATTTGAAAAGTAATGTACCAACTAACATGCCTCAATTTATCGAGCGGACGTATTTTAACTAGTATACGAAAAAGTTCATTAAAAACATCCGACCCTGCCCAGGTTCGAACTCTCTTATTTTGCTGCTGCTCTCCTTCACTATCTCTACGCTAGAGATCCATGGTGCCTTGAAGCTAAAGTGCTATTTGTAATATAATAGTATGTGTTAATATGCTTAGCATTGGCTGTACTTAATAGCTGGTTATTGGTCACGTGAACACTTTCGAAGTGAACACATTTTGTAGCAACAATATTTACATCGCAACAATGTTTGCGACTTAGGTTGGAAAAAAAGAAAGTTCATACTATAACACAAGCTTTGCTTGCGTAACTAGACTAATTAAATGGCAGTTGCAACAATCAAGTATTTTGCCCTGATACGAGCAGTCTAGTTAGTTCATATTAGAGTGCGGAAAATAAATTGAAGACAAAAATACATGAAACACTTTTTTCCGACTATTTCGTCACTTTCTAAACAAAAACATTTTAATTGGCATTAAACTGCAGTTGGAACAATCAGGACTTCGCCTTGATACACGAGCAGTCTTGTTTTAGCTATTATAATCACTAATTCTTGCACTTTTCACCATATTCAATTGCTTTTTGAATCCCTTCTCTACCTCAGAGATTCGACCCCTTGCTACACTTGCAACTATTCTACAACATCCCCCTTGAGCTGACCGACCATAAAATATTTCCAAAAGGCACCTGTGGCTCCAATATCTACTAACTTTGAGAAGATGCGCGCCTGCTTTGAACACTGCTAGGAACATAAATATTGATACGCATCATATTTTTAACAAAAATATCTTGTCGGCCAAATTAATGAGCTTAAAAAGAAACATCCAACACGTGCATTATTAAATTTTAAAAAGCCAAATTAAAATGACAAATTGACAATATCGAATAAATAGTCCCGTTTTTGGTGCATAAATAACAATCAGTTTGAGCTTCATAACTCAACACGATCAAATCAAACAAGTCCAGTCTCGTATATATCTCACTGTGGTTAGAATAAATTAATGAATCACATCTGGCTCTTTGTACTTGTATAATTACTAAATAGAGTAAACCAGTTAAAAAACATTCGCATTGAATTGGTTGTACTGTAGCCTGCTAGCAATAAAGCACACAATATTCTACTATTTTACATTTGAGCACCATTCTGATTTTGCACCTTGTATCGTATACGTTAAGTAACTTAGCTGAACCTGTACTCTACCTGTGACCATCAAAGTGAGTGAAAATCTTTGGAACACTTCGACAGAAATTTTTCACGCCCATTCCAATTTACATTGCAAATAAATCTATTCTTTTGGCCAAAAACATTTTTTTATCAGAACTCCGTAAAACCATAGCGTAGAATTTTTTTTTTCGAGATCAATTTGTACCAGTGAACATTCGGCTGAACTACCGAAGATCTAGCCTTAAGGTTTCTTGTGCTGTAATCTCCATCTTTCCTTTAGTTAAAAAAAAAACAAATAGGAGGGCGCTCTAGATAATCTGCGATTAGCACAAACAAAACAAAACATCCTCATGAGTCTGATGTGAGAGCTATCTTTGCTCGCTACTCGAATCAGAGGCCAGAAAAATTCCGAGCTGAGAAAAATGAAAAAAATGCATGCAGTCTGCAATTTTGCCTAAGAGCCGTTCTCTAAAGAAGTATAAGTTTCCATCAAGGATAACTGATGTTTTCAGAGCAGCAATATGAGTTGGGATTCGTACATCGACAATCTGATTGGACAGAGTGCCGATGCGAACGGAGAGCATCACGCGGACAAGGCCTGTATCATCGGAATAGATGGAAGCATGTGGACCTCTGACGGCCACCCTCACTCACTGAAGCTGAGCGCCGAGGAAGCGGCAGCTATTGGTGCATGCTTCAGTTCCAAAAACTTCACGTCATTCATGTCGTCGGGCGTGTTTTTGGAAGGTAAGAAACAAACAACTGGCTACCTCTCATACCACCCCCCCTCAATCACATGCCTCAGGATACAATCTCAATCTACAATTGTTAAACAACTTCAGCACTTAAACTTGAAGGTCTTTCAACATTCAAATTTTGAACTCTGAACTTTCTTCAAAATAAACATAGCCATCATACAGTTCACGCCAGTTAACAGAAAAAAAAATTAAGATGAGCTTAAAGCACTTTAAGTATTGAAACAAATTCTGATTGACACTTTTTGATAAAATTTGATCAATTGGTAAGTTTTTATTTCGCTGGAAAATCTGGTAATTAAAATTCAGTTTCAAAATTAGAAGCCGATCACGTTTTTCGTGACTTTTACACTTTCTCTTTGATATTGGAGTGTACCTTCTTTTAGCAAAGGAAATGAAAAGCACTTGCTCGTATTACGGCGAAGTTCTGAATGTTTCGACTGCCTTTTAAGGTCTATGGAGCAGTAATAACATGAAAAAAAAGTAATAAAAGGGAACGGAAAAAAAATATTTAAAAATTGAGATTTTTTTGTGAATATCATTCCCTCACACGCCAATTAAAGTAGAAGAAGATAGATTTCGCTCCTATTAACAAATCAATGATGGCAAATAAGCTTCCTTCAACCAATTTGGAACGATTTCTCAGACGGATTAAATCTCCGCTCACACATTTATAGCGCGAAATATATCGCGCGTTTATTTTCCCAAACTGGCCAAAATGGCAACCTTTAAACCCCCATAACTTTACAAAAAATAATCACCGGTGAAATATCTTTTCAAAGTGAAGACAACAATTCCTTTGAATGATTTTAAGAAAATCCGTCAAAAACGGCTAGTTAAAAAGACGAAATTTGTCTTAAAAAACCTCTGCGAGCACAAACATTCCGTTACTGTCGTTACGAAAGTCGGGACAGTAACTTCCGTCGACCTCTCTCAATGATGCAGCTTCAACTATAGCATATGTCTACCATCCAAGCTAATCAAAAGCGAAATCAACTCCATGTTATACACCATTTTCAAAACTAGAATTCCATCACGTTTTTTGTGACCTTCTTATTTTGGCTGTTTTATAAAGTTGCCTTCCTTTTTACAAAAAAATGAACTGAAATTCAGATAAAATGGAGAATTAAACAAGAAAAAAATTAAGCCTGAACAGTTTTCATGATTTCTTCCACCAAAAAAAACGATCACTGTCTATATAAGCGTTTTCGCTACGTTCAGTGAATTTTAAAAAAATCTACTTTCAAAACTAGAAGTAGTTTACACTTTGTGCGCAATTTTCGTAAATGCAAAGCATAATTTGCCTTCTTTTTAGCAAATGAAATTCAATTAAACTTTAAAAGAAATCAAAAAAATAAACTCAAAAGATCAAGTTTGGCATGAACAAATTTTCTGAATTTTATCTGAAAAAAAATCCACAAGACCTATACACCAATACGCCAGTCACCAAAAAACGGATAAAATACATGCGCAGTACACAGATAGTGAAATTCATCGTTTGAGTTAGATTGGAAAAATTGAACTCATTATATACCTCAAGCGTATAATATCCCGGCTCCACTCTGATACGAGCAGTATTTTCATGCAAATATTCAACAGATGCAACATTTATTCACATCCTTTTAAATCTTAAAATTAGGCTTCCATTCCTGCTACATTCAAAATTTCAGCAATTCTTATCAATTATATGACTGGATACATAATGAAAAGACAAGCAAACTTTACACTTAATTCTGTCAGATGCGAGAGATAGAAAGGTTCAAAGCCCTTGTATTATTTGCTTCGCTTCACTAGTGTGGTTAGAATAAAAACAGAATTTGATCAAATATAATTATTCATAAGTATAAAAACTTCCCTTTGGATGAAACTGCTTTTCTTTTATTTCAGGCATCAAATACCAGTTCTTGCGGGAGGAAGATGGAAAGTGTGTGTTTGCGAAGAAGAAGGAACACGGTGCCCTGACAATGCAAGCATCGAAAACTGCGATAACCATTGCACATACCGGGGAAGGCAAGCAACAAGGCAACTCGAACAAGGCTGTTTCAGTCATAGCTGAATACCTTGAGAGTATGAATATGTGATGCATCTTTGGAAAATAAACAGCACTCATAAACTATAAAATATACAGGAAAGACCAACGTTTTCCGAAAAAGGCGAATACATACAGTCATTGAGAAAGCAAACATTCGACTTATAGTAACTACAGAAAACATTATATCGAATGAAGTATTTTGAATAAAAATTCAATATTTAATCTTATTAAGAGCATCATGAAAGTTGTAAGGTATGAAATTTAAAGGCATCAACCAAAACCTCCCCTCCCCTCCAAATATAAACAAAAAAAGTATACACATTAGCTGAACAAGTAGCGACTCTGCTCCGACTAAAGTTGGAGCATATTGTGTTCCGACTTAAGTATGTTCCGAGTAAAGTAATTTAATAAAACAAATTAAAACTTTAGACAAGTTTAAAAAACGCAATAATTCTGAGGAAGTTTTTTTGCTCCGACCATTGAAAATGAGGAGGAACTTCTATTCGTGTGTGTTTTAGTTTTTTCTTTCCAAAAATTAATACAATCATCAGAATGGGTTGAGTGATATTCTAAAGACATTTAAAAATCAGTCGTGATTTGAAAGAGATTTAAAAATTTCACAAAATTTTTCCCAATATCGAAGAAAACCTTTGAAATTTGGAATTTGGTTTGAAATTTGGATTTTTAGTCTAAACTCGAGTGAATAAAAGTTTTTTGTCTAATTTGTAATAGGCTTATAAATAGTGCTTTTAAACCTAACCTACAGAAAACATATTCAACAGACAATTAGAAAAGAGTAAATGAACGCAAAACAGAAAAAAACTGACTTGTTTCTAAAAAAACAGAAGGTCGAAAAACTCTTTGAATTTCAAGAATAATTTATGAATAGCACTTTTTTTTGATAAAATAAAACCCTATTTGATAAATTTGGATTATTATGTAAAGATTTTATTCCGCAGGGAAATCTGACAACTAAATTCCATTTTCGAAACTAGAAGTCGATCACTTCTTTCGTGACTTTAACACATTTACTGTTCGATAGCGGAGTTTGCCTTCCTTCAGCAAATGAATTAAACTTACAAAAAAACGAATGTCAAACCGCGAAAAAATAAATTTGAGCCTGAACATTTTTTAAGACTTTTCCTGGAAAAAAATTGCGACCTATATAGGTGGTCTGAATTACATTTGTCAAATCTTAATAACTATTGCTTAGTTTTACTCATTGAAATAAGTTATTGAAAATTATTTTAACGTTTTCCTGATAATAAAATTTTAAGAACAAAAAAAATTTGAAAAACTTTTCGAAAATGTTTTTGAATTCTTTTTTTTTCAATTTTATAATATGGAATACTTAATAGACATAATCTTTTTGAATATGGAAAGTTGTTGCCATATGCACCTAATTTACACAAATTTTTAATCTTTCATTTAGATTCTATCGTCACATCGAAAACAAAAAACAACGCAATTTGAAAAAAAAGCGTATTAGTTTTTTTTAACAAAATGGTCGGAAAAATCTGTGTAACTGGCACAGCAACCGGCTATCTATTCAAACTTTTTTTCATTATTCGAAATAAATTGTATTTTTGGTAGCGCGTGACTGAAATAATTGTGAAACTGCAATTATGAGAATGATATAAGCTGAAATAATGAACATGTACTGATATCAATTTGATGAGGTCAGCCTCTAGTCTTATTAAGTCTGATCAAATTCGGTAAAATTTCATCATATTAGTCTGCATAACGAAAAGGTTCAGACCAGTTCTTCTCGACAGAAAGAGGATTTTTCGAATGCTCTTTTTAGAATGAGAAACTTTATTTTGATATCACATTTGACAATCTACGAGTTTTCCTGGTGGTAGTAAAATTAGCTGCAAAAATGACCCGAATTCAAATTGGTCGGAACAAAAAATACAAAATTGAACGAAACTGGGTTGAAATGAGATAAAAATGGAAGAAAAACATAGGGATGAAAAAAGAGTTAATGAACGTAAGTAAACAGAAAAAAAATACTTATTTTTGAAAAAGCCTCAATTATCGATTTCCAAAAAAAAGATGGCAATAAAACTCTTTGAATTTATTGAACAGTTTATGAGTAAAACTTTTTCATAAAATTAACTCAATTCGACAAAACTGGATCAATAGGTAAACTTTCTATTTCACATGGAATTTTTTTTTAATTTTAGGACTTCTACGAAGCAAAGTCAACCCGACCTAAATAAAAGTCTGAACTACTTTATAAAAATTTGCAAAATTCATTTTTTGCTATCTAATTTGCGAGATTCGGAGAAGATAAAAAACAATCATAATTATGGACTTTTCTCGGCTAATTTGTTTTTTCAAGAAATGTTGAAAACTATCGATGCCAATATATACACTGAGGCGTGGTTGCTCTTCGCAAATACAAGCTAACAAATGTTATAAAGGAGCGTTAAAAATTTGGAAAAACACAAAAGTAAGTTATAAAAGTTTCGTATCAGAAAGAATTTACCAAATAATGAATTCGAACTGCGGACCCGCAGGATTATGAAGAAGTAGTTTTTTCGAAGAGCTAACTGTCCAGATTTCTTCGAGGGTTGACACGTCATCTATCAGTAAATATAAGGCGCTCGACTGAAGCGGATAAAAAATATGCTTCTAAATCGAATATAAATGGTATTGCATAGAGCAAACTCTGGTATCAGACAGCTAAGTATTTACTATTGGATTTTCAGGAAAAAAAAACATTATTTAATTTTGTAGAAATATTGATAGAACAAGTAAAAAAAATCTACTACTAGATCTATTCTTAGATAAAAGCTAATACTGGAGCGCAATTTTGCTTCCTAAAAATCTGACTGAAATTGGATGTTCGTCGATTCTACGGACCTTTGGAAATGTGTCGGTGAACTAAAAGCACACGAACAAACGAATTTCTGTCGATTTCGCCCAAAAAATGGTTTATTCAGAAGCTTTAAAATTTAATTTTACGGATTGACACAAAAGAAAACTATTGAACTAAAAGAATTACAGAAATTGAACAAAGAAACAATAAATTCCAAAAGTCCCAACTTCGAGGTAAACTGAAGAAAATGTTTTTTTTTGTTATCGATTGTACCCCATCATGTGTACAAAGCAAAAGTCATCCACAGAGACAAGATAATTTTTTTGCGATTAGCTCCAGTATAACCTAAAAAGCAGTTCAGCACAAAAACACTAACTACACACAAATCAGATATTTCTGTACTTAAAAAATTGGCAAGTTGAAACAGAGCAACGAGACAGTTAGAAAAGAGTTGGAAAATGATAGCCTTTAAATTTTTGAATTTTCGGAACAATTTCTGATTGACACTTTTGTGATCAAATTAACCCAATTTGAGAAATCTGGATCAGTTGATGAATTGTTTATTCCGTTGGGCTGTCTTTCCATTAAAATCCACTTTCGACACTAGAAATCGAAAAGAAATTAGTTTATCTATTGAAATAAATCAAAGTGAAAACGGATAGACGAAGAAAGAAATAGTGAAAAATTGCAAGTTTCACCGTAATATATACCATAAGCTACATATGCTACTTAAGCAGCTACATATGCTAATAAATTGCCAGTGCGATTCAGCAAAAGTGACATCAAAAAGAAATAGACTCAATTTTGCAAATTTGGATTATAACAATGTAAAGCCATACACTATATTTGCATGTAAAAACCGCAAAGCATTAAGCCAAATAATGTACAAATCAAATTTTCATTGTTGTTACGTTTTTTGAAACAAATCACTTCCTTCGGTTCGTTTGATGAATTAAAAATGCATCAACTGCGTTAACTTATTACAATTCGAATGTCAAAGCCAATGCTATGAAACAGCCGTAAATGTGCTCCAAAACCAAAAGTGGCACCAATATTTGCGATTTAGATTAGAAAAAAAGAAGGTTAGGTTCGTACTAATACACTCACTTCGCAAAAATAATTATGCACTTCAAAAAATTGCGAGATATGTTGAGTTGGCAAATTTCTGAAACAGAGCAAAACAGAGTTATTATGATTGTTATGTTGTTTGAAACAAATTTCTTTTTTCGGTTCATTTGATGAATTTAAAATGCATCAACTGTGTTCAGGTATTATGATTCGAATGTCAAAGCATTCGAACGTGTTCGATTTTTTATTTATATTATGATTTTGCAAAAAAAAATTTTCAGTTCATTTGATAGATTAACAGAGACGGAGCAAACACAAGCGAAGTATTATATTCTCACATCTGCTCTACGACCGCTTGTAATTTTATTAACACAAGCGCCCAACAAAATAGCTACAGTTTCTATCAAATCGCCAATGTTATACAGCACTAGCCACCAATAAAGCAGCTACAGTTTCCATCAAATTGCCAATGTTATGCAGCACTAGCAACCAATAAACCAGCAACACTTTTAATCAAATTGTCAAAGTTAATTCAACAAAAAAATATTTAAATGTTCGGATTGGAAAATCCGACCTGTTGATTAGAAGTATCGCGTCCTTGCATCTGAGCTACGGTCGCTTTGAAGTAAACTAGTGGCCCAGCTAATGCTGGATTTAACTGTTTTAATAATTTTAATCATATAATTTACTGTTAAGGAAATGCATAAGTAACATTAAAAGTCAGAGTTAGTAAAATTACTAAAACCAGAGGTGAATCAGAACACAAAAAGCAATTAGTAATGTAAAAAAAACTTTTAGAAAACACGAATTCTACAATATGACAATTATCCCGACAAATCTTAATCAGTCAAATAATGAGCCGACAACTTTTTTGTGAAACGGGTTATTTTTGGTTTGAAAAAAAAACAGGTCCTGTCAGATTCGAACCCAATACGGTCCCAGGCGTACTCGATATCTCCAGAACAAGTGTGCCGGAAACATAAAGAAATTAGGTTTAATTAAAAACTGATCCTATAAAAACCATTTGTAATTTTGACCATTCTGTGCCTTAAGTTATTTACGGGAAAAAGTCTAGTACACGATTGCAATACCCCTGCTATTGCAAGGGTTAAAAAATTTAAAATCGATCAAAAACCTGATTTTTCCTAAATCCTTAAAACTTTCTCTATTCAAGCATGAAAATACCCGCTGCTTTTCACACCCTGATTTTAAGATTGAAGATTTCCGCACCCTGATTTTCTAGACTGGACCCATAATATCAGATTTAGCAAGTAGTTTTCTAGAGTACTGACAAAATTTTAAAAAAAGTAAAATTAGCTTTTTTAATATAAAAACAAGGTAAAAAGATCAGGCAGGGAAAACACGATGTTAGTATTAATGAACAATCAACCTCAGAAATAGCAAGTTAGTTTTTCAAAAAAAAGGAATAAATTTCCAAAAAAACTGGCAAAATTTTAAAAATTAGTTATTTTCTAAGGTTGTAGTTTTTCAAAACACACATAATAGCCATTTACATAGGTAAAATTTGCACACCTGATTCTTTTTCTGTCGGTTTAATCCTCAATCTCCGATTTGTCATGGTAGTTTCTGAAAAAAGTTTCAAAAATAAACCAAAAATTTATTGAAACCTTCATCTCAGTTTTGTGCATTTAATAAATGAGAAAGAGAAAAAATTCGAAACAAATAGGCCAAAAATCCCCCTAATGAAACTTTCGAAGGCCGTAGAAAATGAGGTAAAATGAAAAGAGACTAGCGATTTACGCAGCCAAATAGAAGAGCAGCTGGTTTTTCTATTTGTGCCATTTTTTTAAAATCGGTACCGAAGCTTCTATAAAAACTAACGTGTTACGCACCTCCGGTGCTTCGAATTTTTACAACTCATGAAAAACCGCATATATTGGAAACCAAATCTGCAGTCTTTTAGTGTACTCTGGCAACACCCAATTACAGGGTTTGTAATTTCACAATCTATGAACTTTTTCTGAGTTCCAACTTTCCGTCAAATCTCGAAAACGTCAAATCTCGAAAACTGTAAATATTTGAGTAGTCATATTTGGAGGCCAGATTTAAAACTCCTGAGTACCCTGACAGCACCCATTTACAGTGTAAGGAATTTTAAATTTAAAAAAAAAATTAACAAAGTCACAAAAAACGTAATATCTCAAAAACTACAAAGATTTGAGAAGTCATATTTAAAGGAAAGATTTGTAACCTCTGAGAATACCAGATCAGCACCCTACTACAGGGTGAAAAATTTCAAATTTTGAAAAAATATTTTTTTTGATTATTTTTTTGAAAAAATCACAAAAAACGTCTTATCTCAAAAACTACAAGGATTTGAGCAGTCATATTTGGAGGCAAGATTTGTAACCCTTAGTTTACCCTGACAGCACCCAAGTACAGTGTATGAAACTTTAATTTAGAAAAAATAATAATTTTTTTGAAAAAATCACAAAAAACATCATATCTCGAAAACTATAAGGATTTGTGGCGTCATATTATGAGGCAAGATTCGCAATCCTTGAGAGTACTCTGACAGCACCCAACTACAGGGTTACAGGAAGCTTGGTAGAATATTTTGTAATTTGATTTTTTGAAAATCACCAAAATCGTCGTATCTCTTACACTAAAAGGATGTCAACATTCTTAATTGGAGGCCAAATTCGCAACTTTTTGGGGAATCCTGACAGCATCTCACTATTGGGTTGCTTAATTTAAAATCCACTTTCAACACTAGAAATCGAAAAGAAATTAGTTTATCTATTGAAATAAATCAAAGTTAAAACGGATAGACGAAGAAAGAAATAGTGAAAAATTGCAAGTTTCACCGTAATATATACCATAAGCTACATATGCTACTTAAGCAGCTACATATGCTAATAAATTGCCAGTGCGATTCAGCAAAAGTGACATCAAAAAGAAATAGAATCAAATTTGCAAATTTGGATTATAACAATGTAAAGCCATACACTATATTTGCATGTAAAAACCGCAAAGCATTAAGCCAAATAATGTACAACTCAAATTTTCATTATTGTTACGTTTTTTGAAACAAATAACTTCCTTCGGTTCGTTTGATGAATTAAAAATGCATCAACTGCGTTAATTTAATACAATTCGAATGTCAAAGCCAATGCTATGAAACAGCCGTAAATGTGCTCCAAAAACAAAAGTGGCACCAATATTTGCGATTTAGATTAGAAAAAAGAAGGTTAGGTTCGTACTTATACACTCACTTCGCAAAAATAATTATGCACTTCAAAAAATTGCGAGATATGTTGAGTTGGCAAATTTCTGAAACAGAGCAAAAAAGAGTTATTATGATTGTTATGTTGTTTGAAACAAATTTCTTTTTTCGGTTCATTTGACGAATTTAAAATGCATCAACTGTGTTCAGGTATTATGATTCGAATGTCAAAGCATTCGAATGTGTTCGATTTTTTATTTATATTATGATTTTGCAAAAAAAAATTTTCAGTTCATTTGATAAATTAACAGAGACGGAGCAAACACAAGCGAAGAGCAGTCCACAGGCAAAACAAAAAAAATTACTAGAAAAATTACTAAAAATTACTAAAAAAACACCATGAATAAAATTGTTGAGAGTAGGAGTATTATAATCTCACATCTGCTCTACGACCTCTTGTAACTTTACAAACACTAACGACCAACAAAACAGCTACAGTTTCTATCAAATTGCCAATGTTATACAGCACTAGCCACCAATAAAGCAGCTACAGTTTCCATCAAATTGCCAATGTTATGCAGCACTAGCAACCAATAAACCAGCAACACTTTTTATCAAATTGTCAAAGTTAATTCAACCAAAAAATATTTAAATGTTCGGATTGGAAAATCCGACCAGTTGATTAGAAGTATCACGTCCTTGCATCTGAGCTACGGTCGCTTTGAAGTAAACTAGTGGCCCAGCTAATGCTGGATTTAACTGTTTTAATAATTTTAATCATATAATTTACTGTTAAGGAAATGCATAAGTAACATTAAAAGTCAGAGTTAGTAAAATTACAAAAACCAGAGGTGAATCAGAACACAAAAAGCAATTAGTAATGTAAAAAAAACTTTTAGTAAACACGAATTCTACAATATGACAATTATCCCGACAAATCTTAATCAGTCAAATAATGAGCCGACAACTTTTTTGTGAAACGGGTTATTTTTGGTTTGAAAAAAAAACAGGTCCTGTCAGATTCGAACCCAATACGGTCCCAGGCGTACTCGATATCTCCAGAACAAGTGTGCCGGAAACATAAAGAAATTAGTTTTAATTAAAAACTGATCCTATAAAAACCATTTGTAATTTTGACCATTGTGCCTTAAGTTATTTACGGGAAAAAGTCTAGTACACGATTGCAATACCCCTGCTATAGCAAGGGTTAAAAAATTTAAACTCGATCAAAAACCTGATTTTTCCTAAATCCTTAAAACTTTCTCTATTCAAGCATGAAAATACCCGCTGCTTTTCACACCCTAATTTTAAGATTGAAGATTTCCGCACCCTGATTTTCTAGACTGGACCCATAATATCAGATTTAGCAAGAAGTTTTCTAGAGTACTGACAAAATTTTAAAAAAAGTAAAGGCACCAATATTTGAGACTTAAGGTTAGAAAAGAGAATAGTCGTACTATTATAATAACGCTCGCTAAGATTGGCCAGTGTAAGTATGTATTAAAGCATATCTTAAAAAAATCAAAAACAAAATCACCAAGACCTTTATAAGAGTCTTCACTACGTTCATCGACTAGACTAGTTCATGATAAAAAAGGATAAATTAAGATTCTCGATAGCTGTCATCAAACTGGTTAAAACTAATTCCTTGAGATAAAAATGAAGAATTTATGACGACAAAATCTCGAGTAGCCAACAAGAACATTTGGAGAATAAAAAGTGTAGAAACTTATTGTGGCAGTAGAGTAGAATGTTCCAACAGGTTACTTTCAATGTGCGCGATGTGCGACGAGGACTTAAAACACGTTAGACTTGCCCTTAATTGACTACATGAAGTTATCATGGTGAAAAAATCTTCAAAAATTTTTTAAAAGGACAATTGCGTCCGTCCAATAATAAACAACGAGCGAAGATGGCAACGACAGTATACATCCCAATAATCATCTGAGATCTCACCTCAACATTTTTATTTGACGTTTGTATCTCAATCATATTGATCTCACAATTCATTATGCTATAATATAGGCGGCACCTTTTCGATAATAGCAATAAATAGGTTCAAATTAAATTTTTCATTAAGAAAGAATATGTTGCAAAGAAAGATTGTAGGTTTAGACAGAAATATTAATAGATGGGGACGCTTTTAACACGTCAAGACTCACTTGAAACACAGCTTTTGACGATGCATTGAGTGGCTTCTAAAAATAAAAGTCTCAACACATTCTAATAACTTGGGTGAAATTATTCTGCAAGTTCTGCATGACTCAACAATGTCTTACGATTCCCGCATTGACTAGGAGAAGGGCTAGATCCTGAGGCGCATTGTAGATTCGAATCGTATGCACTTTGGAGTCGTCGTATCGCTTCTGATTCTCACGTGGCAACTCTAACCAGTATCTGAATTCAAAAAACAAACAGTGTTCTTCAAATGATGTTTTTTATTAACATTAAGGTCTCATTCATAAAACACAGCCAACAGACAGTAGGAAAAGAGTAAAAAAACTCAAGGAAACAGAAGAAAAAAACATTGTTTTTTGAGAAAACTTTCGAATGAACAAATATAAGGTTCTATTTAAAGCTCTTTGAATTTCAAAAACAATTGAAGATTGCCACTTTTGATAAAATTTACCCAATTTGAGAAAAATGAACCAAAAGATCATTTTTTAAATTCCCCTAACCAATCCTAAGTCAAACTGCAAAAAAAAGTAAATCTGAGATTAAACACATTCAAAGACTTTTCCTGAAACAATCGTCACGGCATATTTAATCGCTAAGTGAACAAGTGAAGCGACCGTGACCAAGTGGTACATGGCTCCTAACACGATGGTCGTGGGTTCGAATTTGATTTCAGTCCCAGGCAAAGGCTTTCTGATGTCATCAATTTTCAAAAAAAAGTTTCACCAATGTTCAGAAAAATCAGATGCAGTTTTAGTCTAATTTCGAGCCAGTAGGTTTTGTATAGGCTTATAATAGTCTTATTTTTACACCTCAAGTTAAGCCGTGAAATAGTTTTACTCCGGTTTCTCTAAGCGCCTTTAAAAATTTTTTTTTTAAATTAATTAAATTTTCAGCAAAAGTTTCGATTTTTTTATTTCTATTGTTTTTTGAGGAAAACGGTGGTTATACCTTTTTTTACTATTTCTATCGAATATGCCTCAGTTGTAGGCTTTCATTTAGATTATTTCATTACACCACGAATGAAAAACAACTCAATTTCTAAAAGATTTTTTAAATTTCGATCGGAAATTTTCGTGCTACTAGCACAGCAACCGGCCATCTTTGTTTAATTTTGTCTTTAGTAGTGAATTGTCGAATGCAGGTTCAAAAACTGCCATAATGGCTTTAAAATTATCTGCGCTCGAATTACAGTTACAGAAAGGTGACTTCGCATTATTGTGTTACGCTCTAGCCACAGCACCTCGGTTGAAATAGTCAAATTTGATTGAAAGAAGTTGTAAATGCAGTTTTCATTTTCTTATTTTTTTTGTCGTGCGCTTTTTCCACCATCGATACCACTCAATAACCCCTATAGGTTCGTCAGATGTCCACTAGGAGTTCCAAATTACGGCAATTATAATGATTTTGATACCTCAACTTAAGCAACTAACTTTTCACAATGAGAAGCTCATTTTTCTTCTTCTGGTCAGAGAAACCAGTTCTTTCTTTTTACAACTTAAGAAAAAAATTTTCAACAGAACAAAGAAGACTATTTAAAAGAAAGACTTAGATATTTTTGAAAAAAGTTATTTTGAAAAAAATCACTTACAGAAAAGATTCTTCGTGACCTTTGGAGCGTAAGGCGTCCTTGTCTTTCTTCAGCACAACATCAATTTTGATTTCAAAAGCCCCAAAACCTCTTTCCTTCAGGGAGAATATGGGTCCCTTACATGCTGGAAACAACAACAAACGAGTTAATTCGTTAATTCAACAAAAAGACTAATATTACATTGAAAAACAAAAGCAGCATTTAAGTTTCTATGTTTCTTAGAATTTTACTCAAAACAAGAAAGCTTTGTATTTTACAATTAGTTTCGAAAAAAAATCACATATCAATTACAACCGAAGTAACGAGAGCGCACAAATTGGTAGACCTAAAACATAATTGCTCCTTCTTTAGACCAGCAAAAACCGAGTTTCTTACGTTCCTCGTCGAACAGTAAAAATATGCCCACTGAATGTTCAAAACGTAGAAAAAAGTATCCATATTAAACCACCAGCGTGAAAAATGCATTCATTAACATTTACCGAGCGCCATCTAAGCCAACAAAACTTAGGTAAACTCCAAAACAGACGAAAACAAAATTGTTGTCATAACCAAATTGAGCTATAAAATTCGGAATTTTTAAAATCTTTTCATTACAAGATTCCATCAAAAACACTTGCAACTGCAATGAAAATTGCTACATAGCAAAAAATTCTGGAATGTGACAACTAGTTCGATAAAAACAAAGACAGACACGATATGCTGACATGTAATTGACACTGGGAGAACGGGACCAAAACATTCAAACATGTCAACGCTAGATCATCGGAAGTGTAGAGATAAATTCACGAGCATAAATCAGGTTTTCACCAGCTTGTAAAAAAAAGGGTGAGAACGAAATGAAACAAGATAACGCACGCTAATCGTAAGCGTAAAAAGAAATTCATGAATACACATCAAATTCTCATCAGCGATTGAAATTTAAAAAAAAAAAGCAGGAAGAATGAAAGAAAACAATCAAAAATGATAACGCTTGCTAATTGCAAGCGTAGAGAAAGATTCACCACGAGAACAGAGCAAATTATCACCAGCGATTCTCGAATAAAAACACATGGAGATCGAAACAAAACATTCAAACACTATAACGCTAGCTAATCGCAAGCGTAAATACCGATTCAAGAATACACAAAAAAATGCTCACCAGCCATTCTCGAACTTCCAAAAAGAACAGGTAAAACAAAACAAACATTCAAACATGATAACGCTTTTAAATCGCAAGCGTTATGACAGATTCATCAATACATAACAAATACGCAGAAGCGATTCTCGAAAATGAAAAAGCAGGGAGAACAAAGCAAAACAACCAAACACGATAAAACTAAATAATCACAAGCGTAGAGATGAATTCACAAATATTGAGCAGATTATCACCAAAGATTCTCAAAACAGAAAAACAGGGACGAGAAAAAAAATAAAAACGATGACGCTAGCTAATCGCAACTGAAGACAGATTCACGAAAACAGAACAGATTCTCACCAGCGATTTGATCACGTTAGCTAATTGCAAGCGTGAAGACATATTCACTATTACACAACAGATTGTGACCGGCGATTCGCGCATTCAAAAACAGGAAGAGCAAAACTAAACATTCAAACATGAAAACGCTAGCTATAAGCAAGCGCTAAGACAGATGCACGAATACATAGCAAATTCTTACCAGCGATTCTCGAATAAAAAACAAAGAAAACAAAGCGAACATTCAAACATGATAACGCTAGCTAATGGCATGTGTAAAGACAGATTCAAGAGTACAGAACAGATTCTGACCAGCAGTTCTTGAATTAAAAAAAAACAGGAAGAATGAAACAAAACATTCAAAAATAACAATGCTAGCTAATCGCAAGCATAAAGACATATTAACGAAAACAGAAAAAATTTCCAGCAGCGATTTACCAATTTAAAAACATCACGGAGAACGAAACAATATTCAAACATGATAACGCTAGCTATTCGCACGCGTAAAGGCAGATTCACGAAAATAGGAAAAACTAATCAGTGATTCAAAAAAAATCAGGAGAATGAAACAAAACATTCTAACAAAATAACACTAGCTAATCGCTAGCGTGACGACAGATTCATCAATACAACAAATTCTCAGGAGCAACTCTCGAAATTTTAAAAGTAGGGAGAACGAAAAAAAAAACATTCAAAAATGATAACGCTAGCTAATCGCAAGCGTAAAGACAGATTCACGAATACAGAACAGATTCTCAACAGCGATTCTCGAATAAAGAAACAAAAAAAACAAAGCGAACATTCAAACATGATAACGCTAGCTAATGGCATGTGTAAAGACAGATTCAAGAATACAGAACAGATTCTGACCAGCAATTCTTGAATTAAAAAAAAAAAAACAGGAAGAATGAAACAAAACATACAGAACAGATTCTCAACAGCGATTCTCGAATAAAAAAAAAGAGAACGAAACAAAACATTCAAACAATCAGGCAACATAGTAACAATACATTTCACGAAACAAAATCTCTTGCCCATGAGAAGAATTATAGTCAAAGTTTAGACTGTTTATAAACAATGGTTATTTTGATGTTTAACATTGTGACTGATGAACTCTTGCAATTTTTTGCACAGAGATAAAAATAAAAACCACCGATTTATCTTGAAAGACTAAAACTAAATGAAAACAACATCAGATGCAGAAATTTCTCAAATTCGATCGAGATTTCTTCAGTTGAAGCATGAAAAACCACGAAGGCTCCAAGAAACTTGAGGCGTTAAAAAACATAGCTGATTAAACACAAATAGTACTTTGCAGGGCAACAAACTGAAAGTTTTTTCACCAACTATGAAAATGAAAAAAGCCGTAAAATCACCGTTGCATAAAATTTTAAAATCTACGTTTTCTATTTCGTATTCAAAATTTTGAAAATGACACCGAAAAACAGCAATCTACACAGCCAGAACAATCAAACCACGGCTAGAAAAGCATCTTAGATCACTCAAATACGCTAAGCAGTCATCTTCAAAAACTAAATAGGTTAAAATGATCTGGAAAACAGAATGAACAAAAAATTAAAAGTTTCACTTATTATTCCATGTGATTTCTGTTAATTGGACAAGGAAATGAGAAAAAGCCCGCGACTTTAATTATTTTTAAGAATTACAGAACTTTTCTAAACAGTGAATTGACCGCTTATGGAAAAGCCGCTTTTCGCCGCTTCCGCTTTTTTCGAAGCCGTTTTTCGCTTTTAAAGCTTTTCTAAATTACAGATCTCCGCTTTTTAAGAAAACAAACAAGGAAATTTTAATTGAATTAAATATATTAGATTTTAAGTACAGAAGATTTTCGAGAAATTTTGCGCCCAAGCGACTACGTTTTTTTGAGAGAATCTTTCCGCTGGCAGAAAAAAGTTTCTCGACAGTACCTGTGTCAGGGCTCACAGAAAGTACGTTGAAAACAAAGTTTTGTATGCTTTCTGGATAAGTCGACCAAAAAAAAAGTGGGTTCTTGATTTTGACAATGGGCGAGAATAAGTAACTCGACAAGCGCTCTGCAACATTTTTATGTGTGAATAATCACTTTTCTGAAAATGGGTCGCGCTTTTTTGCCGCTTTTACAAAAATCATTCCGCTTTCACCGCTTTTGCTTATTTCAACTGGTTTACCGCTTTTTCCGGCCGCTTCCGCTTAAAGCGGTCAACTCACTGTTTCTAAACAACCTGAAACCAATAGAACCAAATTGAGCAATATTCTAATAATCGTTTCGATATAGTTATTTTCATAAATTGCTCTATTTTTCAAAGCAACAATGACTTTTGTGAAAGCCAAACTGAGAATATCAGGTTTACACCTAAACATTGAGATGTTTATGAGCAAAGAGACCAAGTAAAGGATAGAACTTTTAAAAACTGCTCAGAAGCCAGTCTGCCACGAAAAATGCCACAATTCAAAGTTTTCAAAAACTGGAAACAGTTCAAGAGTAGGCAAGATCAAGCATTTCTCCAGATACAAGAGCTCATTTGACAAACTCGAACAAGGCATAAGAACCATTTAATAAAAACGAAAACAAAAGTGTGAAAGTGTGGCCTAATTTCGAAAGAAAAATTCAGCGACGCCACCTTCACGTAGTAGATTGAACTCATGCGTTACCAGGATAAATATGGCACCAAAACCTTTTCAATTGGTCGGGTTGAGAAAAGCTCGGCAGCATCCAGGTTTTCGGTTACGGAGCGTCTGAAGCTAGCCATGTTGCTCCGCCTACTCATACTAACACTTCCGGCATAAACACAGCCAGGTCCCAACAACAAATTTTCTTCCTTTAACTTACCCAACGTGTCTAGGCTAGCGTCTGATTCCATGTTTGTGGTTGGATACAGTATAGAACCTAAAAAGTAAAGGCTTCAACTCTGTAACGGAAGATCATCAAGACCTTCACTGCCCTTCGTTTTACCTCCCTCCGGAACCAAAGCCCCAACCACTTCCACCAGCTCTCAATATCCTACTAATGACCCAAATCCGACTACCTCTAACGCCCTCCCCAGAACAGCCCCTCCAGTAACTAACCATCAATGTCCAAACCAATTACTTTCTCCATCTCCGTCCTTGAGGAACCAACAGCCAGAACAATCCAAATACAAACAACGTAAGTTCACTTGGGCCTCCTGTAAGCAATATCCCTTCTACAACCCCACGGGCCGGTTTCGCCACGCTATCACAAATCTTCCACTTTCGCCCCGAAAAAGACTTCACCCGTCATCATAGCCAGCCAGTTGAGACAATCTAGCACGCCCGGGACACAATTTCCAGACAACAGTGGACAAGGAGAACAAACAGCACCAATTACTCCAGACACTTGATTACCGCATTGGAGCCAGAAAACTCGGGTCTAAGCTATGACAAGCAAGCATCCAACTCAAATCTATCAGCGCCATACAAGATGTAGCCACAGCATTAAGACTAAGCACTTCGTACAACAAGCCTTTGCGAAAAGCAATCCGAACGCCCTGTCCGGATAACTTATGCATGGTCCACTTGCAGCATTAAGAACCCATATCCTCGGATTTTCTGACTGTTCTTTTTAAGCATATTCGCTGTGTAAAAAAATCCCGTTAATAGTGAAGAAATTGAAAATCATTCTCCTGCCAAAATCAGATAGAGACACAAAATAGAGAAATTTTAGAGACGCTCATTCGCTCATTTTCTATAGGCATCAACAAGGTTTCCATCCTTTTCACTCCACCACTATGGTCGCAATAGCGACCCTCAAAATTTTCGTCACCAAGGATTCAATCAACTCGTTGTACTGTTTCTGCAACAGTATATCTCTCAAAAGGTTTCAATATGGCGTGCTATCAAACTCGCGTGGAGTTTTGTTCAGGGCAAACCGCTTTCGGGAGAACTAGTCAGCTGGCTGAGCAAATAATTTTTGGTCAAGCTACTACAAGCTGCCGTAAACAGCAATCCCGCAAGGAATAGTTTACCACTGAGTCATTAGAACTAATCTATAACCCACAATTTTTTTTAGTTTTTGTTCATGGTGCTACTTCCTCACCAGAATATGTTCACCTCACCATTAATGCAAACGAATTCAACTTTCTCCCATAATTCTGATATTGAGAAAGCGTCAATCCCTCAACGGTTTCCTGAACTACATGTTTGACATTCTTATTCTCGTAAGTTGACTTCTGCGTCCTCTGAAAGATCAGGAACCATTTTTCGTAAACGACACAAACTTTACTAATGTATCTAGTGCCTTTTTAGACGATGAGCTCCTCCCACTGAGCAACTTCCCAAAAATTGTGCGCTATTTTTGACCCGACAATCAGTTTCGTCACAACAAACCCTCCGCTCACAAGGTCCGGCGCAAGATGAGGGCCCTGAAGGCATTAAAAGGTTCGATTTAAAGCCATTCCAAAGCAACCCTCCTCATTGCCCACAATATTCTATTCGGCCCTATACTAGATTATGCTTGCCCTGCATGGTGTGAAGAAGCCAGCAGCACCGCAACTAATCACCTTCAGGATACCTAGTGCTTCATTTTGTTTTTTACTGGATCTACCCTTAAGAGCTCCACTGCCAAACTGCACACTGCATTAGTTATAAAGACCGCCCAACGATTCCCAAATACAGTTCCATACAGCCCGAAAATTTTTCCACGATCATTTCCTCCACCCTGGTCTAGTACTATCATCAATTTTCTGTCGCTTTAATGAAGGTACTCTCGGACTTTTTCCAACCTCTTAATGAAAACTCGCCCTTAGAATTCAACAAACAATATTGCTGTTAACCCTTCAGACTCATTTAAATGAGAGCCGGCATCTAAACAGACTCTCCTGCATAAAAAACACGGTTTCCTTAGGTGCAACATGTTCCCCTAGCCCCACTTACTTGTCACTAGTTCAACTGTCCCCAAAACCATCTCCACTAGCTCCCACATACCTGTGACTTCGATCGGTGTATGTCGCGTCTAAGATGGGCTAAATATGGCCAGAATGACCAGAGAGCATAAAAACTTCAAAAAAATTGTCATAAAACATCGTAAAATCACAAAAAATTTACGAAACAAAATTTAATTAGAATTTCTGGGAACTCGATAGCTTGCCTTCATTATTGCATGATTGTATCAAAAGACTTTCAGTTTTTATGAAATAGGCTGAAAATTTCTCAAGTTAAGTCCTTAATGAGAGAAGCAAACATTTTCCAAAAACAAAACAGCTTCTGGTACAATTCGAACCCATTGTCTTTGCAACCTCAGGCATGTAGGTTACCTCGTTGCCAAATATGCAACACAAGAAACCTAACTGAACTGATTATAAAACAAATTGACTAAAAGTTCGGTGATTATGTTTGATAAGTAGTTAATCTGCAAACATAATAAGACTAACCCAATAGGAGAAACCTGGGTCAATAGGTCACTTTTTATTCCACTGAGAATTGAAAATTAAATAGCATTTCTGAAACTAAAAAGTTCACGTATATTTGCTCTTTTCTTATTTCAGAGAATAATTTGCTTCCATTTAGCATATGACACCAAAATATCAAGAATATCAAAAATAATCAATATGAAATTTCCAATACCTATTTTTTTCATCATTCGGACTAACTACGTGAAAAATGCTTCTTTCATTAACACTTAAGACGGCGCTTAAAGACTCAAAATTTGATAGCATACAGCATGAATGTATATTTAATAGATGCAATTAACAGCACAAACGAAAGATCATTTGATACACACCTAACTTCGGCTGTTTTATATCTTCAGCAAGCAACAAAGAAATCGAATAAGCAAACGATTCACCTCTAGGCGATGAAAACATGAAAGTAGCTGAAATAATAACATATCCACGACCCCTTACTTTGTCTTGATAAACCATTCAGGTAAATTTGGCGTTCCAGCTTTATCATTCTTCAATCACAACTAAAATTGATACGTTTCCTTAATGTTGACTGGAATTTATCCGGCTATTTAACGGACTTAATGATAAATACCTATTTTCAGTTTATTCGTAGAAATTGTACGAACTACTCAAGTTTTTTTTTTGCTAAATGGAGATGACGTTTATTTTAAAATTGGACTCGTGCAATACATACAAAATGCCAAGCATCAGTATTTTTTTTGTTCATTTTCCTTTTATTTCATACTGGAAACTTTTTTTGTTTAGTTCCAAGCGTAGTGGAAGAAACGTCTAACTTAATTGCACACAGGGTACTCACGTCTGGTGGGGTCGTTGAAAGTGGGATGGAGATGGAACACCACTCTCTCCACCACCTTGTTCAGTTCTATCGCTTCATCGGCCGCTTTGATGTATATCTCCCACTCATGTGTGAAGCCATCCACCAGTTTGGGAAGAGTGACCGCATGGTGGCCGATCTTAATGTCGAACGCAAAGTTCTAAATAAAACACACCCACTTGTCTCCAACATCATCATCATCATCATCATCATCATCATCATATTATTATTCAATCACAGATTCACTTAATCACCCGCCATCGTATACCCACTACATTGACATTTGGCCTCCTAATATACAATGAAGTGTATTAGTACAAATTTTAATACTGACGCCCACTCAAAATGTTTATCTTTTACGTTTCCAATTCGTCAGTGAAAGTTCAACTCGTAAGAGAAGACGCATTTGCTGTTCTTCAAACAACGCAATTAAAAATATGTTTCACCTGATTTTGTACCGATTTTGTTCAGTTTTTCCATGTATTTTCACTCAGTCAACAACATTCGAAGAGAACTGCTTTCAGAGATATCAGCTGCCAAATGCGTTCCCTTGAATCCATTTATTCATGACAAAATGACCTAACTTAACAAAATGATCTACTTGCTTAAAGTGATCACGTCGCGTCAACTTGGTTTGAGACTTCAAACTCAGTTTCATTGGTCCCAAAAACAATCTGCCTGTACCGCAGCTTATTGGATACGCTTGCCTTTTTCATTATCCGTTTTTCTTCAAATGCGAATTTTAATTGGTGGGTGGACCCTATTATGGAAACTCGATTTATAAAAAACAGCAGCTGAATTTTAAAAAAATGCCAAGAAAGAATGAGTTTTTATGCCATTTTTCGGTTTTTAATAGGTCGGTTTGGTATGAAATATCTACGATAGGTTTTAGTTACACAAATTTGAAACCACAGTTTAGTTAAATAATACCATTCCGAACTCTCGATAGACTTCTAGGCAATTTAACTTTGCCGTACACATCTTCAGTATCTAAGAATGCATTACATATACAATTAACTTTTTCATAGGAAATAAGATCATAAATATTCAGTCTCTCATTTAGATAATTAGCTTACCAGATTGCTCATTTTTGGTTTATATCGACTACATGCTTCGCATTGTGCATTTCTATATTCTGAAAAAAAAAACAGACAGCAGGTTAAGCTATCTTGTCAAAAAACAAACTTAACCCACGCTTATATAAGTGCTTTTTAGAAAACGTATCCTTGGCTTATTTAGACACTTTTCAGGCTCAAATAATGCAAATTGGATTTAGTTATGTCCATGAGCCTTTTTTAAGCAAAAATGACAAACTGATAAGCCGGTTGCCGTTCAAGTAGTACAGAATCTTCCGAGCGAAGTCTTCTCTGCAAAGAAAAAGATCCGAACAAAAATGGTAGGACTTTTGTTTTCGTAATAAAAGAGGAGCATTTTTGCAACCTAAAAAAACTTTAATTAGTTTGAAAACAACAAAAATGTAGCTTGTTTTTCTGTGCAGAACACTTTAACAAAATATGCCCTCAGTAGTGTTTTGGAAGATTGCTGAAAAAGCAATCTGATCGACTTTGAAAAGACTCCTCGCGCAACTCACACCCCCTTGCAGCAACGTATTGCCTAGAAATTATAACCGAAAAGAAGATGAGTAGTTAATTGAAAGAACTCAAAAAACCAGACAGCAAATGAATGCTTGTTTTTTGTAATTCATAACAGTATGACTTCAACTTCTAGATGACATTCAATAATTTAGAAGAGAACTTCATAAGTATCACCCGATGCATACGCTAAGATACACTACATGCAAGCTCCCTGTGAAAATTGGTGGATTGCATCGAAAAGATTATGTTAAGAGAATAAAATTTCAGAAAGGAATTAACTGCTTGCTTTCAAACCTTTAATTTGTCGGAATTTTGAAACTAGTACAGTGAATAGTTCGAAATCAAAACAAAAGGCAGTGTTTTATACAAGGAGCGAGTGTATCGTAAAAGTTAACAATCCCACAAGAACAGAAAAAATAATCACCACTTCATTGTAATAATTTTCTAAGGTATTTTTGAAAAAAAAACATACCGATAGATCCTCATTAAAATTTCTAACACTGACCAAATCCTCGCATATTGAAATATATATTCAATTCAGTTCTCTTCAAGTTTTCTAGTTTTTGTAATTTCCTAATAATATTTCGACCCAATGAATCTCAATAAATTGGGCGCTACTTAAGACAAATTTATTATTTATATCTTAAGATTTTTATATCAAAAGAAGTTCTTTATTGGAAATGTAGAAGCTTCACTGCTTTAAATGTACGGTCTAGTTAGCAAATTAAAACAGTAAGTTGAAAAACCAGGAAATAGAAGTCCAGGAAATAGATAAACCAAATGATTTGTTTTAAATTCTTCGAATATCACAAGATTAAGTTTTGGGACATCTATTGAAGAAACAGAACTGCCTGAAACATCGGTAGAGCGAATAACTCGTACTTCAAATTCACAAGCGAAAAGCAGCAAAACGAAACTCACAAGACTCAACAAAATTTAGTGTTTTAAGAAACCTAGAGCGAGCTCAGCAGCTCAAGCTGCTTCGAACAATATACCAACATAATCTACTAGTACGAAAAAAATTCGATAAAAAAAATTCGAAAAAAAAAACAATTTTGCTGTTCGGTAGTGGAATTTGCCTTCCTTTTAACAATGAAAAAGCACTGAACTTGAAAAAAAACCAATTGCGAAAAATCAAAACTGAGCGTGAACAAATTTCCTGAAAACAAAAAAAACACAAAGACCTATACAAAAGTACTCACTACGTTCATTACTCAATTATAAAAACTCAGCAAATTAAATCTCGCCTTCATTAATTTCGGCCTTCACTTATACACAAATGCATAGAAATAAGAAACAAAAAATATATAAAAGTGTACCCAAAAATTTCGATGCAATCATTACGAGGCCAAACTGTGCATTTTTGCATTGTAAGCGGATTCCGCAACAAGGACGCTCCATTTCTTCTTCTTTTGTTCTTTACTTTCCTTTGATCGTTCCGACAACATTTTCACATGTTTAAAGACTTGTCTCTGGAATCCAGGAACATACAGACACAAAATTGTGCTCCTATCCAGTGCACAGTTTGGCCTCGTAATGATTGAACTTTTTCATTTCAAAACTAAAAAAAATAAACAAGGATAGCCGGAGGCTCTTCAAGTAGCAGAGAGTTCCGACCACCTCCATACAAACTGGCGTCAAGTTTGTGCGTGTTGTGATGATGCGCGTATAACGTTAGTGAAATAGAAATAATCGACAACAGTTGTCTTCGAAAAAGGACCAACACAATTTTTTTTAAAAAGCAGAAACATTTTCCGTTTTTTGCACCATGATTTTCGTAATTTTAATGCCAGGAAAGCGCTAAGTGGAACTACCAAAACCAGCTTTCGGGATTGAAACTAAATTTTCACTACTTAAACAAAAAAATTCTAGTCAAATGTCGAGCAAGTAAAATGAAGACTTGCTTTACATTCTCGAAATTAGACCGAACTCAAAAACTTGAAATCAGATTTTCTCGAAACTTGGACAACTTTTTGAAATTATTCTATAAATGCTCCAATGATGACTGAAAAGGCTATAAATTATTATATCACTCGACTCATTCCGATGATTTGGTACCTGATTTTGTGTGACAAACCAAAAAAAAACGAAGACAGAAATTCTTCCCCATTTTCAAGGATCGGAATGAAAAGGATTGTGTAATTATATGAATATGTGTAATTATATGAATATGGTTTCAAACGCGAAAAAATAATCTATTGAGACGGTTGCAACGATAGACGCTTCTTTCTTAAATTTCAGTATGCTCATTAGAACTAACTATTTGAACAAGTTTTTAGATTGATTTACGTTGAAAAACAAATTTCAATTTTCGAATTTCAAATAAAAAACAGATGACATTAAAGCCCTTTGAATTTATATAACAATTTATTATTGACACTTTTTTGATAAAACTAATCCAATTTGAGAAAACTGGATCAATAGGTACAATTTTTTATTTCACTGGGGAACTCGATAATTAAATTCCACTTTCAAAACTAGAAGTCAATCACGTTTTTGGCTGTTCGTTAGTATAGTTTGTCTTCCTTTTAACAAGAGAAATGAACTGAGTTAAAAAAAAAAATCAAAAATCAAACCGCGAAAAAGTAATTTTGAGCCTGAACAAATGTCTGAAGAAAAATGAAAAAACCACCGCGACCTATATAAGAGTCTGAACTACGTTTGTGTTATTAATGAGTGACATAGGTGGATTGATATTTTAAAATTTGAAAAACTGGAATGCAAAACAAACTTTTGAATTAACTGTAATGATCGAAATAAAGTTTTTCTCGGAGGCTCGACGATAAAAACAAAAAGATATAACAACAATTTAATTTAAAACAACAAAAAGAACTAGAATGATTAGCATATTAGGGTAGCATAGAAAATCACATTTCTCAAAAGAATAAAAATAACCATTGACTTTGCGTCTAACAACACCAGCAACAGAACTATAAATATTTCGAATGTCAAACACATCAGAGTTGGAGCTATGAATTGTTCAATAACTGTATCAGCACATGCCCTTCCATCTTCTTCATTCTGAGCTGCTACTTCCTGATCGAGATCTGAAACAGAAAAACTTTGTTTTTACAGGGATTACCATAGATTCTTAAGACAGTAGATTCCTCTTGAAAAAAATTATACTTTGGTAGCAAAAAAATATAATCAAATAGTTTTTTCATGGGCCCTTCGCTTTTTTATTGTGCTCAGTTTCTTACAGAGCAACTTAAAAACTTCCTTTTCTATATACAATTAATTGTTAAATAACACATTGTGTTACACTAAATAACACTTAAATTGCCGACAACAACTCTGTGCAATATGTCCCCTACCTCCTGTGTCTTCTGCGCCTATGATCTCTGTCTCGTGATCTGGATCTGCGACTGGAGCGGGACGACTTCGAGTGGCGACTGCTCTTCTTCCTCGAACCACTGCCACTGCGCGATCTCCGCCTGAACATGAAGAATCAACTAAGAGGCTGCACATGTAATAACACGTATAAATACGGGTGTAGTTGTGAAGGGACATAATACACAAGCTGAATTGAAGTCATCGATAAACAATACCAAATACCAAAAAACACCCTGTCATACCAAAAAACACCCTGTGAGACTTAACAGATTCAGACACAACCAGTACAACTTGAAATACCTCAAACTTGAAAGTTTGGAATAAAAACTATATGCCCTTAAAATTCCTTGATTTTCACAAATAATTTATGCTTGACACTATTTTGATTAAATTAACCCATTTAGAGAAAACTGGATCAATCGGTTAAATTTCTATTTCGCTGGGAAATCAGAAAATTAAATTCCACTTTCGAAACTTGAAGTCGATTCAGTTTTTCGTGACCTTCACATTTTAACTGTTCGATAGTGGAGTTTGCCTTCCATTTACCAAAAGAAATGACTGAATTTGAGGCTGGAGTCGCTGGAACAAAAATCGTATTGACCCAGTGTTTTCTAATTGGGTTAGTTTTAACTTTCGAAATTTTAAGTCATTCAAGTTTTTCGCATCATCATTTTCTTTCTAAATTGGAGAGCATATCTTAGTTCCTTTTATAAAATGAATTTATAGTGAACTTTCAAACAAATCATTAGTCAAATAACCAAAAACAACCAGCCTTGGTTCATTGAATGTTTCGTTGAAATTACCTAGCCAAAAAACCTTCGTTTAAATAATTCAAAACAAAACCTTCGTATTCATTTCGTTCACTGACACTTAAAAACATAGCCAACTGACATTTGGAAGAAAAGAATTAACGCAAGGAAACAGAAAAAATGACTTTCGAAATTTAAAGAAAAAATGTATGTCCTTAAATCGCTTTATGTTTCACGAACAATATGAGGCATGTGCTTTTTGATAATTATAAAACAAGTTGGAAAACTAGATCAATAATAAAAATTTTAATTTCGCTGGGAAATCTGATAATTAAATTTCACTTTCAAAACTAGAAGTCGATCACGTTTTTCGAAATTTTAACATTTTGCAGTTCTATAAGGGAGTTTGCCTTCCCTTTAAAAAGGTAAATGATGTCAACAAAAAAATCAAACTGCAAAAAGTCAAAACTGAGCGTGAACTTTTCAAAACTTTTTCCTGAAAAAAAAAACAAAAAAACTTTCAACACCTACACAAGAGTACTCACTACATTCATTACTCTTCAAAATTTTTGACGGGAAAAGCATAGCGCGCAGTTTCAATACGATTACTAGTGCCGAGCGTGATGATACAGTGAAAAAAGTGAAAATGTCAAAAAACAGCCATGTTTAGTTCAATAAGTAAACAGAGGCGAGGCTGCAGCTTCGAAAACACAAGCAAGAAAGCGGCAAAGACTCGGGAGCTTGAAATTCCCTTAAAACTCAAATTTTGCATGTAATGTTTAGAATGTATTAAACCAAATTGCGTATAATTTATGCATTTCAAAAATCTCAAGAAATATATCGAGTTGGAGAAACTCTGAAATGGATTTTAAATTATTATACTGTTGTATGAAACAAATTGCTTTTTTGGGTTCAATTAGTGAATTGAAAAGCATCCATTGTAATATATTTTTTACTAAACAAATGTCAAAGCACATATGATATTATACTACAAATGCTACATACCGATTCAAATGTACAAAAAAAACACTTTCGTTTGCTACTTAGGTTGGACAAAAGAAGTTGCATCGTACCAACATATTACGCTACGCTCGTGTAAAAAATGAAAGGCGAAAGTAATAAAATTTCGATGTGTGCCGAAATCGGTGACTGACCTCGAGTCTCACGTCCTTGCATCTTCGTCATGGGCACTTCATAAGCATCAAAAACTAGCCACCAACAAATCAGATAAAGATATAATGCTAATGTAACTGAAGTAAGCCAGATATAAAGCTATTGCTGCTAATGTGCCACAAAATAAGATAAAAAGGCACTTTTAGTTGCAACTTGAGTTGGAAAAAAAGTCAATTTCGTAATACGACACAACGCTTCGCTTTTGTAAACAGACAATCAACAGAATAAACCTCGATATTCAAACTTACAACTAGCCCATCAAAAAACGGCAATAGTTTTGGGTCAAATATCAGTTTACCTTCTGTGTCGGTCTCGACTGCGTGACCTCGACCTCTCCTTCTCCTCGCCTTCTTCTAGATCACTGCAATACAAATAAATGATCACAATCAATGAAACGCTGTTCAATCGGATCTGTAAAACTGTGGTGCCGTCTTAAACTATCCGCACAAAACGAATAGAATTGGAACAAATTTTTTCTGAAATTCGTTTAATTTTAGATAAAAAAGATGTCACAACAGAATTACATGTTACCAGAATTAATATGTATTAATTATTAATCCAAAATTTGTTCCACACGTTGATTTTAAAAAAGGGGTTTTTTGGGTCAATTCGTTAAGTTTAAAATTACCCAAAAACTTCCGGACCAATTTTTAAACCAATTGTATCAAAATAATGTGTAAAAATTGGCTAACTAGTTTCAAAATAGCTTCAAAACCAAATAATAAAAATCGGAATTTCATTGAAAGTTCTAGATCGATCATTAAAACTTCATTGAACATGCTAGACATTTAATTCTTCTCAAACTTGATTTTGTCAAAATCTAAGGAATATTTTGACGTAATTGGCAAACGAATAGGTCCAAAAGTTTTGGAGTAATTTTAAACCATTCGAATCGTCCCAAAACGATCCGTTCTAGGATAAAAAATTGGAAGCCAATGTTTCATAAATAAACAATGTAACAATTCTGGTAGTCTTCATCGTTTTTTGTCATAGATTTTGAGTTGAAACGTTAAACCAATTTGAGTTGAAACATGTTTGCTATTTCCAGTTTTCATCGTTTTATTCATAATTAAGATCAGAGCAGAAGAGCAGAGCTGTTTTACTACCCGCTTGGCTTACCTGTTCGTTCTGCCCTCGCGAGATCTTGACATGTCTCCATCTCTGAAATTCCTCTTAGATGTCACCGACAGCTGGAACAGTGAACTGAACTTAAGATCATTTGCACATGCGGGAAGGGCTTATCAAGGCAACTTCAGAACAAAACATCACGAATTTCAATGGGGAGAAAACTATACAAGAAGATTGTTTGGTGACACGATCATTAAGTCCTAAATGGACTTGACTCCTCACCCTCAGCTCTTCCAGCTTGTCTCGGATGGCGATGAAGCCCAGGTGCAGTTTGCCCCCGAAGTGGTCTGCCAGTCTTCGGTCGTTGTCATACAATCCCAAGTAGGCTGAGCACACCTCACACACGCGCAGTTTCTGCTGCTGGAATGTACTGGCTGGCATCGTATTCCGATAGTCCTCCTAATACATATTTGTTAGATACAGTTTTGTTTTTATCGGAAAATATTCTAGAGTGACTGATATTCTGTTAGGGGCAGGTGCAGGTTAGGATAAACAGCAAAACTGTTCTGATCAAAACCGGACAGCCTCGTAATTTTAACCGATCAAATTGCACCAAATTTGAAACTCTGCAAATTACTATTGTTTAATCTAACTTTCAACTCTGATGATATTCCTCATTTGTATTGATGATCATTACTTGCCTCCAAGCGTCTCTTCTCGGCCTTGAGCTCCTCCACCTCCTTGAACAGCTGCATGGACTTGTCCACATCCCCCGCCTCCCCCACACTCTCCGCCTCCGCCAACTTCTTCCCTATCTTCTCCGCCATCTCGTGGATACCATTCACCTACACACACACACACTCTCACACACACAGATACACTAACACCACCTTCACTATTTCAAAATTATATGCGCAAAATCAGATGGTGGACGTGTAGTTCACAAACTATGTTTGAAAAAGTTTACGAATTATGACCATGTAGAAGCAGTACGTATATTCCGCTGCGTCAAGACCACAGTATTCTTTTATTTACCGCAAAAAATCTAACCCTGGTCATTTCTTTTCCTAGCGGGTCCTACAGTCATCGTCTATTCACATATATGAATAGAAAAAAAAACGAATAGTTATGTATGCACTCCTTTAGGCGAATGGAATGATGCGAATAGGGTACCTTGGTGGTCTGTTCGATTGTCAGGTCCTCCTGTTGTTCAGCCAGTCGCTTCTTGGCCGACTCCGTCTTCCGGTCACAGTCTGCTATGAACCGCTCCAGGTGATCCATTGCCTAATCATCATCATCACCCATCAATCATGACAAATCGTGTCACTATTCATGAATAACTACTTAAACCATGACTCACTTAAACCATGAATTACTTAAACCATGACCTATTTTCAGCCTAAGCCAATGGAACGATGCTAATACAATTTACACTTTTCTTCAGATCACAGGGCGCTTGATAAAATTTGAGCTCTGAACCTACAAAAATCCAGAAGGACTCCTGCTTGGCATACCCGGCGGCTCACAAATCAAATACTTCAGTTTTTAGTCGCAATTTTGAGCATTCGCTCCTCCGCTTTTTTGAACTCGTTCGTTAAATTTTGTCTATCAATTTTTTGTGTCAATTGAAAATTGTTATTTGGGAAGACTAAGTTAAGTGTTCAGTAGCGGATATAGAGAGAATAGACCCTCTGGACATCCAAAATTACTATTTCACATTTTTCTCATCCAACCTACACTAAAGAAATTTAAACCAGGGCGAAGATCACATTGCAAACCCAAGCAAGAAAACGGCAAATAAGAGCTCAAGAAAGCACAAACGAATATGACTAAGGAAAAAGTAAAAAATACACTTGAAAAATAAAATGTTTGCTGTGCCGGAAGGGAACCTCCGACATAAAGGCTAGGAGTTTCACGTCCTCGCATCTGCGCTACGGACCTGAATAATTCCCTACACAAAATGATTTATCTACACTCGTACATTGTCTCGCGTACTTAGCTCATGAAAAACCAAGAAAGAGAGACCAAGGAGTAAACGTTCATGCCAAAATGTTTCAAGACGTTTGAAACCTGGTCTTACGCTTATCCCCAGACAATGTTTGAAAATAAAAAATTCAAAAAACGGATAATTTGTCTAAAATTGGTCTTTTCTCAAGTTCATAAAGGTTTTTCTGCCGAAACAAAGAGTAAACATTTCAGTAGACAAGATTCACGGGACCTTTTTTTCCGATTCAATCCTTAATCTTAGATGTGGGCAGGTAGCTTTAAAGAAAAGTGAAAAAGCTTCACAAAAACGTTCAAAAAGTCAAAAAAGGGCATTTTTCAAAGCCATATTTTTTCGACCAAAATCAGGGCGTAAAAAATTTTGGCAAAAAAATCCAAAAAATGAGAAGTCAAAATTTCCTTCAGTGAAATAACAAGCCTGTAAGACGGGGCAAGGTAAAAAGAAACTAGCAAAAAATGATATTTCTTGCGAAAAGTGCAAGTATTTTAAAAGCGTTTCGAAAAAATAAACACAGCCAACAGAGAGTTGGAAGAGTCAAAGAACCCAAGTTGTTTTTTTTAAATCTCATTTTTAAAATTTCAAAGAAAAAAAATAGATGACCTTGAAACTCTTTTAATATTTGAAACCCTATTTTAAATAGGAGAAAACTGGATCAAAAAGTAAAAATTTTTATTTCGCTGGGAAATCTGAAAATTAAATTCCACTTTCGAAACAAGAAGTCGATCATATTTTTCGTGACCTTTAAACTTTCGATGTTTGATAGTGGAGTTTACCTTCCTGTTAACAAAGGAAAAGAACAGAACTTTAAAAGAAGTCAAACAGTAAACAAATATACTTGAGCCTGATTAAATTTTAAAACTTATCCTGAAAAAAAAACATCGCAACCTATATACGAGTCTGAAATAGGTTTATCGACTCTTAATAAATAATAAAAAAAAGACGAAAACCAAATCCGATGCTATTTTATCCTGTTTATCAAACAGCAACTAACACTAGCCACCAAGAAAAAAGGTAACAGATGCTATTAAATAGCCTATGGTTGCAAATATATCAAAGGTGCTATAAAATGATCACTTCTATTTGCGACTTAGGTTGGAAAAAAAGTTGCATCGTCAGTATTAAATTACGCTCCGCTTGTGGAATACAGGTGGCAATATCTACTAATTTTGAAGAAGCTCGTCAACACCTTCCACGACGTGCCTATAAATGAAACTATGGCCTGTTTAAAAAAACTCGCCCGATCATGCATTAACACTAAGGCGAAGTTGCACTTCGCATGCACAAGCAAAAATATGACCGATAACGCTACTGGGAAAACTGAATGAGTAAAAATTTGAGTCTTCAAAATTTTTTGAGTGGCGCACGCCAGTTTTGACGCATTAGCAGTACCAGTCAATTTAAAAAAAAGTAATTAACCGACTAACACGCTTCCATTTATAGAGCAGTCTATGGAGCAGTAATAACATGAAAAAATAGGAAGGTAATGAAAATAAAATGAACTTTTTTGAAATTTGAGATTTTTTGAGAAAATCATCACCCCACACGCCATATTAAGTACAATGTGATACATTTGGCTTCTATTAACAGTTCAAGTATGGCAAACAAGCTTCCTTCAACCAATTTGAAACGATTTCTATGACGGATTAAATCTCCGCTTACGCGTTCATAGCGCGAAATATATCGCGCGTTAATTGTCCTAAATTGGCAATTTTTAAACCCTCCTAACTTTACGAAAAATGATCACAGGTGAAATATCTTTCCAAACTGCAGCTCAGGACAACAATACCTTTTGTATGATGTATAAAAATCCCGTCAAAAATGGCTACTTAAAAAGTCGAAATTTGTCTTAAGAAAAAAACCACCCGACCACAAATATTCCGTTACTTTCGTTACGAAAGTCGGAACAATAATAGTCTGTGTTAAAATCCTTAGCATTGGCTGTACTTAATAGCTGGTTATTGATCAAAATGAACACTTTCAAAATGAACACATTTAATCGCAACAATATTTGCGTCGCAACAATATTTGCTTCGCAACAATATTTGCGACTTGGGTTGGGAAAAAAAGATAATTCATACTATAACACAATCATTCCTTGTGTAAACAACTGCCTGGTTCTAAAGAAAAGAGCGTTAGAACAGTTAATTTTTTGTCTAAGTATTAATAAACTCACGTCCATTTCATAGTTGTAAGACTTGCCCTTCTTCACAGCTGCCTCGTAGTCTGCTCGGAGGGCCAAGTCATGGTACCTCGAACACTGTCCAATGTCCATGCGCTTCAACATCATCACTAATGTCATTTATCAAATAAAGAACCACTCACTGCTGACTAGCAATGCAACAAGAGAATATGCAAAAGAGGATATTTCAGCCATCTAATGAACTGTGATGAGACCAATAATGACAGCTGGCGAATGAGATTGAAAAAAAAAGAAACATGCTTGATTTCGTTTGAATGCTTATTCGGAAAGTTTTCGAAACCAGTCCTTAAGCTTAAGAATTGCACTTATTTGCTTCCAAATTCCAAAGAAAAGTTCCCGGATCGTGGTGGTATTCGAACCACCGATCTTGCAATTGAGAGACTCGGTTACTTTTACGTAGCAACAAATGGGAGACTTAAGAACTACCAACCGTAGAGTGGAGGATGTCGTGGGGACAACAGTTGAGCAGGAACGACTTGCACACTTTGCTGTCTGAGAAGTGGTACGTCGGCTCATCGTCCCCTGAAATGAGCAGCAGATGACAATACACTAAGACAGAGAGATGGAAATTCTGGAATACAATCAGCACAAATACCAGTAACACAAGGATTCAACGGACCCTACTAACTCAGTTATATAGTAAATATAGCGAAAATTTGCAAAAATAACCTAAACCAAAAATTCTAGCTGATTATTAACAGAACAAATGGACCTGAATACTGAGATAATTCTGTTTCCAATTTGAAGGATTTTTTGACTTTGGACTAAAAATATAATTGTCTCGCTAAGAAATTTGCAGTCGTCCAATCAGTTTTTGAGGATCTAAGACTTATATTTTCTGTTCAAATTAAGAATAGCAAACACCCTTTTTCTGAATGTCAACTTTTGCGCATACATTTACAGTTCGAATTGTGTACATACATTTACTGTCCAAAATTTTAAGAAATGAGGCTAATCTTCTCTTCCAGTGATGAAACTCATCTAAAATAACATTACTCATTTTTATCAGAGACAGAACCCTAGTTAATGGCATATCATATCACTACACACAAGTACATGAGGAAGTATTAGTTGTATCGAAGTCTCAGGAACGAAAGTGCTTCCAAATATCACAGTCTGGGATTTTAATTATCATCAGCTAATTACTCAATTGAAAAAGATCTCTTTTTCATTTTAAATCATAATTACTCTGAAAAACTTAATAACTGACTTTTTATAAACTTGAATTTCAGGCGAAAAAAAATGAAAAACGATCGCTATTTTTCTCAGACAGTTAAGTTGGAGCACTTCGCTTGAAACCTATCAGCTGCTTCAGTTTTGCTTGTTGATTGGTAGTGTATTGCTCCTCTGCTATGGTGTAAAATAAGAACAAGTGTATTGTTGTTGTATCATATGTATAATTAAGTTTAAGACCGGCACTCACAACCAGTCGGCGACTCACGGAATAACACGAACAGAACAGAACGCGCAACTCGACCTCCGATTTTAGCTTCGCGAGGAGGAGGAGGAGAAGGAGTTCAATTGCAAGGCGATGCGAAGCAAAGTCACCCCTTAAAAACCCACTCGTCTAAAGTCAACCCTGCACTCATCACACAACTGACCATATCTTCATGGTCTCATATGCAAATGACCATACATAGAATAACTATGGTTAGCCACACCACGACCATTCATCGTGTATTAATCGCTCTTTTCACCCAATTTTGTTTACAAACTTAATTTTTCACTCGACTTCTGCCGAGCTAAAATTGAACCATAAATTAAAAAAGTTTTGAACGAATAGTTGAATGAGGTCATCACAGATCGTCATGTTGTCGATAATTCAATGTGTTTTACAACAGAAAAATGTGGCATTTACCAGAATCGATTTCCATGTCAAATAAAAACACAACACCAATGAGAGAACCTTTCGAATGACAACAGAGAATGAACGGATTTTAAATAAAGTTATAAGTGGACAACAACCATATTTGCACGCTGGGAATTCTTTCCTTCATTCAATTTTCTATCCACCATATTTTTTATTCTGTTAAAAAATTGCATTTTCCCTCATTACTTTCCGAAGATTGTTGGGGTTGATAAGTGCCCCCTTTAAAAAGTTTAGAGTGTGATAAAAGTTAGTTTATTTTACCTGCAGCCGACCCCATCAGTTCGGCCAGCTGCTGTCGCATCAAGTCAGTAGCAGATACCATCTCAAAGTGCTCTCTGCTCTGATGCTTGTTAGTACAGTTTAACTCACTGATCAAATGAAACCAAAGTCAGATTTGTAGTAACTTTTCTTGCAAAAGATTGAAACAAACTTTTTCTGAAAGAGGACACAAAACGATGAAATCCAGAGCCAAGTGAAGCGAAAAAACTAACATGATTTTCATATCAAACTAATAGTTGTATTTACGTGTATTTAAATTAACTAGATATATGAAAGTAAATTGAGGGTGGTAGGTTAAGCAGAAAACATTTAAGATGACAGATTGGCTTAATTGGCAATACCTTCAGGTTCCACATTAACAGAATCATCAGTTTGATCTTTCGGGGTAAGCAAAACTCTCTTCATAGCTAATTTCTTTGTGCATGAGGCTACAAATTCACAGGGAATCGAAGGCGACTTATCGTCACTACTTTCTTTTTCTTTGGACTGCTCCGGATTCGTGTAAATCATCGCAGTGTGTGCCATTTGTTCATAATTTCCTTGAAAAGCCAATGGCCCCACAGACATGAATGGCTTATGGAGCAGCTGAGTTATCACTAAAGATGAATTTTCGTCTCTCAGAAACTGTCGGTTAAGTGCACCGTCAAACTCGACTAAAATATGTTCCTCGAACTCTTCGTATTCGTCTTCACTGTCACTTTGCTGAGCAGTCATCTCAACGTCATTCGGAGTATTCGCCTGTAAACTTTCGTAAGCCTCCATTAGCATATGCTTTTTAAAATTTATTATCAAGGTTTGTCACTATTTGTGTTAGTTTGGGATCCGGAATCGATAGATTTCTTGACTACTTCGTAGCACTTTACGCTGATTTCTTTCACATTAGGTAGGTCGTAGTTTTGAGCTACACTGGTACCGACAATGCCTCCAAAAACAAAGCTGAGCAGAGGTCTCTTCATGGGAAAGAGCTCATCGACATCTGAAAAATACTGTTTTTAAATTCCATGTCTCAGTTCTAATCTACTTTTGGTTTCGACTGAAGTAATGTGAATTCGAAGCTATCCATCCGGCATTCAAATAAAACAAAAAAAAGAACGCTAAAAAAGATTTTGTCATTTACGAGAGGATTGCTGAGAGCAACTGTATTGAGTCACAAGTGGGAAACTCAAACCATGACATCTTTAAGAAAACCTTCACAAAATACTGAAATATAAGTTTGATCTACAAATTCTGCAGATATTCTACTAGTTTATACTGTCGATATGTGTAATACTTTGGTCTGGAGTCCAACCGTACATGTAGCCAAAATACGCCAGTTCCACTTGTACTAAGCCAAACAGGACTTTCGCCTGTTTCGACGGATGTCAAAAGAGTTTGTCCGACCAGTGAAAACAACTCCAATGTCTCTTCCACTTGTGAATTTCTTACAAATTGTGCTAAATGCGCATAATTCTTTATAACGTGTGAATTATCTAATGAAGTTTTAGCTGGGTAAGGTACAACTAAAGTAGCATCGCCTCCCATGTTATCGAATACTGTTGATGAAAACGTATCAGGATCTTGTTTCCACGAAAAATGCTCCTTGAACACATGAGGCTCAGGATGCGCACGTTCCAACATTGTACTCTTCGTAAGAACAAACTCGAACTCTTTTTCCAAAAACGATTCCACCAAGCTCGGACATTCAAAGAAGAAAGCTGTGAACTTCGAGTTCCGTAAGATGCTTATGAAATACTCTGCAAAGTTGTCTTGGTTCTTCAACGAGACCAAAAAATCTCGAAATGTCTTAATTTTCTCTGGTTCTGATTTTGACTTGAACTTAGTGTACTTTTCAAACGAATTCACTTCAACCTCCACTTCGTTAGAAAACAAATTACCACTCATAATTTCGTTTGAGAACAACTTTCCGGGCTGCTCAGATTTGATCTGCTTTTCCGCCGGCAGCTTCTCTTCTTCTTTTCCATCCACTTTTCGGTTCTGCGAAGCTTGCGGATGTTTGGTCGGAACTTGTGCGTCGGATGAACTCGGAGGCAGATTTTCGGCAAAAAAGTATATTAGGAAAATGAGCGTTCCAATTCCGACAAGCAAAATATTCTGCCTATTTTTGGTCATCCATTCCGCGTTCATTCAAAATTAACATTTCACTAAAAACTGAAACAAAGTTAATTCCACAACTGTTTTAATGAATATTTTAATGAGAAGCACAGACTCATTCGACCACAATATTCCGAGTAATGCACAAAAACAAGTAAACCACCTAGCCAACAGACAGTTGGAAAAGAGTAAATGAACGCAGAGAAACAGAAAAAAACTGACTTACAATATTCGAATTTTAACTCAAAGGCGAAGCTGAGCTTCGCACCACTTGCGATACAAATATAAATGATATATGATTAAACTCAAACGCAAAAATTTAAAGAAAAAATTCAAAAAAAGCCCAAAAAATCCGGAACAAAATTGCCTGCATCATTAGAAACTTTACAAAGAGCTTTTAAAATGCTAAAAAGAAACCAAGTTTTTTGAAAACAAATGAATTCTGCGGAACTAAGCCAACAAAAAAGCAGACTGACAATAATCTAAATTAGTTGAAAATTTTGTAATTGCAAAACATGGGTCTCGACTGGATAGGAAATCCTGGTCTTTGTCGTCTCAGGCACCAGGGTTACAGGAACTTGGCAGAAAGCTGAACCTTCAAAAACAGTCGGGCTACTTGAACTAAGCCGGCAAAAATAAACAGACGGACGATAGCCCGAAAAAGCACAAAAACTCTAGTTTGCAAAAAAAAACGGGTCCCAGCCGGATTCGAACCGCAACCCACTGCTGTCTCAAGCAGTAATGTTACCTTTACACCAGATGCACCAAATGGTTGATTGATTTTGAATTTATAATTACCCAGCGGTAACAAAGCCGAAAACACCTGAGCAGAAATTTTTCATGCCCAAAAAAGTCAAAAAATATCTGAACTACTAAAAACATTTTATGTCCTTTTTCCTCTCAGCACTCACGCACGCACATAAATTTTTTTTCTTAACCAACACGACGCAATAAAAGGCCACTAGGTCGATAAAAATTAAGCCAAAATTTATTCAGCCGATAAAATAGACAAATGAAAAAACAAATGAAATCGAGTTGGAAAACTTAGAACCAATGCAAAAACAAATTTCAATTCTGCAGGATTTCAAAAATGCTTAAGCACTTGAAGCAACTACAGTAAAAATTGATTACAGAAAAAAAACGATTCTAAGATGTGGCAACAAAGCCGAAAAACAAATTATAGGCCGACATTTTTTTGAACCGGAATATTTGCCGTTTGATAAAAAACAGATCCTAGTCAAATTTGACCTTTCCCGCATTCAATACCTCCACGCTAAGTTTACATGATACAGTGAGAAATTTGATATCATTATGAACCAAGGTACCACCAGGAGCCCAGCTCCGTCCTGTGAACAAAGTTATTTAAGGGAAAAAAGTCTTGTTCCCGATTGCAACTCTCTAATTTTAAAAGCTGAAAAGCCGCAAACAAATTGTAATCAATTTGTAGTTTCGAGTGCAACTTAATTTTCAGATTTCCCAGCCAGGGTATTGCAATCAGGCACTAGACTTTTTTCCCGTAAATAACTTTGTTCACAGGACGGATCTGGGCTCCTGGTGGTACCTTGGTTCATGATGATATCAAATTTCTTACTGTCTCCTGTACACTTAGCCTGGAGGTAACGAATGCGGGAACGTTTACAGGACCTTTCCCGCATTCGTTACCTCCAGGCTAAGTGTACAGGAGACAGTAAGAAATTTGATATCATGATGAACCAATGTACCACCAGGAGCCCAGATCCGTCCTGTGAACTAAGTTATTAACGGAAAAAAGTCAAGTTCCCGATTGCAATACCCCTGCTTATCGCGAGGATAGAAAATATACATGGCCTTGGATTTAAAAAAATTTTATTTGCACTTTTTTGATAAAAATTGACCAAATTTGAGAAAAATGGATTATAGGAAAACTTTTTATTCCGCTGGGAAATCTGAAAATTAAATTGCACTCGAAACTAGAAATCGATTACAATTTGTTTGCGGCTTTTTAGCTTTTATAATTAGAGTGCATTTTCCCTACCTTCTAGCAAATAACCTTGAACTCAAAAAGTGCATATATACCGATGAGCCTCCATAAATGACATACTAAGTAAGTATGAATGCACTTTCTGTAGTTATTAGAGCATTTTAAGACTTTTCCTTAAAAAGGATAACCTGTTCCGACCATATTCATGTCGTTTATAGTGAGCGATGTGATTCGAAAACTAAACAATCGCGTGGAGAATTAGTGAAATAGGCATGATTGGCAAAAATTGTTTGCAAAAAATGAACACCAAACAAAAAATGAAAAAAAAATATTTTATTTTTTTTGCAAATCTTTATTGTCAAATAAGCGCTAAAAACACCCAAAACTAGATTTCTTGATAGCTATATCAAGTTCTGGGTGCTTAAAATTAATTTTAAATAGTTAATTTTACATAACGAACCATACTCAATCGCGTTTTTCGCTCGAAATTGAACTAAAAATCAAAAATTTTAAACAGGTTTTTCTTGACACTGCGAGAATTTTAAGGTCGTTCGAATCACGACTGAAAGGGCTTTAATATGATATACCACTCGACTCTCTCCGAGGATCATTTGTGGTAGCTGATTTTGCGTGGAAAAAAACTAGAAAACCCGAAAATAAAGTTCCTCCCCATTTCCAATGGTCGGAACAAAAAGAAAAATCACTACCTACATAGAATTCTGAATTAAGTTCATCAAATTTTAAAAATTAAGTTAGATTCCGAAGTTTTCTGCCGTTCTTTGAAGGTACTTTTGTGGGGATTAAAGAAGGAAATAAGCTGTAATAAGGAGGTAAAACTAGCTGCAATAACTTAAAACTCCATACAATTAAATGTGGATTTCAGTATCGCATGTAATCCCCCATTTAAATAAACCTTGAAAAGAGGACCAATTATTCTCGTCACTGAATCAACTTTATTGATTTTGTTTTCGGATGCGAATCACGACTGAAATGAAACTTCATTGATTTTATTTGGAATGCGAATCACAACTGAAATGAAACTTCATTGATTTTATTTGGAATGCGAATCACGACTGAAATGAAACTTCATTGATTTTATTTGGAATGCGAATCACGACTGAAATGAAACTTGATTGATTTTATTTGGATTGAGAATCACGACTGAAATGAAACTTGATTGATTTTATTTGGATTGAGAATCACGACTGAAATGAAACTTGATTGATTTTATTTGGATTGAGAATCACGACTGATGCCGTTACGAATTCAAGTTGTGGTGCCTGAGTCAATTTATCTTCAAGTTCAATGACTTCGATGCACTAAACTGTTGGTAAAAATAGTTTATCCTTCATGCAAAGGTAAGTTAAAGAAAAACTCAATTACAAAGGATACAAGTTCGTAAATATATTGAGCGAAGATCGTATTTTGCCTGAAAACTATTCAGAAATGAGCATGGATGCAATCATTTGCTTCGCGCATCGAATACGAGACAGAAATATTCTTGAAAATTTTGATTTAGTGCGTACGTTTTTTTTCTTTTTTAATTAGCCAATACGTTCGTTTAATTTGGATCAGAAATAATTTTTTTTTGTTTTTAGATATGTATGCATATCTTGGTAAATAGAATAAGTAATGATAATTATGGAAATTTGAATGTTTTTTGAATGCTACTATGCAGAAAAATAGTTTGCGAATCTTTTCTCAAATCATGAGACGCTGAAACCTTCTAGCTAGAAAAATTTAAAAAGAAAAAATATATATATTCTTTTTTCTCATTACTATTATCTGAGCTGCACTTCCATGGTAAAAAGCCTAACGATTCCATCTGAATAAGCAAAAAAATTATGCGTTCAGAAACATCGTAGCTTAAGAGAAATCGTAAAAAAGGGAAAACATTTAAAATAGCAATTTTTATTATTTTTTTTTATTTGTTATGATATATTTTTTCTATCATTATTTTCTGTCTTTATTCTCATGAGGGCACAGAGGTGCTATGCTGTTAAGGCAAGTTCCTTGGCAGGCAGCTTTCCTTGTTTAAAATAATTTGAAATATATTTGATTGTAAGCGCGTTCATCTTTTCAAGGGCATACTCATAGTGGGCATTTTTGATGCCCTTTATTTCCTCTCTAAATTTGCAGAAAATTCAATAGATTCCATTCATATTTATTTGAATTATATTGAAACGTAATTGACTCTGATTGCAGATTTAGAGGAACAAATTCTTCTTCTAGTTTAGAAAAACGTTGCAGAAAACACTTTAAATTTTACAAGCAATTGTCTAAATACTGACGAGTATGAATACGCGGTTGTCTAAATACTGGCTGCACTCCATATCAGTCTGACTCTAATTGACGTTTCAAACATGTCTGCATAGCATTTAAGTGTTCAGAAGACACTCGATGAAACAATTTGTTAACTGAACCTGATGGAAAAAAACTGATGGAAAAAACGGATGAGTTATTTTTCGAAACAGACAAAAAAAATTATGAACAATATATGACGCATTTTCATTTTGCAAGAGGCAAGACAAACTGGATCAGAAAACAACACGTTGCCTGAAAAAATATAAATTCATTGTTTCAACAGTAAAACAGCTCAGAAAAGAAATCGAATCAGACAGAGAAGGAAAGCAGAAATCGTCACCGGCAGAAGTCAATCACATGTTTCGCGACCTTTACATTTTTTTTCTGTAGTGAAGTTTGCCTTCCTTTCAACGAAAGAAATAAAGTGAACTTAAAAACTAATCACAAGTCAATCCGCGAAGAATCCAAATTGAGCTAGAACAAATTCACACTTTTTCCTGAAAAAAATAACAAAAAAATCACCAATATTTAGATAAGAGTACTCACTACGTTCACTATTCTTAACAAGTATTTGCTAATGTTATCAGACAAAGTAATTTATACATCATTCCAGCAATGCGAAATTAATTGAATTCAGAACTTTTCGCGTAACTAGTAAAACTATTAGAGTAAATCTACATTAATCATTTTTCGCCGTCGTTAGATGACCTCAGAATGTTTTGCTTCTAAAGAGCGCTTCACTTTTATCCACGTTGCCTTCTTTTTCGTCTTTTTTCAGCAATTCTGTCTTGAACCGTTTCAAATCAAGTTTTTCGCTATTTCTTCTTTCTCTTGATGTAATCTTTTCGGTTCTCGAAGCCTCGTTATTTTTATCACCAAGTTCAGCATCATTGTTATCACTTTTAAGGCTTTCATTTTGCTTTTCATCGTTTTCACGTGGAAGATTAACATCACTTTTAAATTCATTTTCAATAGTTTTCTCTTCTTTTGACTTTTCATTGTCTCCATCATCGGAACCGTCCTTCACTTCAAAACTTTCATGTTTATTACCACTTGTTGAAACAGATTCCTGCATTTTTGTTGAAGTATTCTCAAGCGCGCTTGCCACTTGCTCACTTTCATTTTCGCCCTTGCTGTCAATCTGATTTTCTCCATCAGTCGCTCCGCTTAGATCCATTTCAATTTTCTGCCACACTTCATTTTCCCCGTTTTTAAGCTTTTGCTCGACCTCGTTTGCGGCACTTTCATCTTTGCTCCCTTCATTCGTCACAGAATTGTTTCCGTCTTCGTTTTCCAAATCTCCGACCGATCCATAATCCGTCAGTTCCGTACGGTCACTCATCATTCCCGGGTCCTCGTCTTTTACTCCTGGTTCGACTTCATCTCGAAAAGACATGTCTGAGAGACCTCGGCTGTTCGGCTTCTTGCCCTCCGTCGGTTCTTCTAGAATCTGCCCCAAGAACGGATCTTCGTTTCCGATTGTTGCCGGTGAGAAAATGTAGTCACGCCTGTGTGTCGCTGGCTGGACACTTTGATACTTGCTCCTGTTCTCCCAATAGATATTTCGCTCTCTGACAATCAGTTCTTCCAGCCAGTCGGCAATATCGTATCTTCCCACAATTTCGGACCTCAACGATTTCAACATTTTGACACATAAGTCTCCTGAAACATAGTTTAAAATATTTTTTCATCCAGGCTAAGACATGTTGTAATAATATTCACTCAGACACAAAAAAAAAGCTGAAATTCTTTTTCAAATTGACAACCTGAGTCAATGTTCTTTCGTTTCCACTCTCGAAGTATTTCGAACTTCTGTTGCATGATGTTGGCCTTCGAGTTCACTCTCGCTTTGTTTCTGTATGCAGTGGAGATGCCCAGCACAATAGCGAAGCGGTCGAACTCCAGCGTTATTTTGTCCACTATTTGTCGCAAACAGCTAGAAACAAAACCACCGTGTTCTTCAAGTACTTCATTTTTCAAACTTTTACTAATTTGCACCTGATCATAAATCGAACAACATGCCCAACAAAAATTCCGTAAAAAGGGCAATGAAGGCCTGAAAGCCAATTGAATTTCAAAAATCTTGAAACTTAAATTCCGACCTCAACGACACATTTTTCACGCTATTTGGAAGCGTTATTTGTCTTCGATTACATAAATGAAATTGAGGTGAACTAACTTGAAAAGGAATCAGTCAAACTGCCAAAAAACTATTTAAGCTTTAAGTTTCCCCACTCGTTCATTGATACTTGATCTGCTGGGAAACATTTAAAAAAAAGTTAATATAAAATCGCATTAGGTTCAGCAAAAGGTGTTTTCAATTTCACTTTTGTTGAAAAGTGAAATTTTGCAGCAGAAACAATTAAAAATTCGAACTTCAGTGTTCGAATTTTTAACTAGCGACGTTTCTCCAGTTGAGAGCAATACTTACTTGTCGTCTAAAATGTCATCATCACAGTAAGGCTTTCGCGGCACTTTGGCAAGCAAATACTCCATCTGTTCAGGCACGTCGTGTATGTGGTCACAGCTGCCATTCACCACCAACAGTTTCCCAATGTTTGCAGGAGGGAAGTTGATGTGAACAGTTCCTCCTTGCACTGATATGACGTCACTGCTAGTCCCCGAGTTGGTCATCAGCACCCACTGTTGCACTGTTTTCTCAAATGCTGAAAATAAGTAAAAACATTATCCATAATTTCAGTCAAGCTCCACTTAAGAACAGATGAACTGCAGGCGATTATAACGCCATTTTTGTATATTTTACACTTGCTAAACCAAAAATATCATCTGACTCAGTAAACTGACTATATTAACATCATTTGGTAACAATTTCACGCCGTCAGTAACTTGTGAATCGATTGTGGGCATCTCAGAGCTCCTTTCACACACAACTGTTATGATAGAATTGGGGTTAGAACCGCGATGACGATTCCAAAGTGCTCACCAATGACAGTGAGTTTTGCAGAAGTGGGTCTTCTTACATCCTCCACTTGTTGAGGGTATGGGAGGCTGAGGGAGAAGGTGGTCAGCTGACTCACTATGGTAGCTTCCACCTCAACCGAGAAGAGAGCACTCACTGCATTTAGACCCGTGAAGCATTTCAGTAGCTCCTCTTCTATCATGTAGCCAGCACTTATCGACTAAACAAATAAATAAGTCAACGCAGAAACAAATGAGCTGAATGTTCCAAGACGCAAATAACAGATTTCTTCTATTTCCCTCAATTTAGAATTATAGCACAGAAACGGCACTCACTCCGGTCGCAGGACAATCTACTCAATTCCAATATACCCTATACCATTCTACCCTATGCCATTCTACCCCACGACAATCTACCCTACGCCTTATATACGACGGAATGATAACAGCGAAATAGTGATCGCCGCAGTCGCGCAAACGTTTTGCGAGCTTGCAAACAGAGGATAAGACTCTATACGAATTTTAGAGCCAGTTATCACCGCAAAGCGGCGACGCGCGCTCACCGGCGACCTTAAACCGAAAGAGTCAGCTCAGTTATCTCTGACCCATTGAACTGTTCATAGAACATAGGGTATATTGGCATAGTGTAAATTGAAATATAGGGTACATTAGTATAGGGTAGAATGGCTTGAGTTAAATCGAGAATAAGAGTACCGCTTTGCAATCTTTTGATCACATCTATGATCTATAATAATGGCCATTGTTAGAACTACTCATAGTAAAGGTATTCAAATGATTTTAGTTATCTTTAGGCAGAGTTTTCTTCTTTTATCAGATCAGTATCTTAATCACACAGAGGCGCATTTATGAAATTTAATAATTAAGCTTTACCAAAAAGCAGCTCTATCAAGTGAAATAAGAAAAAGTAGAAATAAGCTTCGAATTAGCAAAAACTCGGTTACGTGTCGGATTCGAATCTGCGACTTAGCAAATTTGAGTCTCACGCACTAACAACTCAGGCACAGTTGCTTAAAATCCGGAGGCGGAGCAATAAGCAGAATGGTCTAAGAGCAAAATGTGTCCAAGAGCAGAAAAACAATAAGTTTTTATAAACTAATCGGTAATTTAAGTTTCAGAATGGACATTATTACCAAAGAAACTAATATTTGAAGCATAATTAGAGTTATGTAATCGAGATTTTAAAAAACTCAATGAGAAAAATTATTCAATTTATGCATCATTTATTCATTTTCTTGGTACTATTGACGATTCTGATAACTGTTTTTATCAATTAGCCCGTATAAATCAATAATCTTCGGTTTTTGTTCTCTTGGAACCATTCTGCTCTCAGATCATTCTTCTTATTGACTGGCCACCTTAAAATTCTCAAAAACTAGCAAAAAAAAATCCCGTCAAAAATGGCTAAAAACTCGAAATTTGTCTGAAAAAAAAACCACCGAGCACAAATATTCCGTTACTTTTGTTACGAAAGTCGGAAAAATAATAGCCTGTGTTAAAATCCGTACCATTGCCTGTACTTAATAGCTGGTTAATGGTTAAAATGAACACTTTCAAAATGAACACATTTTATCGCAACAATATTTGCGACTTAGGTTGGAAAAAAAAAGAGTTCATACTATAACACAAGCATTGTTGTGTAATAAATTATGCACTTCGAAAAAATTGCGAGATACCTTGAGCTGGAAAATTTCTGAAATCGAGCTTTTTATCATTGCACTGATTGTTGAAACACATAACTTTTTTCGGTTCATTTGATGAATTAAAAATGCATCAGCTGCGTTAACTTTTTACTTAACAAATGTCAATGCACAAATGATATTATACTGGTAACGCCGCCTACCGATTCAAAAATGCTACCAAAAAGTAGCACTATTATTTGCGACTTAGGTTGGAAAAAAACAAAGAAAGTTCGTACTAATACACATTGCTTCGTAAATGTTAATATCACGTTTAACTAAGACGGCAATTATAGCTCATTTTGCGAAAACCCAGAAAACAATTGAGGTTGTATACCCATGTTGGGGTTCAAATCCATTTAGCGTATCTAATGCACAATAACAATAACCAATCGTTCTTTTACAATATCTTAAATTCGATTAAATTTATGCTTTGAGGTTTCTCTCGACTTCTAACCCACCTTGACTGAGACAGATGAAAGGTACTGGAAGCTATCTCTCGGCACCACCAGCTGGCTCTGTTTATTCTGGGCGGCGAACAGTCTTCCCCCCTCCCTGAAGATCTTCTTGCTCTCCGTGTACACTTGTGGTGCCGCTTTCTTCATCACTCGGCCGTCCTTGTACTCTACTACTACACAGTATGCAAGAGCAAGTTGGTCTGTTTTCACTTCACCAAATACCATCGCCTAAAAATGACAATTCTTGATTATTTTTAATTAGTTTCATCATCGCTTCATCAAATATCAAATGATAATTTTTTCGATTTTTTGTAAATACATCGTTTCCTGGTTCAAAAAACGTTCCGCGTCGAATTCTTTCTCCACATCTCTTCAATGAAATGGTGGTGAAAAAACTAATACAAATAGCAGTAACGATTGGTTATACCGGTGGGAAAGTAGTTTTGTTGTCTGGGTAGGAGTAGAACAGGTGGCTCTTGTAGGGTTCCACTTCCATCCAGTCCACTCCGTCGAAAGTCTGCTTGATGATCAGTCGCTCACAAGAGTCATTCACAGAAGGCACCCCATGAGATATTCCTACACACACAAAATCCATATTTTTCAACACCACATTTTCGTCAAATTAACTAAGATAGAACCTTTAGTTATTTCTGATGTTTTTCTTTAAACAAAAGGTTGACGATGCTTAGCTCTTTTTGCTATATCAGTGATCTAATTGTCATCATTGAATCATCAAATCTTTCAAATATTCGAATGTCAAATATCTTCTTCAGTAAGCTATTTTAGCACCGTCAGCTAAGTATTCTCTAGCGAACAGCTTTAACCAATCGCAGAGCCTGAATCAGCCAGTATTAATGACTCACCTAGCAGTATGTGACATGGGAGCTCTGGTGGCTTCTGAAAATAGACGACTTCGCTGACAAGAAGCTCATTCATGCGAACAGCGGACTTCTCCCACGCGTGTTTCGTCCGCACATCCATACTCTTCGCCAATCCCACACACTCTTCTGGCACTCGAAACACTCCAATTGGACTTTCATTCTCTCCACTCGGTGCGGCTGCACATCTCAGGATTCTAAACAATCATTTATAATTTCACTGCATTAAATTGCACCACATGCCTTCCTTGTTATCACATCATGATCAGCATGGTTTTCCACCCTGAACGATCGAGCCAGTTATTCAAGCTTAATTTCAGATCTATGTTGGTTTCCATGTATAGAATATTTTATTGAGTTTTAATCTCGCTGCAAGCATGGCAGCGCTTTCAGGAGGAGCTGAGATGAAAATTACGCGTAAACCTAAAGTCTGATTGCAACAAAACGTACACATAAGTACAGAAAAAATGTGGGAATGTAGCAGTGCGACTGTTGAGCAACCGTTAATTATTGAAATGCACTTACGGCACGAGGTTCCATTTCTTAGAGGGATCCTCCATGAGTTTGTTCACATTCTGTCTCGACTCCACCATCAGCTTCTGGATGTTGTTGAGCAGGACTCGCAACTGGCTGAATCTATATTCCAACTCCGGAATAGCACGGTAGACATCCTCCAAGGGGGCCACCTATGAACAATAACAAAACTAGAAGAAACTATTGATGTTAATTACATAAACTACATCTCGCTTCCAAATTTGACAAACAATCAGTATTTTAGGGAATCCAGCTATTTTTACAACTACAGGTTACTTTTACCCATTTAAACCTTTGCACACAATATTGACACCAAAACTGACCAGGTTAGGTCGTGGCAGAATTATTTTACTAAAGATAGCTCAACCTAGCACATCACAGGGGGTCAAATACGAACACTGCAGCTCTCACAGCTAAAGGGTTATTGCTATGATTCATGTGCCTTATCAGTAAGACATCGTCTTTCTGTTTCTCACGTGGCTTCACTTAAGAAGTAGCCAGAAGCTAACCTTCTGCATTCCTACAGATCGTGTCATTCTGTCAATGTCCGCCACTGTCTTCAGAGCGAAGGACTCATTGCTAATCGTCTGCTTCTCAATCAGAGCCACTATCCGCTCCACTTCCTGTCCGGGCACTCCTAACAGCTGGATTTCTATCAGATCCCTCCACTCGTGACCATTCAGCTCCTTCAGAAGGGCTGTCGAAATCTTCACTGAAACAAAATGTTTTTTTTTCATCATTTTTGGTATATTTTCTTAAACTTCTAAAAACCGATTTCCTCAGAAATATTTTTCGGCATTTGAATAATATTTTTAGAAGTATTAGAAATATTTCGGAAAAAAAAACTTGTGAAGTCTACTTTGCGCACGAGTATCTACTTTTTATTAGAATGATGCTAGTTAAATTATTGAATTGATTCACTTTGATGAAATGTTGAAGATAACTTAAATTTGCACACAACACAACACAACACAGCCTACCCAGCTCTTTTCTGTTGAATTGGACCCTGTAGTTGAGGTCCCTGAGAGCTGTGAGTCTCTCCCTAGCCTCAGACAGCACTGCGGTGGGGATCTCCACTTCCCAGATACACTTGGTGTCTCGGAAACTCTCATACACTCTCTCCATCAAGTCCATTCCATCTCTCAATGCTACAACATAACACTGTTTCTACCAGTTTGAACAAATCTTTTCAATTTTTTCCACCAAATGTGCCAATGCGTTAAATGAATCATTCTTGGTAAAAAAATATACACTAATTATTAATCATTTTTGTTCCCACCATTGAACATAACCACCTGACAGTTGGAAAAGAGTAATGAACGCAAGGAAACTGAAAAAAAACTACTTGTTTTTTCAAAAATCTTCAACTTTTGAATTTCAAAGGAAAAATAGATGGCCTTGAAGCTCTTTGAATTTGTAGAACAATTTATGATGGACACTTTTTTATTATTATTAACCTAAATTGAGAAAACTGGATCAATATGTATAACTTTTATTTTGCTGGGAAATCTGATAAATGATTTCCTTTCTCGAAATAAGAAGTCGATCAAGTTTTTGTGACCTTTACACTTTGGCTGTCCGATAGTGGAGTTTGCCTTCCTTTTAACAAAGGAAATGAAGAGAACTTAAAAAGAAATCACAAGTCAAAGCGCAAAAAATCAAAATAGAGCTTGAAGTTTTAAGACTTTTTCCTTAAAAAAAAAACATGCAAGACCAATATAAGAGTACTCACTATGTTAATTACTCTGGGGGGAGGAAAAATGGGGAGGATCTTATTATACAGGTGTTTTAGTTTTTTTGGTTTCCACGCAAAATCAAGTGCCACAAATAATCATCGGACTGGGTTGCGTGATATATCATATTAAATCCCTTTCAGTCGTAATTTGAACGACATTTAAAAACTTTCAAAAAAATTCGTAGTGTTGAGAAATACTGGTTTGCAATTTTTGATTTTTGTCTATTTAATTTTTGTACGTTCGTTATGCATGAAAATTAACAAATTAGGCAAAAAATGATAATATAGTTTTTGATGCCTTATATAGCGCTTCTCTGGCAAAAAACTCTTTCGAAAGTATTTGAAATTTTTAGCGCAAATCAAGGCAATTCTAGTCGTTTATAACTAATTCACCAAATTTCTACACTTTTGTATAGCTCTATCATCACACGACGTACAACAAAAGACCTCAACTTGAAAAAAAAATCTTCACATTTTCCAATGTCTTAACATATTAGGTTCTTGGATGCAACTTAAAGTCACATAAGCTCATTTGATACAGAAAAGCTATTCATCATGAGCCTAAAGTAACAGAGCAGGACAAGATAGCTCACTTGAGCAAACAGCGTACCTTGCAAGTCTTCCAGGGCCTGTTGCTCGCTGTCTGCAATCTGATTGGTCAGCATTTCTTGCATCATCAGGTCCTGTTTGCCCTGCTGTGCCTCCTCCACGTTCTCCATCAGGACACCAGATGAGGATGTTGCCATCATGTAGAGTGGCTCAACTGAACAATAAACAAGCAACGGATCTTTTTTGAACTAAAATGATTATAGCGGCCGCATATAAACCAGTCGAAGTGATAGCCAGATGCAAAATAAACTAACCTTCAAAAAATTCAATGAAGGCACGGAAACAGAAAAAAAATACTTAAAAATTTTTAAGAAACCGAGAACTAACAGAATAGTTAGAAAACAATTAAGCTCGTGAACCAACTCAGTTCGATTCACAATTACATGAACCTGGCATATCATCAAAAAGCAGAACACGATTCCAGAACACCTCTCTTTAGCCGCTTTAATCAGCTTGGCTTGGACATTGTCATTAACTAAAAAGCGGCCATCCGAGATGCCATTTAAAAATATAAAACCACTTCTGAGATTAAATTCTGCTTTTCCACCATGGCGTCACATAACAGAAGATGAGATGCCTAGGCAAAGGCCAACTCTCCCCAACTTCTAAGCCGTGATTGAAAAAAGTGTTCCAGTAGAATATATTGTGTTTGGTTTCGTAGAGCTGCGAAACAATATTTCAGACCCATTTCAGCAAGAAGGCAATTATTTCGAGGACACCAGTTTTCGTCTAAAAGGAATCCAAATGGCCAAAGAGAAAGCGTTTGTTTAGGTTGTAGATGGTTAAGCCCGGAAAAACAATGACTTTAATTGGAATGATAATTTTGAACACAGAGGCGAAGCTGCAGTTTGCAAACAAGCGCGAAAATGGAAGAAAAAATAGCTCTGAAATGGTCAAAAAGACGAAACAAAGGGAACAAAAGGCAAAAATAAAAAAATTCTGCAACTAGCCGGAATAGAATCCCCAACCTCAAGATTCACGGTCACACTGCCTAGCATTTGCGCTATTGTCGCTTGACAATCGTTAAGCACTACCCAACAAGAAACAAGATACATGAACCAGACTACATGTTATGAAGCAAAAGTAAACACATATAAGGCTTTTGCAGAAAAAAAGGCTACCAAATAAATGAACATAGGGGTGTTTATTGCGACTTGGGTAGTAACAAGAATTACGATAAAACATGTAATATGATACATAGCTCACTAGACCAGTAGTGGAAACATCAGTCATTGCCAAACTTAGTGAACCGCTTCGACGACGTAGAAAAACTGCACAAATTAACTTCAAATGATTTATCGCTGATGACGAAGTTGGAGGTTGAGAAATTAGACGACAATCAATTTAGACGGAGGCACTTAAAAAGAAAATAGACGTTTCTACAAAACTGCAATTGTGAGAAAAAGACGAAAATGAGAGAGAGTGAAAGAGATTAAAATTGTTGGCAGACAAATTGCGTGAGAAAAAATAATTGCTTGCAGACAACAACTAAATTTCGGTGGCCAAAAATGCAAAATTTCAGAATAGTTCCATCGAAATATGGAGGTGGATAAAATCTTATTACCGATGAAGGTAATAGATTTTCAAAAGATGGTGGCAACCAAATTAGGTTATCATTATCGCTGCATTCTCTCCAATTGCTTCGTTAGATTAATAACATATTTAGATATTACAAAAATCATTCGAAAACAGGCAACCACAGTCACGAACCCCACCTTATGTACAAATTCAGAAATCGAAAAACCACCGGAGTATCACAAACTTAGCAGCGGGCTACTAAAAAAATCAAAGAGAATTTCATAGATGGTATGTGGAGTAAAACGAGCGACAATCAAGACTTTGAGTTCTATCAAGAAATTGGATTGGCGATTTTTTTGGTTGACACTTGCATGTCTGTATCGCGGAGTCACAGGAATCGCATCAATGCCATTGTATGCACGCCATTCGTCGATGTGAATGATCGATCCCGGTCTTATATATTGTTCAATTTTTGAATGTAGTCTCTCTTTCAAGGTGGTCAGTTTTCTATAAAATACGACTTAAATAATTTAGTATATTTTTTTTCGTATTAATCATGACAATACTATTACCTCCAGTTTGTACATGGCTCTTTTCAAATGGTTTCTCATGAATGTTTCCAATTTTTTGAAGACACTAATTTTTTTTGTTTTTAAAAGTGCTCTATACTTTTCAGCTATTAATAAGGCGGTCGTGTCTAAATGTTTATGTTGAGGATCCTTGTCAGCTTTGTGGTTTGTTTCAGTTGAAAATATGTTTCTGAAAGCAGATTTTTCCTACCTTCATGCTCAGCACATGACTGAAAACAGGTTTAGAGAGGTGACGTACTCTCAGCTCATCGATCCCGACAACGTTTTTGGTAGTTTGTATAGGATGCGAGCTACTTACCTCTATACAAGTGTAGCAAAGAAAACGTTTGTTAAAACCTGGCAAGCGAGGAGAGGCTCAGCAGCAGCCAGACTTCCTGAGGCAGTGAAGTTCGATCGCTTCCATGCATTTGGAGTTCCCGCAACGCCTCATATCGCCCTGGTTTTTACAAAAACGGAGCACCTTTCATCTGATTTTCTGCGATACAGCTGCCATTTCTGTCCTGGAGATGAAGTTTGGTTAGTTCTGCCGAAAATGGACGGTAATATTCATCAAAATCCGATTGTTAGAATGGAAGAGCCTTTGGTTCCTGTCGCGGATTCATTGATATTCGCCACTGACGTAAGTCCGCCCCGCAATGTTGAGCATGGCTCATACGTGTATTTTGACTTCAAAGCGAAAGATATTGAAGTCCTGCAAGCGTCACCAGTCGACAACACATGTTCGGGCGTTTTGTGCGACGGTCAGTTCGAAAGCGCGACTTGTGGGTGCACAAAGGCGCCCTCCAAACGTCACTGGACATTGAAAATTACCTTTTCCTGTCCTCCAATGGATCAAGTGGCTAATGACGAGCTATCAATTGCATCTAACAGGTTGACTCGGCTCTTAATTGACGAAGAAGTCCGATGCTGGCCGGCCTCATACCCCAGAGTTGATCCATTTGACATCTATGGTGATGTAAGTAGTAACAAACAATTAGTTTTTGAGGAAATCCGCCTGCTTGCAAATTTGAAACTTTCGTAACAATTATCATTTTGTTGTGGCTTTGGTTGTAGGTGTCCCTCCTTGTCAGACAAATAAATAGGAAAGCTGGATTCCGCATAAAGGGATGGTTTAAGCCATCCGTATCCAAGAACGATGCCACGGCGGAATCATATGCTTTCCACGTGTGCTATTTGATGCCCTGCGCATCGCTAACCGATACGCAAAACTTACTTTTGGTGTATGTAATTTTAAAACTCGCTTAAATATGTAATAGAATTTTCTCACCTCTTATGGCCATGAAAACGAAGTGTCAATAGTTTGGTATTTGTGAAACAGCTTTTGGTTCATTTATTTCACAGCTCCTATTGTTGTTGATGGAGGAGATGTGTCCACCATGAACACCTCAAGGGTTGAGAGTCATGTCGGAGCACAGGGCAGCACCACTCAAGGTGAAAGCTTACCGGACCACGATGGGAATGTTGTGGAGGGAGAAGAACTACCGAACTCCCGGCCTCCAGTTTTCACTGAATCTGATAATTCAAATGAATAGAAGTCCTGAAAAGAAGACTGAAAGTGCATCCAAAAAAGATAATCACTGTTTTTGTTTTTTGTAGTGCCTGTGTTTATTAATACTTCAAGATACTCGTCTGTTTATGAGCCATCGACGTTCACAATCGAAATCTTGTTATCAAATTAGTTTTTTAACAAGGTGTTCTGTTTGGTGAGGCATTTAATATGACTTTGTTTGATACTGTACAAAGATTGAACTTTTTTCAGATGTTATGATAAAAACGTGATGGTTCAAAAGCGACGGTTACGGGGAAAACGTTGTTTCAATCAACAACGCTGTCTCCTATGCGTTCGATTCGTTCCTTCAGATCGAGAATACTGCGACGAGCATGCTGGTTGTTATCATGTTGTCGATCAGCAACGGACATGAGGGGCCGTATAGCAGTAGTGTTGAATTAATGGAAAATCAAAGCCAGTCAATACGAGAGCCAACAATTCAGGTATTCAAGAAATCTGCTTTAAATCTGAAGCGTTTTTTTACCATTTAAAGGAGAAAACAAGTTGTTGGTTGCAAGTTTAAGCCCAAAAATTTTGTTTTTATACTGGCTTTTACAGTTTATACTTGGGATTATTAGGTTTATGTTTCAATTAATTTAGCCTTTCCAGGGTTTTAATGATCTGTTTGTTAAAGGGACGTGGTCGAGATGATGAAAAGATGGCTCGTTTTCTCAGCGAAATTATTGATTCGGGAACTCTGTACCAAACGCCAGACATTTCACATTTAGAAACAATGTGCGGGATTGTGCGTCTCTTATTTGTTGTCAGTTACTAGCGAGCGAATGGTTTTCATCAACCCAGCTGAAACAACACCCACGCGTCTTGTTTCCATAAATGGCGATGGAAATTGCTTGTTCTCTGTTATGGCTGTTTTGTTGACTGGCGACTGAAACTCAAGCAGTAATGGCAATAGTTCAACAATGAGAGACTTTATTTGCAACCGTTTGCTATTTCTCCCTTTCACTGTTGATCATTTCAATATTTACAGTGACTTCGATTGTGCGAACGCCAGGGAATATATTCAGAAAGAGAACATGTGCAGCAGTGGAACATACGGGGGTGACTTCGAAATTTCTACTTTTTGCACGGTGTTTGAAGTTCAAATGATTGTGTATGTACAACATTTGAAATCATGGAGGCGGTATCGACCCCTCGGAGAAAGTAGAAGCAACATTCCAGACTTCTTTTTGCTCCGTAATGTAAACCACTGGGAACCAATTGTGAATTTTTCATCATCCAAGAAAACACAATCTGGAACTCGAACGACATCGAAAAGAAAACATGAGTTAAATCCATTCGATACACTATTTGAGAGTCCGCAGCCAAAATTTCATCACGGTGATTCCTGCAATGTGAATGTTGTTGAGCCTCCGAGCCTTTGGGTTGTAAAAGACACCGGTTGTTCTGTCGCTGACCTTCCTAGGACTGCAACATGTGTCGGTTCTCATTGCAGGAAATGCGGAAGACACTCATCTACATGGCATCCCCTCGATTTCAGCGTGGTTTCTGAAGCAACTAAATTCAGTAAAAAAAGCGACCGAGCCAAAATACCTAATGAAAGTTTGTTGTGCGACACTTGTCTCGAGTCTGTGCGTACTCCGGGATGTGCTTCTTGGAAATTGGCTTGGCCCTATGTTATGTCAACCCTTCGATAAACCAAGGTTTTTCAATTTCTGCCTTTGCAGCTGCGAGAATCTTGGCGGAGGCAAAAGAACGATTTCACAGATTTTGAAGAGTTTTGGAGCCTCATCAGAAAATACATGACCGAAGGGTATGTTAAAGCGATGCAAAAATTTGCCCTTCCGTCTATTCGATGTTTTTGTGGCGCTTCAGTGTTTGTTTACGATTGTGGAGTAGTGGACTTCTGTCATTGGATCAATTACATTGATCCAAGTTTCAAAGCATGTCGTGCTAATTGGAAACTTCATCTTGCCTGTATAAGAAACGATTTCATGTGTCTGGATCACGGTTATTTACCTTTCCTTATTCAACCATCTCTGTTGATAAATGAAAAAGGGTTGCAGCTCGTCACCTGCAAGCATCACAATGGAGGATCAAAGTTCAGAATGATTCATGTTCCCACTCATCCCTTGTGCGGTAACCTTAGTCACCTGCACGACAACCGTCTGCTCCCTTGGCACCAACGTTGCGAGGCGCTAAACCGATGAAAATGGGATCTTTTTCCCACACCTACACAATGTCTTAAGCAACAGGAGGGTTCCACGGTGTCGGATCTTTGCTACTTCATACTGAAAGAAAATTGAACGTGAAAAGTGATTTTCTACTTCCATGTAAAGAGTACTTACTGATCAGAAACCGAAAAGACATGTTTGAAAACATAAGCAGTATTGCTGAAAAATATCACTTGGACTCATGCTTTATAGACAGTCTCCAGCAAAAACACTGGAAGAAGCCTCAACTATATGATGAGTGCGTTTCGGGAGCTACTTATGTCAGATACAGTAGTATTAAAGCAATCAAAGAGAAAATGGACAAGGATTCCATTTTCCAAAAGAATTGTTTCCCTGTTTTGGAAAGCCTTGACACGTTTAGTCTTGTTGTCTGCGAGAAAGCATTGGCACAGAAGTACTACTCTATTGCGTTAATTTTCATTATTTTCGCCAACGTTTCCGAATTGAATGCATTGTTATTTTCATCAATAAATAATACAATGACAAATGCTATTAAACAACTTCTTTCCAAATTACACATCAATTGTAGTGAAGCATACAACTTTTTCCAATCGTTGATGGATATTGGAAATTTGAAGCTGTGATTACAAGCTGTGTTCGAAAGTTTGGGTCCTTCCGTCATGTTCTGTGAGTCTCTACCGAACTTGGAAGCTTTAACTTCTATTGAAGTGATCGCTTTTTGTGTCAAACGGGGAGTTATACCAGAAGAAGTAATCACGTCACTTACAGAACGAGGAATTTGTACTGCAGTTCAGCGAAAAAACGCCAGTTCGTGATAATTACAACGTTCAAGTGAACCATGCGGATAATCAGAAAGCAATGATTTTGTCCATGAGAACAATGCTTTATAAGAGATCGTCCTGCCTGCAGCCTTCATTTTTAAAGCTTCTCATCTTTGTTAAAAAAGGCTCGATTGCCTACATCCGTATCTAATTACTTCTTCGGACAGAGTCTAATATCTTGTCCTCACCATAAGTTGCGCCTCTGTGTCGATTTTTTCTCAAGTGAATTTCGCTGTGTACTGCATAAGTGCACTAGGAAAAGCAAGTTGAGATATTCCACAGATCAACAGATGCCCTTTTGCCATATGCAAAAAATATTCAGATTCTTTAACAAACTGTAATGAAAATTTCAACTTGACTTTTAATTTGTCTGTCATAAAAAGTCATGCAAATAGCTCCGACCAGGTGTTAAGTACAGAAAGCGAAAGTGAAGATGAAATCAATTTTGCAGCACCTTTGCCCACAACTGATTTTTGTGGAAATACTCCAGATACAGATGCCGCCCATACTGCTCTGCCTGTCGCTTGTGACAAATCAAATGAAGATATGCGAATGCTACCACTTCAAGTTCTTTTGAATTCGTATATGTCAGTCATGAACCGTCCTACATATCCTCCAAATGCCAGCACTCGATTTAATAGAGCTTTACAGTCGTTTGCTGCGACACTCCCTACCTGTTCAATATCACTTCTGCAGCTTGAAGCGTTACTGTTTCCGTCAAATTTTTATCATCAGTTAGATGACGGCACATTCCCTGGAGCGATTCCGTTTTTTCTCTACGCTCCGACTTCACAGTGCAAAAACTTCCAGTTTCATGACCTGTTACAACATTTCCGCACTCGAATGACAGATATAACCTTACTAACCTCTTCTTCCACACAGTATATTCATTTATGATAGACATATTAATCAATTGCGCACTAGGAAAAAGTCACTCAATCGAATTTTTTCAAAAGGGACTTCAATCTTTGCAACTACCAGACGGTAAACGAAATAAGTAGTTTAATCGTGCCGTTAATTGTTTTTCTACTGATTCTGAAATAAGAGTTTCTGAGCTAACTGCTGCTGTTTCCAATGACCTCATTTGTTTCTCACCTTATCTGCCAGCCAGAAAGATCACCCGGCGCTGTCTAAAATTTTTGACGTCATCGAAAACAAGTTTTCGGATGAAAGTAATGAGATTCGCAAAGCTGGTGTGAACAGTATGATGTGCACAATGGTTCGCGCTTGGAGCAACAGTGTGCAATTTCTGATTGATCTTTTGTTAAAGAGTGATGAGAAAATTATAGGGCATATTCGCAAAATTTGGGGTCGTGCCGGGTTTCAAACAACTGCTGGGAACTTGCCGCATTACCACATATTAGTGTGGCTTCATCCCGGATCATTTGACCTGGATGAGCTAGTACAATGTTCTGAAAAAGCTATACGCTACCATTTACAGAAACTATTTGATAGTAATGTTGGTGTAGTCAACAGTCCTGAGCAATTGCAGCAACTGTTCGAACTGGCGGTCAAAGTACATAGCCATGACTGTTCCCAAGGAAACTATCGTTGTATGAAGCGTCGTGATGAAAAAGGAAACAAGATTTGTCGCACACCGCCCTTTCCCCCTAGTCACTGCCATTGGGAGCTTTCTATTGATAAGCAATACCCAGAAGACGCTCTCCGCTTGATGGAAAAGATTGGGATGGCTAAAAAAACTGAAGGTTCTGCTCATTGGCTGAAAAGTAGAAAACCCATGTTCATTTGAGAGTCTATGCCACCAAAAACCCATCTCTTCAATAAATCGTTCTCTGTAATTTATTCTTTTCGCCATTAATGATTCATCGATCTGAATTACAACCCCTTCTCCCCAATTTTTGAAGGGTTGTCCATAAGTTTTTTTAGACCAACAGTCGCAAAAGTAACAATACCATTGAAATGCTGTTTGTGTGGCCAGCTCGACTAATTCAATGCTCGTTGTCACCGGTATTTCATGAGACCACAAATGTGCAAGAAAAATGAAGTTTAGGAAACTACCCATCAAGAATGAAAGTTTTTGGCCTTTATGCTTTGGACATCACAACTTCTTCAGTCCGTTCTTTACTACCGTCATTTCTCGATTACAGAGGGTGCTAGCAGGTGTACTTCTTCGTATTACTCCTTTTTCTCGTAAAAATTGATTTTTGTCATAATTTAAAGCATATTGAACTATTTCTAAAATGTGCATTTTCTTTTTCAAAATGGGTAACACTGCCTTAAGTAGAAAGAATTGTTTTGTCAGGGACCGTGGGAACGTTTCAACTTTTGTTTGCTTAGTCTCTATCTCAAAATAACGCGGGACCTGTCTATCATAATTGCTACTTGGCGGAACCACTCTATCATACTACCGATAGTAATGTTATTTCATGTTCTTTTTGTATCTGTGAAACTTGACTGTGAAATTTCGTTGGCCCTTTCCATTTCATAGCAGTGACGTCTAAAATGCCAGATCTGTAAAAAAAAATTCGTCTAATTTCGTTTTTGCAGCATCCGTCTAGTTTGTTTATCGTCTAATTTCGTAGGCCCCAAATTTATGGCTGGTGAATAAACTCATTTTCAGTTCGTTTATACTTTGGCTTGTTTGTTCCCAGAATTATGACATTCTGAAATGAGATTAACTTCGTTGCCGAAAGATATCGTTTTTTATTGCATTTGATGAGCCTTTAATCGCCATGAATATCTGAAGCTTCAGTGAAGTTTTATGAAAGGTACTTGCTTGCATAAGAATACAAAATTTGGGGAGATTAGAGGCAACCCCAATTTGACTAACTTAGAAAGTAAATTTAGAAGGTGAAATATAACATTCTGCTGAAGAAAAAGCACGGCCAACTGAATGTTTTTGCCACAATCAGTATGAAAGAACGCCATACACTTTTGGTTTGACTTCGAACTCTTGATTCGACTGTCATTATCATTAGTAATTTTGCTTCTTTAGAGCATTGAAAGAATTGAAGTCCGCAAAATCTTGAAATTCCCAAAACGTCTTCATACCTTTTTCGAGGTGCGTGAACACTTTGTCCATTGTGAAATACATCAACTCCTCCAAGTTGTATCTGTACTTTGTGTCAAACTTGGTAAACACTCTTTCCGCCGCCTTCATTTCATCCTGAACCTGTCTCGCTCGCACGTGGAACTGAGCCAGCTCCTCTCCTATGCCTTGATGCACTTCCCTTTTCGAGTCAACAAGTTGCGCAAATTTAGCCAACTGTTCAGCCTTCTGTTCTTCTTCTTCTCTTTGAGCACGCTCTTCATCCGTTTCTTCTGGTTCTGCAGCAGGTGTTTCTTCGTTATCTTCTTTCGGCTTTTCAGTTTCTTCCTTTTCTTTCGCTTCCGATTTTTCGGTTTGTAGTGGCGGTTCGGCTGTCTTCTTTGCTTTGTTTCCTCCTTTTTCTACATCAAACACCTAACCTTCTTAGCTTAATATATACTACAAATATAAAAATCCTCCGGGAAAAACCAAACATAACCAACAGACAAATTTCCGCTGAGAATAATCACCATTTCTGCCCATTTTCAATTTCGTTTATTGAAGGGCGTGCTTTGACTTCCTTTTATAAAAGCTATTTGAATTGCACTAAGACAACATTCGAAGACATCTTAAAAGTCACAAAAAAAAAACATTTGTGTTTTTTAGTGGGCTAATATCTTCATTGTGAGCTTGGGAAGGGTTCGCTTAATATTCGATCGAAAAAGACCTCACCTTTAGCAGCTCCCTTGCCTTTCTTTCCTTTTGCAGCTGCTGCTGCCTTCCCTTTCTTCCCCGATTTCTGCTTTGCCTTGGAAGTCTCTTGAGATTCTCCTGCCCTTTCATCTGGCTCCTTCGCAGCGTCTGTATTTTCTTTCTTGTCCAACTCTTTGTTATTTTCATCGTCTTTTTTCTCATCACTGGGTTCCATTTTGGTTTCTTCTGTTTTATCATCGGCTTCGCTTTTGACCCCATCAACTTCCTCTCCTGAAATATTATTTTTTTAAGCCAACACAAATTTTGTTTGACTTTCTTTAGACCGCTCAAATATTTTACTTGATCACATGAAAACGAAGTGTAGATGGTTCCTTTTCAATTTATCATCATACAAGAGCTTGTAAAATGGCCTAGAGCATATGGCCGTTTCCAACTCTATTTTTCGCATTCTTTGAACAATATTTAGAACGGGAGAAATGTATAGAACCCAGTTGCATCACCCCAGCTAATAGCAAGCTTTAAAAACTGTCGAAATGTGGCCGACCTTTGTGCTGTTGGTTTTGCTGTGCAGTGGCACTGGCGGACGAGACTCGTGAGGCTGAAGTGAGTGTGTGAGTAGTTCTCTGCATGAGTTCTGTCTTCAGCCTCGTCACCTGTCTGCTGGTCTGTATCTCCATCTCCTTCACCTCCTCCGCCCCCTGCTTCCCATAGTACAGGGCCAGGTTCTGACTGTCTCCTGTCGTTCTGCACACAAACATCAACATTATCAATACGCTCAAATGAGTTGTCAACATTTTAGGCAATTCAAAAAGGCAAACGAACAAAACTATTTGAATATTTTAACAGTTTAAAGCTGCCTTAACTTCTCAGAAACTCCTAACTTAGAGTCAAAATTGTTCGAAAAGTGCCGAAGTTAGAAATTTCTGAGAAGTTGAGGCCGCTTTAAATTGTTAAAATATTCCAAATAGTGTTGTGTGTTTGCCTTTTTGAATTCGCAAAAAATTCAAAAACAAATACAAAATTCGCAATTTTTTGAACTCGAAGAAAATTCGCCTTTTGCTATCTTCGCCCAGAAACAGCCTGTCGATTAATGCATTTGAAGTATACACATGATCTTGCTTGGCCCAGCAATCACAGCAGCTGGATGCTAGTGTTTCAACTCTAAAGCTTGAACTAAATGCAGTTATGAGTCAATTAGCCAACACATTTATTCCGATACCAAACAGGCAAATAACTTTTGCTTGTAATTAATGACATGATTAATTATTAGAATCCAGTATGATCATGGGGCGATAGCTGGCCGGAAGCAAAAAGCAGCATTTCGTCCAAATGCAATTCAGCATGAAAATGAAATGGAGTGATTTAGAATGGACTACTGCCATGCCTAGCAGGTGACGCATTCGATATTATTAAGAGTTCCCGAAACTACTAAGATGCTAGTCCCAACTTTTTTGCCAGTTGACTATTCTTCCGCGTTTTTTTGCGCCATTTCCACGTTCGTTTTTGGAGAGTGCTATTTACGTCACTTTCAGCAGATGAATTTCAATTGAACTCAAAAAAGCCAAATCCTAACCTAGCAGATGCTTGGGCTAAAAAGTTGATCACTGCCGCCGAATCCGCTTCACCCTGTGCTTCTTTGAAAACGGAGCGCACATTCTTGCTCTCATTCAAAAAGCCAACCAGAGCTCTTCCCAATTTGCGTGCCTTGTCCATAGCCACCTGCACTTTTGCAGGAACGGGGCCTAAACAAAAACTTAAACTCTGTCCAAAAAGCGGATAAGTTCCTTAAAAACAAAACAACCACCAGACAGTTGGAAAAGTGTCCATAAACGCAAAACAGAAACGAATGGATCGAATTTTCCAAAAATTCACTCTCGAAAAAAATTTACGACAATTGACACTTTCGTGAAATAATTAACGCAATTTGAGAAAACTGAATCAATGAGCAAACTTTTTATCCGCTGGTAAAACGAAAAAATTCACTTTCGAACCCAAAATTCATTTAAGTTTTTTCGTTGAAATTTTTAAGACACTACGTTTATTGACATTTCAACAAAATGGAGTATAATCTGTACGACAAAACCAATGCATACCGACCTTCGAGTTTCGCAGAATAAAATACATCAAATTAAACCTCTCCGACCTATAATAATTTAAGAATACTGGATCAATAAGTAAGCTTTTTATCCACTGGGAAATCCAACAACAAACAGGGCGAACAGGCAATTGGAAGAAAGAGTCAATGAAGGCAAGTAAACAGAAAAAAAAACGAATTTATTTATTTTTTGAAAAAATCTCAACTTGAGAATTTAAAGGAAAAAATAGATGGCCTTAAAGCTCTTTGAATTTCTGGAACAAAACATAGCTAAAAGACAGTTGGAAAAGAGTCAACGAACGCAAGTGAACAGAAAAAAAAACGCATTTATTTTTGAAAAAATCTCATCTTAAGAATTTCAAGGAAAAAATAGATGGCAGATGGCCTTAAAGCTCTTTGAATTTTTGGAACAAAACGTAGCTAACAGACTGTTGGAAAAGAGTCCATGAACGCAAGTAAACAGAAAAATGCGCATTTATTTTTTTTAAATCTCTACGAATTTCAAGGAAAAAATAGATGGCAGATGGCCTTAAAGCTCTGAGTTTCTGGAACACTTTATGATTTTCACTTTTTTCATGAAGTTAAACCAATTTGAGAAAACTGGATCAAAAGGTAAAGATTTTATTTCGCTGGGAAATTCGATTGTTAAATTCTATTTTTGAAAATAGAATTCGATTACGTTTTTCATGACCCAAATACCCTTGCCTTCCTTCAAGCAAAATAAACACGGCCAAAAAGTAGCTCTATTAAATGAAATAAGAAAAAGTAAAAATACGCCTCAAATAAGCAAAAACTCGGCTACGTGTAGGATTCGAATATGCGACCTACTTCAATCAAAAGATTTTGAGTCTCATGCACTATCCAGTCAACCACGCAAGCTTAACAACCGACAAACACTAGTCACAGTAAAGGCAGATACATATGCTAATTAATTGCCAATGCCATTCAGCAAAAGTAGCACCAAATACAAATAGACTCAATTTTGCAAGTAATAATTTGGAACATAACAAACTGAAGGCATCCACACCAACTTTGCATGTTATAAATTGCTAAGTACAAAGCCACATTATGTAGAAGTTCAAAAAAAATTCTAGATATATTGAGTTAAAAAATTTCTGAAATCGAATTTCTATTTTTGTTATGTTGGCCGAAACAAATCACTTTTTTCAGTTCATTTGATGAATTAAAAATGCAACAACTGTGTTAACTTATTACTATTCGAATGTCAAAGCACATGCTATGAAAAAAAGCTGCAAAGATGCCCCAAAAGTGGCACCAATATTTGCGAATTAAGTTGGAAAAAAAAGAAGGTTAGTACCGCTGCACTCGCTTCGCAAGTCTAATGAACTTACCGTTTAAAAAGTCAAACCGCGAAAAAGTAATTTTGGAGTAAAAACAGAAAAACATCATCATAAACTGGGCGATATTGAAAACGCGTTATCAAAAATTATGCTAAACCTTTCCTCTAAAGTAAAATCGTTAAAACATGGGGGAAGAAAATGTGATCACATTTCAGTTGACAATTGATCTAATTCTTAATTTGAATTTCTCCTGTAGGCTTAAAAATGCCTGAATTGAACTAGGAAATATCTGAACTGAACCAGGAAATATCAGCTTTTATCCCAAGAAAATACAGAATGTTCATGGCTGATCCTTCAGTTTTCTTCTGATAATTGACCTTAAAAAGCCAAAGTTTTTCCGTGATTATAGCTGAAACAAGGTACAAAAATTATTTCTATGGAATAAATTAGCTCTTTTCGCATTTTAGCCCAAACTGTACGCTTTAACCCTAATTTAAATTTGAGTTCTCAAAAGTTCTTATCATCTATAGCATTAATCATATCAGCTTCGCAAATTTCCTAAAAATTACTTCTTACAAAATTTCATTTGCTCATCGAAAATTTGATGTTGCGTTTTCATGGTCACTCAGTATCAGCGTAATCGCTGCGTTATTGACACTTAATAAAAACCGCCGCACAATCTTTATGACAGCCAATAGAACTTTCCGAATGGTTTCCCAACACTCAAGTTTCCAGAACAAAATAAGCTCATCTCATTGCTTTTGAATTTGAAAAAAAAATTGATGATTGACACATTTTCGAAAACGTTAACCCTATTTGAGAAACCAAGATCAAAAGAATTCTTCAAAATTCAACATTTATTAACTGAGAATTGAACTCCTGAAGAAACAACGAGCAAAATGAGTTATAAATTACTTCCTGTACAATCTATATTCCTTTGAAAGAAACTACTTTTGAAATTACACGCTGCAACAACGGAAGCAAGATAAGCTCGCTCAAGAAAAAACGATTTGCTGCATTTTAAAAATTTATTAGAATTTATTGTCCCGACCCACTCTATAATGGGTGGGAAGCAACTTGGGCGTGGGGTGTATTTTTCAGCTTATTTTTTGGTACCTCAAAAATTCCAGTGTTGATAAAGTGCTTTCTGCTGTAATTCGGATTCCAAAAAACTTGAAAATATTGTCTGTGTCGAGATAATACTTTTTCTAGTTTTTCAGACAGGACATTTTAGACTGCATTTTCACTTTTACTTTTTTGTGATTTGAGAAACACTTCAGCTACTTTTAACTTATTATGGCTCTTTAACCAATTTAGTCCTCTCACTTGTAAAAAAAACTTTGATGAAAGTTGATCGAAAAACTGATTTCGATTCTTTTCTTAATTTTGTTGCTAAACTTCGCTCGAGCTACTTGCACGGCACCCGGCTATCCCTGTTGACTGTTGTGCGATGAAGTTAATTCAAACATTTATTGACCAAAAATCCTTCCTCAATTTAACCGTCAACCTGTCTCGTCTGGCTATATAAAGAGATCTCTCAATATAAAGAAAACTACCTTTAATAATTTGCTTCTCGATCTTGTCGATAGATCTGATAAGTTTCACATTGCCCAGACCCTCTTTGGTTTCTTCGTTCAACTCACTGTCAGTCTTCGCTTCTTCTTTTTCACTTTCATCGCCGCCTATTGCATCCGTCCCACTCCAATTATGTTCCATAGCCAAGAGATGTTCTATAAGAAAAATGTTCTATAAAAAACTCATTACCGCATTTCATTATTAAACACGGAGGCGAAGCTGAGCTTCGCACCACTTGCGATAGAACAAGTACAGGGTTAAAACAGCATGACGCTTAAGAGGTATCAAAGAGTATTTCGAACTATGTTACCCTTAAAACATAAACCGGACAAACGCAAAAAAATAGAACGTTTACATGTTAGAATTTGTTGCAGTTTTTAAATGGTCTTAATGTTGTTAGTTTTGCGCATTTGAAAAATTGGCGCCAGAGTCTTATCGATTTCATTTTAAAAAATCGGATATTTGTACGAAACAAAATAATTGTTGAATACGCCAACAGAATTAAAGCCAATAAGCTGAAACTCAACCGAAAGATTGCAGCAAAAATGTTTTAAAAAAATATATGTACTGCTCAAAACGTATCCAGGGTGCCATATAAGTACTGAAGGTAAGGTCGTATACACAATAAGGAAGTTAAACCATGAGTATTATTGACCACAATAGAGCATCAGCAAATAATATCGAAATTCTGTAATTATATATGCAACTACATCTACAAAAATGCATAAAATTTTGAAAAAACATGTTCACACAAAAGAATGCAAAAACAACATCGTAAGAAAAACAAAAAAAAAAGCGGTAGCAACGATGAAAATAAATAAGCGGAAACCCATCAAGTCGAAAGAAAATGCAAAACAAAATTGAAACTAATTTAAACTTTGAAGTTCCCCTCTTCCTCGACACACACATACGCACACAGAAAACTTTCCGTTCATCAAACGGCTCACTAGGATGTCACTAAGCCGAAATAAAAGAGGCCGAAAGCTATTGAGCCAAAACAGGACAAACAAAACGAAAAAATATAATAAACAAATCCAATTGGTAAAACTACAACCAACATTAAAGCAAATTTCGAAAAAAAAGAATACTTGAAAATTCAAAATGCGCAATACTATGCTCAGTATTTGCAATAGAGAGGACTAGGATTTGCAACAGAGAGGAGGAAGAGTTGAATAATTCTATTAATTAATGAGTCCTCTGAACAAAGTTGTTTACGGGGAAAAAGTATTGTACCCGATTGCAATAGTCTAGTACCCGATAGCAATGAGTCTAGATATTAGTCCTCTGAACAAAGTTGCTTACAGGTGGAAAAAGTCTAGTACCCGATTGCAATTCGAAAAAAGTTTAAATAATTTGGGCAAGCCGAAATAATTTGGGCAGAAAAAAGTTAAGCGATAAAAAATACGAAATCAAGAAAATTCCAACAGCCGAATTAAATCAAAACACTAAGAGCAACAACAATGTAAATTGCGTACAGAAAAAAAAAATTATACGATGTGGCAACTAAGCCGACAAAACAAGCAGACAAACAAAAAGCCGACAATTTTTTTGAAATGGGCTATTTCCCGTTTGAAGAAAAAAACCTTGCAAGATTCAAAGCTAGGACCTTTGCCGTCCCAGGCGTATTTGTTACCTCCAGACCAAGTGTACCGGAGACGCAAAGGAAATTGAATTTAGTATGAACTGAACCTGAATTTACCATCTCTACTCTTGATCATTCTGTAAGGGTAATAAGAGGTAAAAAAAAAGTAATTTATCGCAAGGGTTATAAGAGAAACAACTACACTTTCGTTTAACTCACTGCACAAAAAGGTAACAAATGAAGAAACTAAGTCGACAAAACATAGGCAGACAACTGATAGTCCGATTTTTCTGATACTAAATACTTAGGGTTTTGAAAACCCTAGGCCCTTTGCCGCCAACTAGTTTTTGTAACCAGTAGTTAAACTTGAGTTTTCAAAATTGAGCATGTTTGCCACAGAATTGAATGCTGCACAAATAATTCAGTGATTTTGTTAAATTAGTTGTTAACCCAAAAAAAGTGTATATTCCGATTTGACAACGCGTGTTAAACGCAAGCGTATATACGACAAACAAACGGACTATGAGTTTTTCCGGGCATGATACCTCATTCGACAACATCTGGCATTTGCAACTGATGAATGCATTTTCGACAATGAATTACGTTGTAAAGAAACCGAAACTCTTTGTTATTGACCGAGAACTTTTAGTGAAAATGTAAACTAACCTGTGTCTGATTTAACCTGGAATTCTAAAATCTCAATGGACTGGTATATCACTGGAATCAAACGTCCTAAACTGTTCACAATTTTCTGACAGATGTGCTGCATTTGCTTCGTCTCATCGCTAGCCTCGTTGATCAAGACACTCAACTCATCTACATGCGCTCTTTTGAGTCCGCCTTCGAATTCATTGACAGTCTCGCGGATAAGTTCTTCGTAATATTTGACCCTGTACTCGTAAGCCCGTATAGCGTCGTCTACCAACTCGGTCACGTTTTCAGGAACTTCTACGTCGGATAGCCTCGATGATTGCCTAGAAGAGCTATCATCCGGCGGGTTGACATCGTCTCTCTGGTCAGTTTTAACATCTGAAACGGTCGAATTTGAGCGAAATGCTAAAGAATATGAATAGATTAAATCTTACCTGCATTGATCGAACCTTTCACAGTCATTTTTAAATGCAGTAAATGACTTGTTCATTTATGTACAGTAAAGTATTCTAATTTAAACCATATACAGTTTTCGGTCTTTTCATTACCAGAAGTGTACAATTGTTTGCATAAATGAACAAATAGACTATAAAAAACTTGGTTCTTATCGAAAACGTCTCAAAGTGTAGCATCACTTCGTGAGCTCCCTTCTGTTTGTGTATCAAGCGATCAAGACATTGTACACCAGTTCGAAAGAAAACACTGAATTTGCTAACCCCTTTTGACAAACTGGATCTGCTTATAAAAAACTAAACCTAAGAATAAACAAAGGTAACCGGTAGCGGCAGGTTTGAAACAATCGTATTTAAATTTGAAAAAAATCGATTTAAATCAAAAAAATCCGATTTATTTAAAATTTTTTATTTAAATCGGATTTTTATGCAACCCTGGGTAGCGGTGGAAGTAGAAGATGATACGATCACATTTTTGCTTGAAATGCTCAAAAAACGAAAAAAAAAACGCCGGAATATATTTTGAGTGTAATCTAACACCACCCAATAACAGGGTTCGTAATTTCAAATTTTGTTTTTTTTTCTATTAGTTTTTTCAATTCAAATTTTGAAAAACCATTAGATTTTTACATCTAAGTTCTTTAAAAATTTTTAAAATGACAGAAAACGTCACATCTTGGAAACTAAAAGCATTTGAGCAGTCAAATTTGGACGCAAAATTTGCAACTCCTAGGAGTACCCTCACAGTACCAAACTACAGCGTTGGAATTTCATTTGAGGAGATGACATTTGCAACCCCCTCGAGTACTCTGGCAGCCCTCAATTAAAGGCTTGGGAATTTCAAAATTTGAAAACAAAATATATTAAATTTAAGTTTTTCTGGAAACTTTTTGAAAATCGCAAAAAATGTGATATCTTGAAAAACACAAAAAAATTTAGCAGTCATATTTGGAGGCAAGATTCGCAACCCCTGAAAATATCCTGCAGCTCCCCATTACAAGGAAGGGGTTTCAAACAAATTAAAATACGCAGAAAAAAAAATAAGTTTGATGAAAATTTAAAAAAAATTACAAAAAACGTCATATCCCGAAAAATAAAACGAATTGAGCAGTAACTATCGGATGCAAGATTCACAGCTTCTGAGAATATACTGGGAGCCCCCTCCCTTACAATGAAGGGATTTTCAAAAACAAAAAAAAACTTGAATTTAAGTTTTCTGAAAATTATTGAAAAAAAACACAAAAAAGGTCGGATCTCGAAATCTAAAAAGATTTGAGTATTCATTTTTGAGGCGAGATTACCAACCCGTGAGAGTTCTCTGACAGCTTCCAAATAAAGAGTTGAGAATTTTGAAATTTGCAAAGAAAACATTGAATTTGTTTTCTGAAAAATTTTCTTAAAAATCACAAAAAAAGTCATATCTTGATAACTACAGAGATTTGAGCAGTCATTATTTGAAGTGAGATTCGCAACTTCCGATAGTATTGTGACAGCTTCCAAATAGACTGTTGGAAATTTCAAATTTAAAAAAAAATTAATTTTACTTTCCTGAAAGTTTTAGAAAAAAAACGTCATATCTCGAAAGCTAAGAGCATTTTAGCAGTAAATTTTGGACGCAACATTTGGATCTTGAAATTCCTGAGAGTAACCTCACAGTACCCAACTACAAGACTAAGAATTTCAATTTTGAAATTTTTAAAATCTAAGTTCTCTGAAAAATTGAAAAAAAATCATAAAACGTCATATATCGTACACTGAAAGGAATTGGGCAGTCATAGTTCGAGACCAAATTCTCAACCACTGGGGAAACTCTGACAGCATCCCACTATTGTGTTGCTAACTTTTAACTCGATGGAAAAAACACTGGATTCAAACTGGAAAACCGACAAAAATTCTTAAGCATTGCAAGATACGATAAAGCTTAACCACGCAGAGAAACGTTATGCCCTTAACTGTTGCAAAAAAAACGCTGAAACATGGCAAGATACGTGCCACACGCATTTAAATATAGACTAGCGTGTAACGCACCTCCGTTGCTTCGAATTTTTAACAACTCATAAAAAACCGAAAGTATAGTAAAAAATCAGCATCCTTCGTGTGTACTCTGACAGCACCGAATAACAGGGTTGGTAATTTCAAATTTTGAACAAAAAATCTATTCAAGTTTTTTCAATTTAAATTTTTAAACACCACTAAGTTTTTTGAATCTAAGTTCTTTCAAAAACTTTAGAATCTTAAAAAATCAAGAAACGTCACATCTCGGAATCTAAAACTAATTGGGCAGTCGCATTTGGACGCAAGATTTGCAACTCCTGAGAGAGCTCCTACAACGCCCAACTACAGCGTTGGGAATTTCAAATTTTGAGAAACTTAAAATTAAGTTTTCTAAAAAAAAAACTTTTTTAAAAAACCAGAAAAAAACGTCATATCTCGAAAACAACCAAAATATTTGAGCAGCCACAATTGGAATCAAGATCTCTCGCAACCCCTGAGAGTAATCTGACAGCCCCAACTACAGGGGGTTAGGAACTACAAAATTCGAAGAAAAAAAAAAATTCAAAATTAACAAAAAAACGTCAGATCTGGAAAACTACAAAGACTTGAGCAGTCACGGTTGGAGGCAAAACTTGCAACACCTGAGACGTTGAGACCACTCTGACAGCCCCAAACTAAACGGTTGGGAAATTCAAATTTAGAAGAAACAAAATTAAATTTAAGTTTTCTGATAATTTTTTGAAAAAAAAAACACAAAAAATGTCATGTGTCAAAAACTACAAGGATTTGAGCAGTCATATTTTGAGACAAAATTCACAACTCCTGGGAGTACCCTGACAGAGCCTCACAATAGAGGAGGGAACTTCAAATTTTGTGAAATTATGTATATCTAAATTCTTTTAAAAATCTTGAAAAAAAATCCTAAAAAACAAAGATTTCAGCAGTCATCTTCAGAGGCAAGATTCGCAAATCTTGAGAGCACCCTCACAGTTTCCAACTACAGGATTGAGATCTTCAAGTTTTTTAAATTTTTTCAAATCTTAAGTTTTATGAAAATTTTTGAAAAAAATCATTTAAAAAAACGTCATCTCGAAAACTACAAGGATTTGAGAAGTAAGATTTGGAGGCAAGATTCGCAACCCCTGAGACTACCCTGACATTATCAAATTAATTATTAAATTCTAGAAAAAATAAATTATTTTAGAAACTTTTGAAAAATCTCGAAAATTGTCCTATCTCTCAACCTAAAAAGATTTGCTTATTGATATATGGAGCCTAAAATTGCACCATTGACAAGCATCTCACTATTGGAAACCCTGGCAGCATCTCACTACTGGGTTGCTACTTTCAAATTTGGTGAAGCAAACACTGATTTCAAACAGGTAAAAAATCGGGGAAAAAATCTTAACCATTGCAATAAATATATAAATATATAATAGATTCCACTTGAATAATATAATAGATTTAAATAGGTGCTTTGTTTTTAGGTTGTTTACAGGGTGCTTTGTTTTTAGATTGGCTGATGATGACTTTTATGTCGAAAACGTTTCTGGAATTTATTTTACATTGATCTGCCGTTTTTACCACTAGATTTAAATATATAATAGATTCCACTTGAAAAAAAATTCTATTTGATAGCACAAAATAAAACCAAATAGTTTTTCAATGGGTTCTTTGCTTTTGTATTGTGCTCAGGTTCTTACAGAGCAACTTAAAACTTCCTTTTCTAAATACAATTAATTGTTAAATAACACATGGTGTTACAGTAAAAAACACTTTAATTGCCGACAAATCTCTTCAACCATATTTTGCTAAATGTCACCTACCTCCTGTGTCCTATCAAAAATCAGTCCCACTAGTACCCAAATTATTCATTCATATTTCCGATCATTCGAAATTTGAGCTAATAATTCATTAAACGACCTCTCAAAAATCTCGAGTTTTCATCACTTGAATACCAAAAAAAGAGTTACTATAAAAGGAAATGTACAAAACTTGTTATGGATTCTACGATAGAAACGCCACTATCGTCCATCTCGAGCAGAATGAAAGAGACCCAAGGGATAACGACTGCAAGGTAGTAGTGCAGAAAGCAAACTAGGACAGCCGAAAAAAGCTTTCACAATCGGAGCATCACACGACTGGAACAATATACCACAGGACACGGTTCACATTAAGACTGTTAAGAATTCAAAAGGAAAATTGACAGTTGGCCTTATTGTCAATCTAATTGGCCTTATTGTTGAGATAACCCTTATTAAATCATGTGTCAACTTTGAGTTTAAATATCCAACCTGTGCAAGTACCGTCGCATGACGGAAGGGACAATTTTAATTAACCTTTTTTTTCTAGTGTAATTTCATATTGAAGGAGCTGGGTTTGATCACTGACTTATATGTTTTTAGTGACAATTATATACCAATTCCATAGGAGATGGATTGACTCTTTCCATTTTCTAACTAGTCATGCTCTGAATTACTATATAAAAATCGAAGTTAATTAAACTATTCAGGGCATCACAGTAGTTAAAAATGTGCGCTTAATAGTCTCACGTTTGAACTACAGTCTCTGGGCACCGGGCCTCCAATTCCGTCTTCCCTCAGTGAACTACAGTCTCTGGGCACCGGGCCTCCAATTCCGTCTTCCCTCAG